AAGACTACGTTGGCAACCGCAGTTCCCCTCAAAAAATATCATCTGACTTGTTTTATAGGAACTCATCAATAGATTAGCAGAGTTGGAGGTCAAGCGAGCGCCGTTGGCCGATACCTCGGCAGATGCCGCCAAGCTTGATCTGGAGAAGGAGACCATGGACACCAAGCTCGGCGATGTTCAAGCTAAGCTGGCCGAGATGGAATCTGACAAGGCAGAGTCTCGCGCCGCCAGTATTCTGGCCGGTCTTGGTTTCTCGCCCGAGAGACAGCAGTTTGCAACCAAGACGTTCTCCGGTGGTTGGCGTATGCGTCTGGCACTGGCGCGTGCCCTGTTCTGTGAGCCCGATCTGTTGTTGCTCGACGAACCGTCCAACATGTTGGACGTTCCTTCGATTACTTTCCTTTCAAACTATCTCCAAGACTACCCCAGCACAGTTCTCGTCGTCTCTCACGACAGAGCATTCCTCAACGAAGTCGCGACAGATATTGTGCACCAGCACTCTCAGCGACTCGACTACTACCGCGGAGCCAACTTTGAGTCCTTCTACGCCACGCGCGAGGAGCGCAAGAAGGTGGCCAAGAGAGAATACGAGAAGCAGATGGCAGAGCGAGCACATTTGCAAGCCTTTATCGACAAATTCCGATACAATGCGGCCAAGTCGTCAGAAGCACAGTCCCGTATCAAGAAGCTCGAGAAGATGCCCGTGTTGGAGCCTCCGGAGAAGGAGTACGACGTCAAATTCCAGTTCCCCGAGGTGGAAAAGTTGTCACCTCCCATCATCCAGATGTCAGGGGTCAGCTTTGGGTATACTCCTGACAAGCCGCTGCTGAGCAACGTAGATCTCGACGTTCAGCTGGATTCTCGTATCGGCATTGTCGGACCCAACGGTGCTGGTAAGACGACGGTCTTGAAGCTTCTCATCAGCAAGCTCGAAGCATCAAAGGGTCTCGTCACATCGCACCCACGACTGCGTATCGGATTCTTCGCGCAGCACCACGTAGACTCGCTCGACCTCACTATGAGTGCCGTCAGCTTCATGGCCAAGGCGTACCCCGGAAAGACGGATGAAGAATATCGACGCCAGTTGGGAGCGTTTGGCATTACGGGCACAACCGGTTTACAGAAGATGGTGCAGCTTTCCGGAGGTCAAAAGTCCAGAGTGGCATTCGCCTGCCTGGCGCTGACGCAGCCGCACATTCTCGTGCTGGACGAGCCGTCTAACCATTTGGATATTGAGGCTATGGATGCGTTGGCGGAGGCACTGAACGAGTTCCAGGGAGGCGTGCTGATGGTTTCCCACGACGTGACGATGCTGCAGTCGGTGTGTACATCGCTTTGGGTGTGCGACGGCGGTACTGTTGAGAAGTTTGACGGCACGGTGCAGCAGTACAAGAAGAAGATTGCGGCTCAGGCAGACGCTGCGGGTGTTGTCAAGGCGCATTAGAAGGGGAGAAATGCAATCCAAATCAATTGGTATCAAAGCAAGTCGCTCATGGACCAATTTGTTCTTATTAGCTGTAAATATACCTTGACATGTCTGTCTGTCTGTCATTCTCACTGCGTCGTCAACAGTATTCGTATCTGTAGCACTCGTAGTCGTACATGCAGCGTTGCCGGATCCTCGCTTGAAAGCGGCCAAAATGTGGGGGCCCGCCAGCTCTCATCTCGGCTCATGAGCTGGCGCTGCATGAGATGGAGACCCAAAGCAACAAGTCTGGTGTTGCGGTAAAAAGGGGATTGACTGGGCTGGAGTGCTTTTTTCTTTTTTTCGCACGCTCTGTGCTCTTTTGGGAGGGGACCTGGAGGGACAGGACAGGGTGACGATGCGAAGCCCAAGGGACCAGGCATCAAAACTGCTTAGCGTGGTTGCAGGTTCTGGCTACATGGCTGGTTGGCGCGTGGATGGCGCTTTGGAGAAGTAGAGGATACAGGTTGGGTCCATGGCTGTTTACGATGGGATTTCGATTCTCTGTGTTACTTGAAGGGATTGATTGATTGATTGGATGATTAAGCTATATAATCTGTATTATTGAGTACATGGTTAGGTAGTCCGTCTATATGTTGTCGATGGTCTCTTTTGCACCCGACGTTGGTAAATAGAGCGAGAGAGAATATGGATCAATGGATGCCCATCAGTCAATTGCCTTTTCCCCTATTCGGGCCCTACTAGCACCACCTGTACCGAGCCTTTCAGTGAGCTTTTTCAGGCCCCAACAGCCAAACAAGCCACTCAATGGCTCTCCCCTTCCCTTCCCCATGCTAACATGCTAACAGGCCCCGCCTCGTGATGGGGCCATGGCGGTGAACCATTTCATCTCCACCCGCTTCCCAACTCAAACAAAAACCACCAGCTACCTCGAGCCCAAGCTCTTGTCCTGCCAAACCCGCCACAGCTCCAGCAATAGCTCGCATCTCCTTTGCGTCTCCTTCTGTTCTCGAATCCTAATTTCCTCCAGCATCATCACTAGCCATCATGCGTGAGATTGTGAGTTTCTCCCTCTATCTGTTGTTTACTTGAGCTTCCCGCCAAACGCGTTTGGGACCTGGAGCCCCTGAAATTATACCCCGCCAACCACGACGAAACGAACACATTGGCGTTTTTCTGCGCGGCAATCCAGCGCGATTGAGGCGTGTCGTGATGCTCTGAGGATGTCCGTTTGCTAATTGTTGATTCTTTTTTGATGTATAGGTCCACATCCAGACCGGCCAGTGCGTAAGTTGATGTCCCTCCATAGTTCCCCCCTTAACGACACCGCAGCCAGGAGCTCACACTATTTGACAGGGTAACCAAATCGGTGCCGCCTTTTGGCAGACCATCTCTGGCGAGCACGGTCTCGACAGCAATGGTATCTATGGAGGCTCTTCCGAGCTCCAGCTCGAGCGCATGAACGTCTACTTCAACGAGGTACGTGTTTCCTTTTCCCTGCTAGACGCGCCACTCGAGAAGCCCCTATTCTGACCTCGGATACCGCAGGCCAACAACAACAAGTATGTTCCTCGCGCTGTCCTCGTCGATCTTGAGCCCGGTACCATGGACGCCGTCCGTGCCGGTCCTTTCGGTCAGCTCTTCCGACCCGACAACTTCATCTTCGGTCAATCCTCTGCCGGAAACAACTGGGCCAAGGGCCACTACACTGAGGGCGCTGAGCTCGTCGACAACGTCCTTGACGTGATCCGCCGTGAGGCCGAAGGCTGCGACTGCCTCCAGGGCTTCCAGATCACCCACTCTCTCGGTGGTGGTACTGGATCTGGTATGGGTACTCTTTTGATCTCCAAGATCCGCGAGGAGTTCCCCGACCGAATGATGGCCACCTTCTCCGTTATGCCATCCCCCAAGGTGTCCGACACCGTCGTTGAACCCTACAACGCCACCCTCTCCGTCCACCAGCTGGTCGAGAACTCTGACGAGACCTTTTGCATTGACAACGAGGCTCTCTACGACATCTGCATGCGCACCCTGAAGCTGTCCAACCCTGCCTACGGTGACCTGAACTACCTCGTCTCCGCTGTCATGTCCGGCATCACCACCTGTCTGCGATTCCCCGGTCAGCTCAACTCTGATCTGCGTAAGCTGGCTGTGAACATGGTTCCTTTCCCCCGTCTCCACTTCTTCATGGTCGGTTTCGCTCCCCTGACGAGCCCCGGTGCTCACTCCTTCCGTGCCGTCACCGTGCCGGAACTCACCCAGCAGATGTTCGACCCCAAGAACATGATGGCTGCTTCCGACTTCCGCAACGGTCGCTACCTGACCTGCTGCTCTATCTTGTAAGTGACAAAGGCGTCCGAGTAATACCGAGATGTGATGCTAACAAGGAATGTCTAGCCGTGGCAAGGTCGCCATGAAGGAGGTTGAGGACCAGATGCGAAACGTTCAGAACAAGAACTCCACCTACTTCGTTGAGTGGATCCCCAACAACATCCAGACTGCCCTTTGCGCCATCCCTCCCCGTGGCCTGAAGATGTCGTCTACCTTTATCGGTAACTCCACCTCCATCCAGGAGCTGTTCAAGCGTGTCGGCGAGCAGTTCAGCGCCATGTTCCGTCGCAAGGCTTTCTTGCATTGGTACACTGGTGAGGGTATGGACGAGATGGAGTTCACCGAGGCCGAGTCCAACATGAACGACTTGGTGTCTGAGTACCAGCAATACCAGGAGGCCGGTATTGACGAGGAGGAGTACGAGGATGAGGCTCCTGCTGAGCACGAGGAGGAGTAAAGGCTTTCCTAGCAATGAGCAAGCGGGCTTTTTATCTTTCTTTTTCACTTTAAATTCTTGGGGGTCGCACTGTTCCCGTGTTACCCTTGATTAACGCTGTAGGACTTGCCTTGCGGGGGTCTGTTTAGATGATTGGACGACCATTTTGATATCCACGCGCGATATGACATTCGGTCAGATGGCAAGTGTTTGCAAACCTAATGAAAATAAGAAGAGTACGATTACGGTACTGTAACACATTTTGAATGGCTGGTCCCAGTTTGTGCATGTGTGCATGTTTATATTGTAACTATGTGATGCTTGATGATATCAGAGATGTAATCAATTGCTTGACAGAGCACTCTGCAAGTCCATTATAGGATTCGCCATACAAAGTTTCCCTCTACAACACCAAGGACGCTCATTATCTACTCCATGAATGATCGACAGGTCCTGTCTGCCTCGTCCCCACACTCTACCTGAAGTAACAAAGCTCAAGCTAAATGATTAGAAAATGCTTCCGTCCAATAGCACCACAAGCTATACGATACAAGGCACTCCGAAGATCAAATAGCACCACAAGCTATACGATACAAGGCACTCCGAAGATCAGGACTGCCTTGCTACTTGGTAAGCAAAAAAAAAAAAATTATGAGGCTATATATATACAGGGTAAACATGGAAGACCGACGTCATGTCAGATGAGGCCCATATTCTCACCATACTTTAAGTCCTGCGAACTTGACGACAAAGTCAATGCTATTTTACTAAAATACTACAACTAATTACGTTGAATGAATGGTCACGATGACGGAAACGCCAGCTGATAACCCCAACGACATCACAATCGAGAGAGCCCCTGAGGAACTCTCCAGTAGTCTAGACACAACTTTTGACGAAACTTTACTAAAAATCGACAAGTATCTCCAATCTCGGGTCATAAGCTCGCTCAAATGGCTTGCCTTCTCCTTCGACCGTCTTACTATCGACCTTTTTACCGAAATTCTCGCTCAACACACAGACAAGAGCGCTCATCTTGACGAAGCAGAAAAACTATCTTCTCCTCATACTGTCCTGGAAGGCTTATATGGCTTGATCGTTGTCGATGAGCATCATGTTTGGCTAGCTGAGCCTTCTATCAAGGAGTATCTAACTTCCAGCAGAATCAGACACGGTCCTGCATCAGCTTTTTCGTTTACAGAGATGGAAGCTCATCTATACATTGCTCACTCCAGCTTGATACATCACCTCGAATGCAATCCTCCAAACACTTATGAAAAAGATGAGCAAAACGTTTCAAAATTAAAGGTCTATGCCGCTCGAAATTGGCCTCTGCATCTTGAAATGGTCCCTCGCTCATCATGGCCTCTCGAGATTGCCCAAGCCGCGAATCTTGCCCTGGCTATGCGCAGTCCCAGTCTATTCAGCATGATTGACTCGCTCACCGGTTATCCGTTTCTTAGTACCGATGCATAAGAAAATCCCTTGATTTACACTGCTTATTTGGGGGCAACTCAGCTCACCGAGATGTTAATCTCAGAGGGGCTCGATAGGCACGAGTATATTACTCAAGGGGACTTGGATGTAGCCTTGCTAAATGCAAGTTCAGCAGGGAAGCTAGAAACTGTTCGTCTCCTCGTTGATAAAGGTGCTGGAGTCGACTTGGAAAACGCAACACGTCGTAATCCTCTTACACAAGCTGCCTTGGGTGGCCATATAGCAGTTGTGAGATACTTTGTTGAGAATGAAGTTCTGACTGCAGCTCTTGATGGCACCGATGTACGCAAATGGACTGTGAATGCTGCAGCTGCAGAAAGTCACTTTGATCTCATAGAGCTGCTTGTCCATAACGGAACTGAGGTTGACGAATACACCCTCGAAAAAGTAGCGGGATCATCCAGAGATGAGGCGTCAATATTAGAATGCTTACAGTTTCTCCTCGGTAACAGCCCCGATATCACCAAGAAAGGGGCAATCTGTAAAGCAGCGTTCAGAGGGAATTGAAAAGTATTTGAACTACTGCTAGGTAAAGAGGCTGACATCAACGCCTTGGGGAGCCGTTGGGGCAACTCGTTGCACATAGCGTGTGCAGCCCAGGATATCGATCAGTCACGGATCGAGTATCTACTCGACTTAGGTGCAGATACCAACGTCCAAGGGGGGGATCACGGAACAGCCCTGCAGGCAGTTTGCTACTCTTATTCCAGCAGGGATGAAGACGCTTGTATCAAGGTCGCGAAGCTCCTCATCGCTCTCGGCGTCGACATCGCGGCTCAAGGAGGAGAGCATGGCAACGCACTGAACAATGCCTGTGCATCCAAAGGCTATGATGGTATGTGCTGGTATATTATGGTGGAATTGCTCCTGAAAAACGGCGCCGATGTGAATGCCCAAGGAGGGCCATACAACAACGCTCTACAAACAGCCTGTCACTATGGGAACTCTGACCTTGTGCCGTTACTCCTGGCCTGGGGAGCAGATGTCCATGCCCAGGGCGGTGCGTTTACAACTGCGCTCCACGCTGCTTGTTTCACAAGACCCAAGGAGGGCAAGAATGGAGATGTCAAAATGGTTCAGCTGCTGCTTGATCATGGCGCCGATGTTAATGCTACAGCCAAGAACAAACTGTTTGGAACTCCGTTTCAAGCAGCCTGCGCAGCTGGGAATATGAAGCTGGTCCGACTCCTCCTCGATCGCGGCGCAGATGTAAACCTTCAAGGTGGCGGATATGGATCTGCACTTCAATCTGCTTGCCACTGGGGGCATACCGAAGTCGTGCGTCTTCTCCTTGATAATGGTGTAGATGTTAACGCACCAGTCCCCGCAAGATTGGAGGCAGGACTGGAACCGCGCTCCTGACTGCATGCTCCTTTTGGCGTAACGATGATGAAATGGTTCATCTTCTGCTCGACCACGGCGCACATATCGATGTTCCTGGTGTTTCCCCCGGATCCATTTTGCACGGTGTCAAACAAGAGCAAAGACAACTCCTTGCTGCTGCGAGTTCTGGAACTGGGCGTTGATATCAACCAAGTAGATGAGCACGGTGGCACTGCCTTGCACTACGCGCTCCGGAACATGCGATTCGATAATAAATACACAAAGCAGAGCAGGATCCGGTTCCTCATCGAACATGGCGCTGACGTTCATTTTGCAGTGGGAGAGTTGGGCTCTACACTGTATTCCATATGTGCAGCTACAACGAATCTTTCCGATGTCTATGAGAAAGATAGAACAGTGGCTCTGCTTCTTGAGATTTGCCCGGATATTGATGTAAATGCGCAAGGCGGAGAGTATGGTTCTGCGTTACAGGCAGCAGCGTGGTCTGGCCAGGCTGAATCAATCAAGCTTTTGATCGAGAAAGGGGCTCATGTCAATGTACGAGGCGGCAAGTATGGGAGTGCATTAAATGCTGTCATTATCATGGGTTACTGGAATATTATCAAAATATTGCTTGAGAATGGTGCGAGGCCGGACTTTCACTGGCGGGACGAGATAGACGAAGATTGGTTGGACCAGGTTCAGAAAGAACATGGGCGAGGGGCTGTAGAAAAGTATAGGAAGTTCTGGGAAGTGGTAAAGAGGAAGTTATCTGGAACAAACCCAGATAACAGCGTATGGGTGGCGAAGACTTGAAGTTGCATGTTGAGGAGTTTAAGTCAAAGGACATTTTAATATTATATATATATAAGTGTATCCCTTAGAGAGAGATATTTCATACTAATATACAAGACATAGTTGGTTACACTAGATCGTAACATTAAGCCTAGATACCAGCAAGTCTTGAGTAATGTAAACCTATGTTTTTTTTTTTTTTTTTTGGTTTTTTTTTTTAAATCAAATGTGCCATAATACAATTTGTACTGAGCTTTATAACGGCATGCATATATTACTCTTTTTATTGGTTCCGCAAACTCTGAAGGAACTCCAACTCTCGCCTAACCTCTGGATCTTCATCCACCTTCTTTACTTCCGACTCAGTGAATTCCACGATTAAGTCGGCACCTAGTGTTCTCATTTTGTTGACTGCGACAACGTAGTTTCCATCCTTGAATAGTAATAAGCCTCATTACTGTTTCCACAAGAAAAGTCTAGGAATTAGTCACATGAATGGCAACGATGGTACCGTAGGAAGGTTCGTCGTCGTCGCCCAAAGAAACTTCCACCGTGGTTCCCCTATAGTCTTGTCAGAACAGATACGAGAGAAGAGATAGTCTTAACATACTCTGAATATCGCATGGTGGGCTAAATCTCTGCTCTGTTTAGATGCTTGATTCTAACAAAAACGCAATAAGGAAGTACGGATCCGATAAGCTTTATATTTGCAGTGCCGTATGTAGAAATGCCTTCTTTTTCTTAGGTAGATATCAAATACGTTCAGCTGTGATATCGCAGCAACTAAGACGGATATAGCTCTGATCCGTTGACGTGCATGCATAATAGCCGCCTAAATACAAATGCTGCCTACATGGGGGGTTACACGAGCACAGCTGAAAAGCAAGACGTTATCACGTAGAGAGTAAGGGAATATATGATATCTACTGAACATGTTGAAATGTAATTCCACTTTGTTGCATGTGTACTATACTATCAGAGGCAAAGATTCTCGCCATATGTCTTGGCTCAAAATGATGCCCGTAGGTAGAAAATAATAGTCCAGCTCTTCCCACAGATCAAGAATTCAGCCAGTATAACAATTCCTAACTATTGGCTAATTTAACTTGGCTTATTAGAGACAGACAAAACTATTTTTGACTACCTACAACCTATTAATTTGTTGACAGCTAGGGAACGCACCGTTGCACTGGATCGACTAACACCAGAGACAAAACAAGAAATCTACATTCTGGACCTGACTTACCTTGAGACCAATGACTGTGGTTAAAAGCCCCATGTTCTAATAATTATATATAAAGCAAGAACTAATCTATCGTCACTGTCTCTCATTAAAAGTGATTTAGAATTGTATTTTCTAAAAAGAGTTGAATCGCACCTTGCAAATACATCACCAAAGGCACAGTGCGCATAACCCAACATGCGCACTCCATCTGCTGACTCAGCAAAAACTTCAACCCATCCCAGCGCCATCATCAAACCAGCCCACCTCGAAAAAAGAAACGAACAAACCGCCAGCCATTGAATTGCGCCAGCCCTCCCGGCCCAGCTTCCCAAAGCCCCAAATGGCCGCAATTCTCGCTCCCCGTCGCGGCAAGGCCCTCAGTCAGGCCTTGTCCGCGGCGGCAGCCTCGCCGTGCCCGCTCTCGTCCTTCCTCCCGGCATCATCGACCGCCGCCTCCAGCACATGGCATTCTTCCGCACGACGATCGTTTTCGACGACACATGCCCGGGGATCGAAGCTGGGGAGGACGCCGCTGTCGATTCCTCCTGGTGTGGAGGTTTTGATGGGCGAGCCTAAGACGTTGAGGTCGGCGACGTCGTATAAACCTGTGGTGAGGAAGACGATTACTGTCAAGGGACCTCTGGGTGTGTACCTTTTTTTCTTGTTGGCAGTATATTGCTGTTACGCCTATTGGAAAACTTTCTTCTATACTGAAGAAATGCGATTTCGTGGTTTACAAGGAGTGCGTTGGACTGACGAGTGCGTGCTGTGCAGGAACATTAAACCTCGAAGTGCCCGAGTTTGTCGACCTGGTACAGAGCGAAGAAGACAAGACTGCGACGCTGAGCGTGAGGGATCCGAATGCAAAGGAGCAGAAGGAGATGTGGGGTACGTCATAATCTTGCATCCCCTTTCCCATTGCTCGAGAAAGTCGTCTGGAACACTGCTAACCTCGAGCCCGACATTTTGAAACCATACAGGCACATCATGGTCCTACCTCAGCAACCACATCACAGGCGTCTCCGAAGGCCACACAGCCATCATCCGCCTCGTCGGCGTCGGCTACCGCGCCAGCGTCGAGCAGCGCGGCGCCAAGGAGGAGTACCCGGGCCAAAAGTTCCTCTGCCTCAAGCTCGGCTTCACGCACCCCGTCGAGGTCGGCATCCCCAGGGGCGTCACCGTCACGACGCCGTCGCTGACGCGCATCCTGCTCGAGGGGCCTGATCGAGAGGTGCTCATGAGTTTTGCTGGTGTGGTGCGCAAGTGGAGGCCGCCGGAGCCGTACAAGGGCAAGGGCGTGTTTATAAATGACCAGACGATCAAGTTGAAGCAGAAGAAGATTAAATAAATGACACGACTATGACATGAGAGAGGGGAAAGGGCTTAGGGTCAATGATGATGTGGTGGCTATGAATAAAAAGGAGTGTGGGGGGAGAAACGACAAATGTACAATATGTGGTCTTTTGGTATGGGTGTTTGACAGACTTGTATTATCATCAGTTGAAAACAAAAAGGGCCTCTTTCGCGAGGTATTTAGACACACACACACACACACACACACACACACATATATATATATATATATACCTATATATACCATATCTGTATATTCCCAATCATCATTCAAGATTTAAACATGGGTAGATAAAAATTTGTTTAGTCCCTTACGATGGTATTTTTTACGTTTCTTTTATCAATCACCGCTTATGCAGACGTCTTACAACTTGGCACTCAACACCTCCTGCACCGCTTCCAACACCTTCCCATGCACCGCCAATGGCGCCGCGACAACACCCTTGTTGCCAGCGAGCGTCCGTCCAATGCTAAAGTCCAACCTCTTGCCGTGGATGTCCGTGACCTGGCCGCCAGATTCCCTCACAATGAGATCGCCAGCAGCGTGGTCCCAGATCTTCTCCTGGTACGTCGCGCTCACGGGGAGGCGCAGGTAGATGTCGCCTGCGCCACGGGCAATGGAGCCGTACTTGGCCTGGCTGTCCATGCGAACGCTCTGCGCAGTGATTCCCAACTTCTGTGAGATGGCAGCCTGGTCTCCGTGGGACGAGTGTCCAGCTTCGACGCTCTCGCAAAAGTTGGCCTTTGTCAGATCATCAATGGCGCGCATAGAAATGGGCGTGCCGGCCTCAACGTCGAGATTGACTGTCGCGATAGGGCGGCTCGTGGCGCCGTGGCCTTGGACAGCGGAGAAGAGCACGCCGTGGCCCTCGTCGGTCTGGTTCTCGCCAATGCCGGCAGTGAGGCGGGCATCGTTGTCGATGGGGAGGTTGGGGCATCCCAGGGCACCAACTTTGACGTCACCATCTACCATGAGGGCGAGACAAACGGCATACTGGCCTCCGCGGAGGAAACCCTTTGTACCGTCGATGGGATCAATGGCCCAGATGCGTCCTTGAGAGCCGCCCTGGCTGTTTCCCTTGTCGATAAGCTCAACCATGGCATCGATATCCTTGATAGGTCCACCGAGCAGCGCTTCAGCAGCAGCATCATCCAACTTAGTATCCTTGACCAAATCCCAAATAGTAGCCCTCAAGTTAGCATCCTCCTTGAGCTTCGCAGACTCCTCCTCGGCGACAATGGCATCGTCCGGGAAATTGTGCTGCAGGGCAGCGATGATGAGCGCCTGCGCGCCAAAGTCGCCGATTGTGACGGGGGACTTGTCGTTCTTGTCGACGGTCCCCTTGGCCTTTTCGTGGAAGACGCGCTTGGTGAGGATGGAGGCGCGCTGGACGGCGAGCTGGGCGATCTGCAGCTCCTTTTCGTACTTGTCCAAACGCATGGTTGCGGCTGTGGTGGAGAGGGAGAAGAATCGAGTTTGGCGGAGGAGGGAGGATAGCTGTTGTCCGGGTTGATGGACGAGGCGGGCGATGGAGAGCGATAGAGAAGCCGTTGTTGCGCCTGTGGAGGGGGAGGGGAGGGCGAGGATGAGGATTATGGCGGGAAGGACTAGGAAGAGGAAGAATCGAAGCTTTGGGAGGGAGGAAGATGGACTGGAGGCTGACGGCGGCGGTAGTTTATGTGGAGATGACGAGGAGGACATTCAGCGCGCAGTCAGACGAACGGGCGAGCCTTATTGTGAGCTACAAAGGATGATGTCTCTCTCTGTGTGTACCCTGTTAGAGACCCATACGACGAGTAATGATAATTAAACGGCAGTTGAATGTACAACAATCTTCAGCAACTGAATCCGTATAATATTGTAAAGATCAATTCTCCCCCGATACCGATGGCCCGTGATAGCACTGCCAAACTCGCTGCTGTTTCAATAATTACCCCGCCACCGCCTCCGATGTCCCGCCGCCTTTCCTCCCGCTAACGAGCTCCCTCATGGCGGGGCTCCTCTTCCTCCCCCGGCGCTCCGGCCACCCAATTTTCCGAGCCAGAAAAAAAAAATTCCATCTAAGCACATCAGATGGGAATTGCAACATGCTAACTAATTAACCCGTGCTAACTAATAGCCTCGGAACCTCTCCCAGCTTCCCATCCATCACCACCTCCATCCTCTCTTCCTCTCCCTTAATTCTCCCTCCTATCTTTATATATACGAAAACTCACCAAACTCCCGCAATGGCCTCCTCCCCCGCCAACCTCCGCGCCATTTACCGCTCCCTCCTCCGCGAGCTCCCGCCCCGCCCCATCCTCTCCTCTCCGCGAACTCCTCTCCACCGCCGCATCCGCTCCTCCTTCGTCGACTCTCCCTCTCCCTCGTCCTCTTCCTCTTTTGCGTCCTCCTCACACGCTTTAGAGCACCAGGCCCAGCTCGCCCAGCAGCTCATCGCCTACCTCCGCGCCCAGCGCATGTACGTCACCCTCATCGAGCGCTATAATCCGGGTATGGAGATGGACCAGGACGAGCGCATCCGCTTAACCGCCCGGAGAGTCGGCATGGATCTTCCCTCGGTGCAGAAGAAGAAGAAGACGCAGTGAGCTCGGGCTCTGCTAGGAAGAGGAGGGGGATAAACTACCTTCTTCCTTCTCTTCCTTTTTTTTATATTTTTTATACTTTTTGTTCTACTACTATTCGACTCTTGTCTTTTTTTATACCTGATTTTTTGGGATGGGATGCTGTCGTGTGACCTATCACGACTTTATTTATATGAAATACGTCTTCTGCGAAACGGCGCGGGAAGAGATGGGACACGTTGGAGAAGCCAATGCCGTGTAGCAATGCGCGGCTACACTGGAGCAATTTGGCGCTCGGCGGAAACGAGCGCTCAAGCGGAGAATATATCCATGGACAGGAAACTCTGTGAGCTTCAAATCGGTGCGCCACAATGACGGCGCACATGTACACATACAACAAAAGGGAGGAGATACCACTACACACAGGAACACAGGGCCTGCACAAAGCTGAGAGCATTGAGAGGGAGATAGTGTCGGGAATTTTCTCATCCAAGCCCGGCACTACGCACCGTCCCGTGCTAGAGCGAGGCGAGGGACATGCAACAACGACCACTTTACTAACAACCAACAATTTAAGACGAAGAGACTCTACAACGATATATCCACATCAAATATCCACTCATGTTTTTTATATGTATACACGCGCCATGTTCGGCCATACATATCTACCTGGTATATGTATATATATATTTACTTATATACAATGAAATGTCCGAAAATGCCAAAGCTCCAGGCCAGGTATAAATTTCCTCGGTGGGGTATCAAAAATCAGGCACAAAGCATGTGTGTGCCAATTCCAACTCTTCGCTTGCCAATAATCAGATGTCGTGAAAATCTCTTCTTCTTTTTTTTCATCTCTTTGCATCATCGTTGAAATCGTCGTGAAAAAGTGCTCTTCAAAGTAAAAACGAATGAGCTGAATGGAAAAAGGGGGGTGAAGAAAAAAGTAAATGAAAAAAACAGTCAAAATGCACGCTCACACCACGCCAACTCCGTTATCTTCCAGGGACTCGTCCCATCCTCCCGTCTGCAGCAGCCACTCCCCAGCCCGCTGCTTCACTGCCGCCATGGCCGTTCCCAGTGAGCTGTTCCACTGGTCCTGTACAACCCGTACTTTTTCTTTGAGATCCTCCGTCAGACGGCGATTCTCCACCTCTCGCATCTGCTTGGCCCGTAGCTCTCGATCCTCAGGTCGGATCGGTGTACCGTCGGCTTCGGCAAGCTGCGTTGCAAGTACCCTTGCTTTGGCATTGACAACCGCCTCCTTGACCTCGTGAAGAAGACACAGCTGGTTTGTGTGCGCCTCGATGAATTGATAGGTACTCTTCTCGGCATGGAGTAGCAGGCTGTAGAGGTACTGTAGCGGATGATCATGATACGCCGGGTTCTCCTCGTACTCTGAAGCTGGAATTTGAACACCAAAATCCTCCAGATCCATCGGGATAGTATCCAAAAGACCGCAGAGCGGCGGTGCGATGTCCCAAAACGCCGAAAGCTGTAGCTCGATGCCACGCGCAACTGCCTCTTCCATCACGGATCTGAATTCACGTGCCCGGTTTAGTACCTCATTGGCATACGCGTATTCTCGCTTCTCTGCGTCCTCTCTGAAAAATGCCTCTGCCGACTTGAGTTTCTCCGTGTTGCCAGACAGTCGATATGGTGTCAGCACAACGTCACGGTATCGGGCATTGCGGTCCGATAGCAAGTCGTAGATGGCCCGGTGCAAAGACTCGCGCTGCTCAAAGATCCATTTGAGGAGAGTCAGTTTCTCTAATAGCTCGGGCTTATCGTCTCCTTCTTCTTGGGGCATGTCGGCATCGATCTCGCTGCTGTCGAATAAGTGCCGTGCTAGATCATCGAATAGCTCTGTCGCTCGAGTGATTCGCTCCGTCAGAATGTCGTTCAACGGCAGTACCACTTGGTTCTGAAAATGCTCGTATTCCAGCTTCTCAATCTCCTTCTTCTTATCCTTCTCCTGTTCATTAAAGTCGGATTCAATCGCCGCGGCATCAGCGTACCCCAGATTTCCCGAGTTGATTTCTTTCTGCAGGTTGGACCTCAGCGCCAGGCGACGCTCTCCTGCTGCCTTGGTAGCCTCCTCTCGGCGCCGGAGGCTGCTAGAAGCAAATCTCTCTTTTGACCCCTCAATATCCGCCAGCTCGCTCAAAGATCGTACAGAGGTGCGAATCGATGTCAGCTCAGGGTGGTTATTATTCACCGCAGGATGATGCCTTGGGTAAGGGGGTGGCATGGTGACCAATCTGGAAACATCCAAAAGCCCATGCCTGTTTGTCGCCGTCGACGGAGTAGAGGCCACGGAGGTGTTTGACGGCTGAGGAGTCCATACCGCCTCTCCCTGGTCATGCCAGCCTGTCTTTTCCGGAGGATACTCTGACGAAGAGCCTTGCTCGCTTATAGTCGCATAATGCGGAGTATTCTGCTCATCTTCGATCCACTGGTCCTTGGGAACACCCATGTACTTGGACTCACGCTTGGATCTTTCAAAACCACCACGATTCGGGTCACCATTTGAATCCGTTTCCCACCATCGACTGGGAGGTCTCCCACGTGAGCTATTCTCATGGTTGTCACTCACGCTCATGCTAAGGATGGGGGAGAGGGAGGGCATATAATTTGCGGTGCCGCCCCAGTTAAGAGGTTGCTTTATCCCAGGGGATGGCGGGAGGCTGCCAGATGCTGGGGCCGAGCTCGATGAGTCGTCAGCCTGGTGGACAGAACTGACAGACCCCCGGTGCGATCGGTTTGGTTCCGAAGACTCCGGAGTCCAATCGCCCAGAGACTGTGAAGTCATCGACTCTCGCCGGGCAGCGTTCATGGGGCGAAATAGATCACGGCTCAAATCGAAGATCTCAGATCCCATAGCGCCAATAGCGGACGAGTATCTCTCACGTCGAATTCTGGACTCGGTGACTATGAAATCTGAAAAGAGACGGACTCGGTCTGCGTCTGTGGCAGCCGAGGCTTCTTTAATCGCAAATGATCGAAACCGTTCGATGGTGCCAGTTGCGAATTCAGCAGCGCTCTGGTTCACAATCACTTCTTTGGATGGCGACGCCGCCATGGACGCAGAGAGGCGTGAAGCCTCAGCAATCATCGATCCAGAGGCAGACCTGGTCTGAGGCGGCGGAGTCGGGAGAGATTTTGGCACAGCACCTTGGCTTCCGCCGCGTTGTCGGTAGGCCTTGGCCGGCATTGGCGAGAACGGTGGCGTGGCTGCTTCGTGGTGTAGCAATGTCGCCGAATCCGGTGCCCGAGGTGTCGAATTACGGGAATTTGATGATTCCCCGGTAAGAGGTTGGTCCATGGGGGCTTTCCCACTGCTCCGGGGAGTTGTCTTGCCAACAGTAAGCTTACGGGCCAGGCCACCAGCCGGGGGAACAATAATGTCGGCAATATGCTGTCCTTGTAACGTGCTATCAATAGATCCCCTGGATTCATGTCGAGAACGGCTCTCGCTTCTCCTCTGGAGGATGGTCTTGTCATGGCGCACGGCCTTGGCACGGTTCAAGCCACTTGCGCTGCCCGAAGAATTCAGGGGTGGCTCTATGGGCTCGCTAGGATTGCTCGCGCTCGTCGTATCAATTGTCAGGTTATGAGACCGCCCTTTTGCTGGCTCAGTGGGCTGCGGTAGCTGTATTTGTCGTGACGACTCGCCGGTCTGGACGGACGCGAGAGGATGTAACTGCGCAGAGGATACTTGAGTCTGAGGCCGAGCGGCCGGCGGCGTGTCACTGTCAACCCAGTCGGCGGGCGTTGGAGGAACGGGTCCTAGGGACGATATACCGGAAGGGGGAGGCCTGCGAGTTGGTGGGGAAATGATGGGCACATTGTTCCTGTCCATGCCCTGTACGCTTTGTGATCTGCTCGACGAAGGCGGCGGAGGTGGCCCAGGCGGAGGCGGAGGGAGTGGCATGCCAGGCTCCCACCTCGTCTGAGAAGTAGACCGTGAGCGGGCAGACGTCGGCGTATCGATGGCGCCTGTGGAGGCAGCTCTACGAGATGCTGGCGGAAATGCGTCAACGTTGATAGCAGATGTAGCTGCGGCTCGTTCTTGCTCCAAGGCGTGGAATAAGGCAGGCCCAACGCTCCGTCTAGACGCGGGCATCGGCTCTGGGGGGCTGGCAGATTCGGTGTCTCTCCGTCTTCCCAAAGATGCCAGTGCAAAGAGACGCTCTCGAGAACTTCCCCTACCACTCACACCCGGCGGGGGAGGAAATGAGCGGGTAGCAGCAGCTGGAGGCTCGGGAGAGGGCCGGTGGCCCAGCATGTTAGAGAAGCGCGAAGTAGTAGCGGCGGCCACTTGCGCCGGTGAGTAGTCGAAAGCCATACTGACGGGACGAGGTTGCTGCATGCTTCTCCTAGGAGTGTATGGCGGAGGCGGAGGCGGGTTTGATGGTGAAGCTGTCATTTCAAATCTGGTCAGCACACAACTGTTGCCCATTTGCAGGTAGTCCAAGGGCGATGTTGAAGAGGCCCAGCAAAGATCTAGCAGAGACATAGGAAAGGTTTCTAAAAACAGCTATCTAGGGAGAGTATCAACGAGAGAAAAGAAGAAAAGGTCCCCACCCTGAGCTTCGCTGCCCACAAACTGCAGAGGTCGCTCTGTCGCTGCCATGGCGGCTGGCGATGCTACCCATTCCTGCGGATTGTACGGCAGGATGGCGCTGCCAGGCGTGTGTATCGTCTGGACATGAGAGGAAGCCATGGACACAGCGGATATGGGCGAGACGAGCTGGTTACCGTAGCCCGCTAAGGACGTGGTTGAGAGCGGATGAAGGGCATGGCGAAGACGCGTGGGATCACGGGGAGAGGTGGAAGACATATTGGCTCAAGCTCCCAGAGGCCCAACCGCCCGCGGTCTCCTAAGTCGGTAACCCTTGACCCTTGTTGTTGACCTAGGGGGGGCAAAGACGCTTGCTGAGAAGTGCTGAGGCTGCCGAGGGATGCGACTTGGAAGGCAGGTGGAAGATTGGATCTGGAGATGGGCCCCCAGGTCGGGCCTGATGTCAGAACTATCGGCGGCAGCGCACTCCACACCAACTCGGAGGCGGTATGCCAGATGAGGTCTGTGTTTCGTTCTATTTGGAGGTCTCGCCTGGCATCCCTGGATCCACCCCAGAGCATCGATTTCAGGTGGCGGATAGAGGCCGGTCGACAAGGAGCGCTCGGATTGGCGAGAAGAGGGCGAGGAGGGGGAAGAGCTGGACTAGCGACAAGACCAGGAAGGACGGCTGCTACCATACAGGTACGGTACTCGCACAGGCACGAGATGTTCCCTGTACAGGACTCCGGACGACAGGCACTTGACGCAGGTATGGGCAAACGGGAAGCGATCAAACATGGCGAGTCGCACGGCTTCCCGTAGTGGGAAAAGGAGCGAGCCGCGGCTGAGGTACGAGTACATTCGGCGCGGCTGGGCTTTGGCTTGGCCTGGACGTACCGGTTCGGACACTAACACCGTAGCCAGACACGAGCCATTAAGAAGCCTGCATCAAGGCAGAAAGAGGGAGCATGGCAGCACGCAAGGCAGCGCATTGAGGGGCCGTTTGGTGGTGATGGCGAGATCTGCTTGGCCGAGCGCGAGTTTGGCGGTCCCTGTGGAAGCGGCGCGCTAGGCCGAGCAGGGACGAGGCGACCAGCCTGTGGCGCCAGTGCGCAAATCCCATGTACAGGTACCAGGGATCTTTTGTACCCGCTGTTTCTAATACACATCGTACATGCGCTCTGCATCTGCACGTGTGTTCAATCCCTCCCTATAACGCCTACATAGCACTACTGTATCTATAACTAACACTACCTACTCTGTAGTATTACATGCAGTTGTACGTTTTGTTGTTTCAAGATGGCAAACCAAGGGGCTCGATCGCTGCAAGCTTGCTGAAGGATTCCCGCCGTCGACTCAAGGATTGCCTAAAAGCGCATACCCGGACGCTCCATGAAATGCCAGGGACGGTCCGGTGTGTGATGGAATGTGACGACGACAAAGTGGGCCGCCTCGTTTTCAAGAACACAACCGAACGTGCATTGTTCGTTTTTCCTTATCAATCATGCCTGCACGCGACTGTTGGTTACAGGTTGATTGGGGATTTAGGCTGCATGGAGGTATGAAACTTGCATCTCCCACAGTTTGCCTTGACCTGGTCAATGTGGCGTGCATTCCTTTGCACTTTGAAAGAAAGCACAGATAAGGAATCGAATGTCAAAACGGCGTTACAAACATGTGATGTGGCCTGAGAAATACAGATAGGCAGACATCGAGGCCATCGCGAAGTGCTTGCATTGAAGAAAATCCAGTATTGGTGGGTGGTACGGGGTACATTCAACCAAGTACTTGGTACGAAGGCGTCTGCCACTAGATATGCGACCGCCCCTGCGTGGATCGCGCCTTTTTTTTTTTTTTTCTGCTTTGGACGCAAGTTTATTATCGAGAACCGGCTCCTGTTGGCTGAAAGAAACAAGGCGCTACTAAGCGCCGGCAGCCATTGAACCACATGTGTTCCTAATATAGCTGCCAATCAGAGCTGCAGACGGAGATCCATCTCCAAGAATAGATCGGCGCTCCCACATTTGGATTCTGCATCATTGGAGCGACAAAAAGGAACGGATGGATGGGTTACTCAAAACTCGGTCGATTTTTTGCAGAATCTGCTCGCTTTTAGTTTTCCGAGACTGTTTCTTCAGTGTTTTTGACTTTTCACCTTCTTATTCAATTTTTTTTCATCTCCATCTTCATGATACGATACAGATAACGTACTCAGACATACACGAGAGCACACCAATTCGTCCTCTGTAGCCCTGCTCTTTCGGCAGTTGGTGGGCTTATAACCGCCCGGCCGGCATTCTTGCGCATAATCATCCTTGCCCTTCCATGTTCCCCTTGGTAAAATCACCGGAAGCAAAAAATAGCAATCGATCACGATTTGGAATCTGCTATAAGGAAGCGTCAGATTTCCCCTTTTCCTCCCAACGGCGAGCCCGCCAATGGCCTGTAAGGAGTAACATGCTGTTGATTTTTTTTAGCAGCCGTTATATCTTGAGGTCGTGTGTCATGCAACCGCGCTGATAACGGCACCAGACCCAGATAGTGTGCAGCCTCGCTGACCCGGCACTCGGTCGCTCTACTAATCTGACTTTCAGATTCCTCTGCCAGATTCAGCTTCATGGGCGCTAGCCCCGCCTCTCACTGAGCTTATTGCTGAGAATGAGGCACGGCGGGCAAAGTAGCACGCCCTGTTGCGTCGAATGAATTCCTCAAACTGGTGTTGACATAAGCGGAAGTAATCACGCTTGGCGACTATCGAAGCGGCTATTTAAATCACTAATACGGTACAGGCCGCCTTCTGCGAGTGGTTACATATTAACAGCCGCTCGGTTACAATCTTCCTGCTACAGGGTAAGGATTATACGCAGACGCTTGTACGAGGATAGAAACTGTGCCAGGAACCTGGGATCATGATGTTACTCTGGTGATGTAAGTAATAAGCCCTACGGATATTTCGATGCTTTGTCTTCCATTACATGCGCCTTGCACCTACCGAGTACCCATATACACAAGTGTATCATGATGAATGGCAAATAAGTACAATTATAGAAAAGGGTCTGAGCGGCACAATATCCACAAGTAATCAGAGAGTCTGGATGGGTCGTAAGACCTAGCATTGCAGTACCAGTATATTGATTGAGGATATGTCACTTGACTAACTTTCAAGGCTTAATCTTAATCATTCTTGTGCCACGGGAATGGCTCGGCAAGCACATCGCTCGGACAGCCACAAACCTGCTCGGCCTTTCTTGAGCTTACTTGCACTCTTCAGTTGACTTGCACGGTAGAGCTGCGGGTTTACAGCGGATGTTCCGGATAACATGAGCGTTCCATTCTTGTCTTGTTTGTGAAAGCTCACGGCCAATCGGAGCTGCTCCTTATCTAGCTGTCAAGTTGGCGTCTCAGTGCACCGAACTCCGAGAGAGGTGTGAAACAGATCAAGTATAGAAAGAGTATTTGGACTTTTTAATCACCTCTCTCTGTCCTCGAGCTATTACTATTACCATAATATCCTCCCAATATTGCGTGCACACGGAAAATATGCCGCCAGCCGCAGAGCCACTCAAGTGCACATGTGTCCTGTAGAACGTGCTTGAGTCCATTCACGAATTACGTTGCTCTATATGGCTTATGTAATACAATTGTTTGGTGAGGCTAGGTTGACCAGCCAATTGCACTAGCAGCCAAGTGGGGACGAGGCTCATAAAAATTCTAGAGGCTTCTGAAGGTCTCTTTCTTCCTTCTTCAAGCAGCCCGCCAATTCTCTCCTTCTCTGCTTCAAACCACCATTTCACCTTCACGCCATACTCTTACTTCTTAATCAGCTCTAATCAATACGGTACGTTGAATCCGAAGCTTCCCATACAACTGCCCACCATTGCATAACCCCTACATGATGAGATACCAGCTGGCACCAGTCATAGAGTGATTTGTACTCCCTTTCAGTGATGACCAAAATGCTTAGGTCTTAGACCATTTCTGAACCCTTATTTGCAAGCTCAATTATGCGTTGTTCTTCTGCTTGATCTAGGGTTGACATTGAAGCTGACCACTGGAATCGAACAGGACTTGCCCGCTGCGCGGACGACCGGTTAAAATTTTTTCATTCTCTAAGCCTGCTCGTCAAAATGGTTCTGCACAACCCCAACAACTGGCACTGGGTGAACAAGGATGCGTCTGCCTGGGCAAAAGAGTGGTTCGAAGAAAACTTGACCAAGCTTGAGACCGAAAATGGAGACGTCAAGGCCAGAATCACCAAGGTCCAAAGCATGAGTGGTGACGTTGACGTCAGCCAACGCAAGGGGAAAGTCATCACCATCTTTGATGTTAAGCTAGTGCTGGAGTATTCTGGTATGGTAAACCTCAACGTTCATGGCGAGAGCGTCTGGGGCTGACTTTCCCCCTAGGGTCCACTGCCGAGATCGACGAGGTCTCTGGTAACATTACTGTTCCCGAGATTGCCCATGATACGGAAGAGGACGAGTACGTGGTATGTATAGCTGTCCTCTAGCCTTGTCTTGCTCTCACATATATCTAACAGCCCGTATCTAGTTTGAGATTGACATCTTCTCAGAGTCAAAGGAGAAGCAGCCCGTCAAGGATCTCGTGCGATCAAAGCTTGTTCCTCAGCTCCGAAAAGAGTTTCAGAAACTTGCTGGTGCCTTGATCACTGAGCATGGAAAGGATATTCAGCACGCTCCCGGCTCCAACCCTTCCAGCGGCTTCTCTACCCCACGAACCCTCCCCCAGGCTGCACCAAAAGCTGCAGCTCAACCCACAGCTTCTCACACTAGCAGCTCGGGCGTTGTCAACACGGTAACAGTGCGTGACGACCAAGAGTTCCGCACCACTGCTGAGGAGCTGTATCAGACCTTTGTCGATCCTCAGCGATTGGCTGCCTTCACTCGGGCGCCACCAAAGGTGTTTGAGGGAGCAAAGGCAGGAGGCAAGTTTGAGCTCTTTGACGGCAACGTCTCTGGAGAATACCTTGAGCTGGAAAAGCCCAAGAAGATTGTCCAGACCTGGAGATTGAACCAGTGGCCCGCCGGTCACTACTCGAAGCTCAACATTGAGTTCGACCAGAACGATATCGACCACGTTACCGTCATGCGCGTCACCTGGGAGGGCGTTCCTGTCGGCCAGGAAGACGTGACCAGGCGTAACTGGGGCGAGTATTACGTGCGAAGCATCAAGCAGACTTTTGGGTACGTTGTCATCATTCACTGAATGTGTTGGAGTCCCCCAGAGCATGACTAACTCTTGTGGAATTAGATTTGGTACCATTCTATAATCTGAGAAACATATCCATTGGAAACACATACACATTTTCTTTATAATCAAAGCGCTCTAGATGAGGGTAGAGACAAGGGGTCGGCATCTCTGCCAATGGTGGCGGATGGGTATATACTTTATTACTAGGTAGTCTTGGTAGGTCTACGCAAGACCTAGATGCGTGTAGATACGACGAACATGAATGATGATACGAAGATGTCCAACAAGAAAGAGGAAAAAATACAATATAAAACCCCATTATTCAAACAGTATCGATGAAGATGTCTCTTTCTCGTGCCGCGAATGTAGTACAAGAGAATTAGAATTCATGTCTCTTTTATTGAGGATATCCAGACTTGGTGGTAGAGATACTGCGCCCTCGTGGTCGACGCTCGGCTAGGGGCTCCTCTGTTCCGTCATTAAATGCATAGTTGGAAAAGAAGACATCGCCGAGGTTATGCCACAATCCCATGTCATATAAGTTGTCGACGGTTTTGAGGTCCCATACATGCTCCCACTCGCCCTCGCCTGGGTAATTCCCTTGGTCGCTTGGCGGCTGCGCGTCTTGGGTGGCCAATATGATGTGCTCTGGCGACGAGGGCCACCGAGGACATAGTGGCTCCAAACGCAAGTTACGGGGTCGGTTAGGCGCCAGAGGACGTCGAAAGGCATAGCCGTCCCTCATGTCCTCCTTGTAGTCTGTCCATTTCATGGACTCGTTGGTCGTGGTTCCGCAGTAGATGAGGAAGACGGTGTAGATGAAGAGGGCCCATATTAGAGGTGAGGTGAGGAGGGCGAGAAGAGTGGCAGCGCCGACACGGATATCGCCATGGAGGCCCCAGCCCCAGACAGCAAGATACTCGCTGAACTCCAAATCTTGGCCTGGCCAGACGGTCCATAATGGGTACTCTTCTTTTATTTTCGACGTTAACAGGTAGAGACCCAGGAAGCCGCCGTAGGTGGCCAAGACGCACGTCGATAAAAGGAGGAGAAGGAACCAGTGGTGGTTGCCGTAGCCCACACACGAGTTGATGAAGACGCAGTGATGATCGGCCCTGGCGATGCAGCGTTTACAGACATCGCAGTGCTTTGATCGCGCGGGTTTCAGGAACCGACAGGTGCGGCATTCGTTGCCCGGATGGAAGAGGGCGTAGTCATAGGGGTAGAGAGACATGTGGTACGCATGATTCTCGCGGGTGATGTACCCTGGGTCTGCGGAGCAGGCGAGATACAGGAACACGTACGGCAGGATGACGGCGATGGTGGCGGTGAATTTGGTGAAGAGGCCGATCCTGGGCCAGACATCAGGGAGGTACATGTACTCAGAGACCGTCATGATCAATAAAAAGAAGATCTGGAGGGCATGTGTAAGTCGTGGATCATGTGTATAAAGAGAGCCATTGCAACTACATACCACGATCGTTGGATGACGGTCATACATGAGGCGATTATAAATCCATGACAGCGATCCAGTCACTCTCCCACCAGTGAGTGTCTGGTCTATACTCGACACCAGGTCGGGGAAATGAATCCATATCAGCTTGTATAACCAAGCGATGGGTGTTTTCCTACGTGTCCCCTGTGTTCAGTAACAAGCCCCTCTTGTACACAGATGCCAGTCTCTAACTCACCTCAAAGCCGGAAGTCTGCCGAAGAAGGTAATGAATACCATAAAAGATATGGCCAAAACTACAATGAGAATCTTCTTTAGGGTGTCCATCGTGACAGACGGATCGAGCTGGGCAGGACTACGGCATCTGATGTTAATAGGGCGAGGAGTCCTATGCCGTAATTTCGTATATATGATCCGAATCCAAAATCTATCGTTGAGGGACTAAAAGCTCTTATATCGTTAATTTTTTTTGAGGGGTAAATAAAAGAAAGAAAGAAATAACAAGAGAAATATATGCTACAAAGCTCGTGTACTGCAGCGCGCTGAAAAGAAGCAAAAGGAAACAAAGGAGTAAGGATAATAGAAAGGTGGCTGAGCTGGATGACTGGACAACAGCTGTCACCAGCTGCATCGCAAGCAAAATATCGGTGTTTACTATTCTTATCGCGGGGCGCCTAGGCCCCCGATAATCGATAATAGCCTCCACTGCAACTGCAACTGCACTACAACTGGAGGTCTAGGGAATGCAGCGTATGCATCACGTGACCCCGCGACGTCCGTCACGCGTCTCATGCGTTGGGTGAATGAGTTTGGGAGTTAAAAGTGAGCAGAAAGGCACGGACAGCAAAGAAATGAACGCGGAAGAGAGTGTGGAATTTATTTCCAACGAGAATCGACGCTGAATTTGAGCTCACGCAGCACCGCTGGGGGCGTGTTTCTGCCCTTTTCACTCAGCTTTCCCTTCATTGATATTGGAGAGCCTCGATCCCTTCACTCACCTCGGAGTCGGTCAAAGCTTGTCAGCGCAACAACGCATTTCATCTCATTGAGCATGAATTTTATCGCACTCTAGGGGATTCATATAACTGGGGATCATCGCCACCGATTTAACTCTTAATCCTGCACACCGACAAAGGATTGCGCATCAATCGTATACAATGGCGTCGCACATTACGTATGATGGGGTTACAGGCGCAGCGGCGGGTGGCAACATCTTCAAGGACATCAAATTCTGGGTTTCCAGAAGAGTTCCCCAAAGAGACAGCATTCTCGACAAGATTCAGGTATGATGAGAGCTTACAAGTCTACTGAGCTGTTACTAACATTTTTTTCAGAGCAACTCGGGTGTTGTGGTCGCTCTGGAGAAGGATGCAGACATGCTCATTGCAGACCACGCAAGAAAAGATGCACCACTAGGTTCATATTCGTGGAAGTACATCACAGAGTCTGTAAACGCCGGCATTATCCAGGTCGAGGACAAATATCTCATTGGACCTCCGCCCAACCAGCGCCGATCAGTGCTCACGGGCGCACATGCCAAGAAAACCCGGACACCCTTTACAGAACAAGACGACGCCATCGTTGCCAAGTGGATTCTCAAGCATGGGACCTATACTGCTGGGAATAAAATGTACATGGAGCTAGAAGACGCAGTATGTCTGCATCAATTGCCTCCCGTTCCCTTATAACTCAAAAGATCACATCCTAATCATGTCTAGTATCCCCATCATCCTTGGCAGTCATGGAGGAACCGGTGGGTAAAGGTCTTGTCAGCAAGGTCCAATGCAGAGATAGATCGCCTGGCAAGATTGGCCAACGTGGATGTGGACAATGCACCAATTACCGCGAGACATATTATCAGGAGACACCAGAGAGAGGACTGGCCAGAGGCACCTCAGAGCAACGCAGTCCCCAACACCAACCGAAATCCTCAAAATCACAACGTACCGGCGGCGCCTAGAGTATCTAGAAGTGAACAAACTCAGCCCAGAGATGTGGCACCACCTGATCGCAATATGAGAAACGCCCCAGATGACGCAGCCTCTAAGCCAAACAGTGATGGTGATGAAGAAGAGGATACGGTTATCCACCACGATACAGCTGGTGAAGCGAGGCCAGCTGCCTCCAGAGAGCCTGAGAGGCAATCAATACAGAAGCGAAAGAAAAGTACCAGAGTGGAACCAGGAGGCGAATTAGGAGAAGAAGAGAGAAGAAATGCTGAACAAGGCAATGAAAATGACGACGGCCAAGATGAAGCCAGTGTTGACGAAGGTCTATCTTCCTTCTCGGAGAGAGAGCAGTTCCTCAGCGATCTCCAGGACTACTGCGAGGCAAATGACAGGGCGCTTGACACACGGTGTATTATCGGGGATAAAGAAGTAGACCTATGGGAATTGTTTCGCGCTGTTAGCGTGCAAGAATTACCTCCAGATGAGTTGGACTGGCAGCAAGTGGCAGAGCACGTGGGACTTGGGCGGATGCGGAACGGCGAGGCTGTCGCTGCTTCACTGAGATCGAGCTACGATCGTCATCTCGCAGACTTCGTAGAGGCCATGATGAGCTTTGAAGAGAACGAGGAGGATCCTGATGAGGATATTGCTGAAGGCGAAGAAACATTCATAGGAGATGAGGAAACTGCGGCGGGATCAAAAACACCAAGAGGCTCACAGAGAAACAGCGCAGCATCCCCATTATTGAGCGACAATGGCGGCTCAAATTTGAGAAAAAGGTTACCAGAGGGGCAGCTTTCAACACCAACCAAACTGACCAAGCGAAGGCGAACAGTGCACTCCGAGATTCCAGTGACTCCCGAAGACAAGCTGAGAACCGGCAGGCCCTCGTCCGCACCAGCATCAGCACCAGGTAATCTGCAAAGCATGGCGGACCAAGAGCAAGAATTGCCAGAGATGGAGGACTCGCGGCAAAGGACACCGCGGCAGAATCAACAGCGCCAGCAATCGCCTGATGAGCCAGATATGACTCCCTCTCAACAACTACGGAGCGAGACCGATTCGATTGCGAGCCCCGAACATAATGAATCAAGGACTCCTACTCTCTATTACAGTCCGACAGCATCTTATCCCCACAGACAACTTGAAACAATACAAGAGGAAGACTCTGCCACATCCACGCCGACGAAGTCGAGGTCTAAGAGGCGCGAGCTCCCGGCGTCTTTTCAACAGCCTCGGGAACCTCGGCTCTTGCAGCTTGAGGAGAGGCGAGAAAAGAGGCGGCAGCTGGAACAAGAACGACGACAACGGCAACAGCAGCGACAGCAGCAACGACTGGAAGAGCATCGGCAGCAAGAACTACGCCAGGAAGAACGGCGGCGAGAAGAAGAGCAACAACAGCAACAGCAACAGCAACAACAAGAACAGCAGCAAGTTGATCAAACACAGGAACAGGAGCAGGAACAGGAACTTCAACGACAGCGATGGCACCAAGACGCAGCCGACTCAAGCGAAACCGACCCAGAAGTCGTCCAGCAGAGCCAGGAACAGTTCATCTCCTGGAAAGAACACTACCTCGACCAGGGCTTTTCCGAGGAAATCATCATCGAAGCCATGCGCCGCACCACAATGACCCCCGGCGAAGCCATGGAGGCCGTCCTGACGAGCCTCAGGGACGGTCAAGGCATCCCGCCCAACCACGAGGGCATCTGGACGGACCGCGACGACGCACAGCTGAAATACGTCGTCCGCGTCGGCGATTTGCGGCGCGCGGACGAGGACAACGGCGATACGCGGCGGCGCAAGGAGAAGGCGCGCAAGATGCTTGACAGGCTGCTGTTCAAGCATGATGAGTCCAGGGTCAAGCTGCGTAGGAAGTTTCATCGGGCGGTGGCCTTGGCGGAGAGGGACAGGCGGCGGCGGGATAGACAGCAGTCGAGGGAAGGGAATGATCAATGATTTGCTTTGCTTATGTTACATTCAAACATCGTGTCCAGCGTTTGTGCTTTCCGCATTTTCTCTCTTTTGTTACCGCAACGAATGGAGCAAAAAATGGTATACTGAATGAAAATTAGGCCGGTTTGTTCTGAGTGTTTTACTGTTTTTCTTTCATTTTTATCCCAAGTATATACTTATACATATATACAGAATGTTGGATTTCCGTCATTCTTGAAATCAATCGCTCGCCAACCTTCACTCTCTGCGCTGCAGAGTATGTCCATAGTGCCATCCCTCCATAGCAATATCCGCCCTCACCTTGTACACCTCCTCTGCAATGTCCAAGACCTTCATATCAACGTCCACCACAGTCATCGCCTCCTCAACGCCAAGCTTGCCAAGGGCTCCCTGCAGCGGCATCGCCACCTGTGTCAGCCCAATAAACTCTGTGCCCTCTTCGTCCTTGCCACTCGTTCCGCTTCCCAGCGGTGCGCCCGTGTTGCAGAACACAAAGCCGCACGTGTTCTCAAATGCTCGGGCCACAGCCACGTTCTCCAAGAACAGGCGCTCGCATTCCGGGTTCACATCAGCACCAATGTCGCCTCCGTCGCTGTTGAGCCAAAAGGTAGGGCACACGACAAACTTGGCCCCATCGGCAACCAGCGCACGGCATGCCTCAGGGAAGGCCAAGTCCCAGCAGATGATGAGTCCGACACGACCCCAGGGAGTATCAAACGCCCTGTGCGGCGTCAATCCATCGGCCGTCAGATGATCTCTCTCGGGGTGCCACAGGTTCTTCTTCTGGTAGCGCCCCAGAACGGCGCCGTCCGGACCGATAAAGTACGCCGCATTCGCAATTCCTTCAGTCATGGAGGCGTGGCCTTCTTCCGCAGGGATAGGCTCTAGGATCGTGCCCGGAGCAATGGCGATGCCGAGCTCCTTGGCAATGGCCTGATATTTTGCAAGATATGGCGTCTGCTCCTTGGCCGTTGCGAGGAGGATCTTGGAGTCGGGCTTCCATGAGCCGAGATGGTACTCAGGAAGGACGACCAGGTTCGCGCCCTGGGAGGCGGCCTTGCGGATGTATGACTCTGCGCGAGCAAAGTTGCCAGCTACATCGAGCGGCTAGAGTTGGTGAACAATTAGGAGACAAGATCAGCCTTCATAATTGCTTCCTAGGAGCTGCAGCAGGGGTTGTTGGTGGCACACGGGCGACGAATGCCAAGCAATACGTCAGATATGCAAACTCACCTTGGAATACAGCTGAACCAGCGCAATCTTCAAATTCGACGCCATTGTCACAGAAAATCAAATGCTAACACAAGTCAAAGTGTACTGGGGAATCTTTGAAAGGATGGAGTCAAGTGCCAAGAGATGTTTTCTACCTAGTAAACCGGCCCGGTCGAGATAAAGAAAGTCGTTTATAAATGCGCAACTCCATATGGGGTAAACCCGGAACCGGCTCAAAGCTGACATCAACTACGGAGAGGGCGCCGGGTCTGTCCAATTGCACGGCGCGGCTGAACCCCGCGATTCGGTCACTAGCTGTACTCGATATTTCTGTTATCAAATCCCGGAACTCGAGTCAGGTTCAGGGCTAATAAGCTGCTCCATGCTAATATTCCCCATGATTCCACATAAGAACTAGTAGGAATTCTTCCCCAAGAGACCACGAGGCCACCGTTTTCGTACGGAACAGATCGGAAGGCTGCGTAGTGATCAGCTCTTAGAACGATCCATAACTGTGTTGCCCAACGAACCAAGACCTCCCGCCCACAACTGATCTAGATGATTGCTTGCGTATCTCGAAACCCATAAAACTCCTGGTTCAATAATATTTGGTGGTAACCGTGTCCGTTGAAAACCGTGTCCGTTGAAATCGCTCCTGGAATACTAATATGAAATCGCCACTCCAGAGTATTCATGTCCCAAACGCCATATCCCCATATACCTTCCAAAAATGGAAACCCAATGATTTCCGCTGTTACGCTCGAGCAGCCTCTTCCAGTTTAAATTGGTAAAGATCGCCACGGGAAAGCCCATTATTCGAATAAATAGCCTCATCAAATGACGGTGTCGAGTTCGCTCTGAGGGGCACCTTGCCATGAGACGAAAATGCTGTGTGAATATCACTTCCATAATGCTTGACAATGGATATTCCAAATCCAACCATCTCTCCTAAGTTTTTACTTTTGTTAATATTTCGCACCAAGAAACGCTGGTCCACCTCAGTATCACTCACCTAAACTGATGAGCATAATGTTTCGTGTTGCAGAAGGTGGGAGTCCATACGACCCAACAACCAGAGACGTGAGTGGGCAAAATACGTGCGGCCACCAAGAACCCCAGCCAAAGCTGCTGTAGATTGTGCCACGAAGGGTAACGGCTGATGAAGAAGCCGAGTCCAGAATGTCTATCAGATCCGAAGCTGTTTGCTGGGCAGAAACAAGCTGTTCCTGGTGGCCTTTGTGCTGAGCCAGTAAAGAGTCAGCTAACCTTTCGAGTTTTTTCATGCTCTATTCAAGCTCTATCAGCTATTCGTGTTTGAAAAGGAGCCAACGCGGGCAACGTACCGTCTCTATGCTCTCCTGTCTCAACGCAACTGCTGCAGCTGCAGACTGCGAGATTTCAATTTCTCTATGCAGAGATGTGGACGAGGCGATTGCCGCGCCAAGCGCTCCCAAAATGATATCTACTTCATTGGTGATCCGTATTGTAGCCTCTTGTAAAGCAGACTCATGAGAAGTTGTTAAATCGTGACTCTGATTTTGTGTCACGTCGACCAGCATGGATAGCAGTGTTTGTAATTGCCTTGCCTCTCCAAGCCCATGAGTGACAAAGTCCGCTGATTGCTGCAAGCTCCGTTAGTGCCAATCATGAGAATCAATGAAGCAAATCACATACGAACCTGTACGTTTTGAACTATGTGGTCTCTGAAGAGCGCATCTACCTCTGTGATGCTATTCTTGAGATGATTCACATGAGGCTTTAGATTCTCCACAGTGGCTCCTGCTTCCTCAAACATTTTGTTCATTGATCGAAACCGTGCCTCCATCTCTTCTTCGAGCTGTGTCGTCAATTTCGCAAGTATACTAGTCAGCCTCTGATGGAGTCGAATATTTTGATCTATTATCGGATTAGCTGAGCCCCCTTTATCGTGTTACAGCATTGCACAAGCTACAGACCTTTCTCGTTATCCGCACGAGCTGCTTCGCAAAATCGCAACGTCTTGTGGCGATAGCTCACCCAAGTATTCCAGGCGGAATCTGACTGTGCCAGTCCCTCGAGGCAGCCATCGATCTCGGATGTCGTTACGTGTAGTTGTGGCTTGGTCGGCGGCGACATACGGGCGAGTATCGATTCTTGAAACTTGGAGCAAGAGGAGGGGATAGTGAAGCTTCCTCTTTCCAAGTCACATATGGCTAGGCTTGCAGCATATGAGTCGACAAAATCACGAGCCGCCCTTCCACTATCAGTCAACATTGTTGCATCATTCCGGCCATCGAGTAGTTGACAGTTGTTGATCAAAAGGCGAGCCGCAGTACGGTGGCATAAGGGCTCCGATTCCAGCTCCTGCAACTCGCTGAGCGCAGTGGCATACATGGCAGGCAGTTGTGAAGAGTCAAATCTGGAGGTGCCAGTAGAACGACTCCCAGACGAAGGCAAATCGGCAGAATAGTTAAGCCCTAGGATCAAATCAGCAACAGTTTATATGGTGTAGGAGGGAGGTGTAGTGTGAATGAGATATGCACGACTCACTGCCGCCCCTACGCCCTCCCCATGAGAAGCCGAGAACTCCATTGAGGAACAGGAGAATGATTTGGAAGCTGCAGAAAAGGAACGTCGAGGCTGATGTCATCGTAAAGAACCAAGACTCTAGGCCTCCTGGAGTTGCAGGATATAAACGGTCGAGGGGGGGTCTCTCCACAGGGCTTCTATGTTTTGTCCAAGCTCGAGTATCGTTTCTTACTAAACTTGGGTTGCGATTCGGTTGTGGTGTTTTAATGAGATGTTGAGAAAGAGATTGTAAGAGGTGGCTTCACGGCGGGAGAGGAGTGGTGCATAGATGGGCAGCTGATGGGTCGCTTTGTTTGTGCATAGACGGCGGTCACTTTTCTCCCATCTGATTCTGGTTGCGCGTTTGGCATCTCCAATCTATCACGCAAAACATGATGGAAACAAGGAGATGATGGGCAAACACAGAAAACATTGGCGATGGTACCTGATCGAGCTCGTGCCTGCAGGTCATCGGCGCGGCCAGTCGCACCTGCCGCAAGCGAGCGGGTGTATGACGGCCCGGCACCTCCTTCCTATGTATATTTTTTTCGAGAGCTCCTTTTCACTGTTAAAATCATGCCGTTAACGGAATTCACATACTTGAGGCATTTCTCAAAGAATTTCTCAAAGAATCTTACAGCAAAACTACAAACATCGCGATATTAGACACCCCCCCTAAGTATCGAACAACACCAGAAACCCTCTTTGCCCAAACACGCACAGTCTCATGATTAGCTGCTGAGTATTGCTTTTACATCACAGCTTTGAGTTGGCTCAGTATCTCTGCATCATCTACTCTCGGCTTGATGATGACTTTGGGGTTCGTCACCGGCTCGAGAATGTGAACCGGCATTATCCGGTCGTCTTTCTCGGGAACAGCGACGGTACCTCCATCAGGAGCAACGATTTCAACCGCATGAATGATCATAGCAGCAAATAGCAAAATCTCATTGGTGGCAAAGTCACGGCCAGGACACAAAGTCTTGCCACCACCGAATCCCCGAAACGCTGCTGGGTGAAAGCCATCGCTTTTGCCCTTCTCTTTGAGAAATCTGCCAGGGTTGAACTCGTCTACGTCTTGGCCCCAGATGGTGCTCCTGGCATGAATAGCTCCGCCAGATATCTGAACAACGGCACCTTTCTTCAAAAAGTACCGGTCGGCCAGCATCGTGTCCTCTTTGATCAACCGAACAGAGAAATTCTCAGACCCGACGCGCAGACTCTCCCTATAAACGGCAAATAGCGTTTTGCACGTTTCTTTGACCACTCCAATGCTCAATGAATCTGGTCCAGAGCGCTGGCTGCTGAGTTTTAGCGCCTGACGAATTTCCTGTCGCACTTGGTTAAGGAGTTGTTGATCCGCGAAAATTCTCAATACCACCCAAAAAGTTGTAGTCGTCGCATTTACAATACCAGCAAAAAGGAACGACAAAGCCGACCGAGCTGTCATATCTATATCCATGCCATATTCCTTCTCGATCCGCGCTCTACCTTTCACAATCAACGATGCTGAATCCAAATGGCCGGCTTCCAAATACTTGCGGAACCCCGCCGTTAACCTCTCTCGGCCTTTGTATGCTTTAGGAGCCGTGAGAGATGGCAAGATCCCGATAAGCAGTCCGCCAAGGCCGTGGTCGAATGCCCAGAAATCATGCTCCAAGTCTGGCTCTTCCGAAATAGGATTGTTCGGTCCAAAGAGAAACTTTCCTGTACCCACGGTGACCATATGACGAATCCAGGCCAAAAGATCGACGGGCTTAGAGACATGGCCAGCGTCATTAGAGGCTTTAATCTCTTGAAGCAACTGGTAGCATAACTCCTGCGCCGCCTCACAGCTTAATGTATTCACATATTCACCAGGCCCAAAGGAAGAATACACCCAATCATGGATGTCGGCAAAGAACCCCCGGGGCTCCCCCGGTTCCGGATCCAGATTTTGTCCAATTACGCGACATGTTTTCTCATCGAGTCCTAGAACCCGCTTGGTTATCTCCGGCAGCAGAGGCGACATTGATAATGCCTTGGTATTACGCTGAACGCTAGCGGCCAATGACGGCTCCGTAACCACATATATTCGAGATCCTGGGACGGGCAGAGTCAGAATTGGCTCATCAGAGTAAGACAATCTGGGAGATATTAGTACGACATCTCACAATATATGCAAATATAGATTTGATTCTAACCCAAGACGCTTGATGTAGCGGCCGCCTTGCGTCGCCATGCCCAATAAATGACCTATAAGAGGAACCCATGGCTGAACCACCGTTGGTTCGCTTGGATGCAGCTTTTTTCCTGACGTGTAGCGAAGCACAAAGGCCAGTGTCAACAAGCTAACGGTGATGGTGGTTAAATTTATAGGCCATGCCTCAATATCAAATATTGCCATGATCCATACGAGCGCTGAGCCGATACTGCAATATATCCTTTACGAGCTGATACGACGATGCCTCCAGTCACTTGCTAGGCAACGGTCAAGGCAAAAGAAATAAAGAAATTCGACACTTCTCCCAGAATATGAAATTCTATGGATATCACATGTATCCCGCTTCAGATTCACAGTCAACGATGGTTAGAGGTCGCAGTTGAAATGCAAGGCGGGGTTGCGCGGTTGCATCCTGTAGGATCGTTACAGAATTGGCATACCTCGTCGGTCTATCATTGGCCAATGGCGCATTCTGACTACGCAGCGGCCAGGCGGGACGCTTCCTGGCCAATGAATGTTTTCTGAGAGCTGACAGAGCTCATCTTCACCGTTGATCCCCCTGCAATCGACAGGTGCATTGATGGATAACCCGGGGAGAAGAGTGATATTCCAGACATGAGGCTCAGTCGGAGGTTTTGCTCGACCATTGCAGAACTAACCACTAAATCGCCGAGACTCGATGGCGCGTCTTCCTCTCTCTCAACAAGTCAGCCGTGGCGTCTGGAAAACATGTCACGCCATGTTGCCAATATTTTCTCTATACGTCGTATCCGCATTCAAGACGGGAATGACTGGTCATTGGGATAAGTGGGGGTGGAAATTCGATTCGATGCCGCCTCGAAGTGGAGGTTAGGCAAGCCCTGAATAGTCATAGTATGGAAGGAAACCCTGGCCTCACCGAAATGTTTCTCCGCTTTCGCGTTTTGTCTCTCTTTAACTCTTTAACTCTTATTTCTTATTCTCTTATTTTCCCACTTTAGCTCGTCTTCGGGTGGCGTGCCGGGCGTTGACAGCTACCCTCAAGTCCTGGAAAAGGCCAGATATCTCGGCATTGCGTGGACAAAACGCGGCTTGTTGTTGGGGGAGCATGCCGTTTAAGAACACCGGCTCTACCCGCGGGGCCACTTGTATAAGCCAGCCCAGACCTATCAAGTCATGAAGAAGACCGCCATCACGAGAGCATCTCTGCGGTCAGCGAAGAAAGAACACCGAACCTCGTCGTTTCGGAGGGCGAGGCCCATGTGAAACCGCGAAATCGCCAATCCCATGGTTATTCCCGGTTGCCCCCCTAGGACCGCAGACGAGAAGCAAAGCTTGATTTAAGGGCCGAAGCTCAAGATCACTCCACCCCTGGAAGAACTCGGAGCTGAGGCCATACTGCTCCGCCCCGGGGGCACGGCCAGGCGCCGGGACGGAGGCGGCGTCACGGAGAATCATGTGTGTTCAGGTTGATAAGCAATGGTCGTGTGGACACGTCGGATACTTCCAGATCCGGTGGTGTGAGAAGTTGTTCAAGGGCTGCAAAGGGACGTCAGCTGCCCACGACATCATATACGAGCCGCAAGAATGCAGCGACTGCCTTCGTCGCAAGACACTCCCCAAGCCATTTACTTCTAAGTGATTACTTATAAGTGAGCTATTACTGGAATGATTGAGAGTTCTGGGAGACTTGCTCTCTCTTGCAATACTGGCTCTCAGTCGAGAATCAATTTCAAAACCAAACAAGTTATCGTGGCCATTGGACTACATGGGCGACTCTTGCGATTCAACTGGCGTTCATTAGGAAATAGAACGGAAATCAGTTGAAAATGCCGGCATGAGAACACTTTGCAGCGAACGATTGTAAATATCAAAGTGACAAAAACGGTGACAAAACAGCACCTTGGAGCTAGGAAGCGGCAAATGTCTTTGTTTTATGCAATATGTTTCTCCAGCCTTTGGTTACTAAGATTATAGACATGGCTGTTGCCAATTTAAGCGACGGACAATTCATTTTGTTTCATATAAAAACCAATTCACGAACCAAGCTCTCTGTCTGGTTTTTCTAGTCACAAAGCTGGGGCGGCCCTGAAGCATAATCAAGGCCCGTAGCCTCGGCTCGGGGAAATGGATGGCAAAGTATCACGGTACCGCATGTGTTATTCGGTAGTACTTGCCAACAAAACTGGACTCTGGTGACCTGGCTCTGGTGACCTGGCCCTGGTGACCTGGCTCTGGGCTTTTCCCTTTTCAGGGGTAAACTCGTGGGGGTAGTTTGCCACTGCCTTTGATATTTAGTCCCAGAGATGGCCTCGTAGGAAAAGGATTTCATATGGAGATTGTGCGAGCCACCTGCAGTTAGCTCAAAGAGGGGATTTCGATGGGAACGAAGCAATCTGGAACGTGGTATCCAAGGAGTGTAGAGGTAGTCTCGATGTATACTCGCCACATCGTATCCTGAGCGAGTCCTATGCATTTTCGATGTGTCAACGCTTGGTGATTGGAACAAATCAACCAATGCTGGGCCTCGCGTAATCTGTATCTTGCACAACATTGCGGGGATGATCTTTAGCTGATATCTTGGAAGCCAGCGCGAATGACCATCTACTACGTCCAAACCGGGCGATAAGAGAGGCCGCCACGTACGCGATTCGCGCGGTCCTCGGTCGTTCGGAGTGGTGTTGTGGAGAGTGCCAGGCAACTAATGTCAGTCGTGTCTATTTCTGCAGTCAAAGGGCAGCACGCCATGCCATGTATCAAACCGCATCGAGACACTTTTCCGGTGGGCTTCGGGCTGCCCTGCCACCGACCAGTAGCCGTGTGTACTTGGATGAGATCGACGAAGCTCGGAGATGCCATGGAATGGAGACGGGGCATGAAACCGAACAAAGAGAGAGAACACTGCATCGATAGTTTGCCTCTCTCTGAAAAGGGCGTCACATGGCCCTGTGTCGGATGCCAGTTGCGGCAATGTAGCTTCAAGGAGCTGCCGCATGAGCACCAGCATCAGCATCAGCACCAGCAACCAGATGAATTGCTGCCACCCGTTGCTCTAGATTGGGCGACTGCTCTCTTGGTTTGTCGCCACGGGGATACTGGAGGCGGATCATGAGAAGCGAGCCGGTGATTTTGAGCCGTATTTCTGGGGGATTTTTTGGGGTTGTCTTGTTTCCCAGCTGCATTTTTAGCATTAAACGAACTTTAGTCGTGTATGCAAGGCCCTGCTCGTTTCTGTCTCCCCCGGGGTTCGTTGGTCGCATCTGCAAATGCGCAGTGTCAGTGTCAGCAGTGGATGGGCCCATCTTAGCGACTGATGCCATCCTTAATCTTGCATCTTCCTATTCGATGGTGGCGAGACCTGGCGATGTCAGAGCACTCGTCAACATCGCGACTGAAAAATACTTAAGAAGCAGCTTCCCCGTAGTCGTGGAGATGGCAGAGAAATCGTGGAGGCAGGAACCGCCCGGAGGTTGTTGCAAGATGCCACCACCCAGCATCGTCACTATCTCCTGACCATGCGGCCACTTTTTGTTTTATTTCCCGAAGAGCAAAAGTCGCCCCATCCCATGCGGCCGCCCCTTGCCTAACGGGGTAGCAATAAGCTCGATACCGAGGCGCCGACAGCGGGAAGCGGCCTGGCCAATCAGCGACGACGTGGCTCCTTTGGGCCCTTCAGCAACCTTGCGAATCATACGATATTCGAGCAGCAATTTTTCTTCTTCCCACATGCATGGCATCCATGGCGCAGGGACCCCCCCCTCCAGCGCCTCAGAGGGTCCCCAAAAGCCCTTCGAGACCGCCCGGCGCCTCTGTGGCCTCTGTGGCCGGTGGCAGCCCATTTCGCGGTCGCAGGGGCCCGGCATAGCTCCGCGAGGAAGAAATCAGGCCATTTTCATCATCGACGCAGCGCTGGTAAAAGGCTATCCCTTCGAATTTTTCTCGCTGCCCACCTGCAATTCGCCATTGCGCCTTGCTGATACCCACGGCAGTGACAGGTCATGTCTGGCTCACAGACGCCATCCCCCAACGCCTCGATCCCGGCTCTCGCCGACCGAAGCCTCGTGCGGGACGGGGAGACGCAGCAGGTCGAGGATGAGGATGAGACTGAGACTCATCTAGAGCAGAGCAAAGCATGAGCATGCAAGCGTTTTTCCCTCGCTTGCATGGCATGACTGGAGCCTTGCGATCCACCACTGCCAACCGCGGGTCCTAGCGCCGGGGCCTTGTTCTGGATAGCACCGGTTCCTAGAGCAGCATCCTCGTTCTTCGTAGCTGTGCTGTTGCTGTGCTTGCTGCTGTGCCGTCTGGAACGCAGCGCCGTTCGCTCGGAATCGCAGCCGTCGCGGCGTTGCCCGACCTGTCACCCGGAGCTGGGCCTGCTCTACTTTGCTAGCTGCCCTGGAGGGTTACTGGTGTAATGCTAATGCTGAAACTTCCCGACCCCGTATATTACTTTGTGATGCTCTGGCACCGCATGGGGGCCAGCTTTTCGAGTTTTGCCAATATCGACACCCATTCTAAGTGCATATCGCCAGGTACTTTCTCCGAGTACCTCCTCTGCCCTGTACTCGTACGGATACCTTGCCTATCCCGTTGACTCTTTATCAACGGTACATCTGCATCTACATCTACATTCGCATTCGCATCTGCACACATTCTGCTTTGTTTGCATTTGCATCATCCCGTACAAATATACATCATACAGTTGCACTCATCTCGGCGGAGCTGTGCCCGTCTCTCCCGCCCCGAACCACTCACTGTATCCTCCATCCGTCCGCCAGGGCGCTACCACGACGCATTACTCTTGATAATCAAACGTGGTCCTCTCTCAATCTCAATCTCAATCTCTTTTTTCTTCTCTCCCTCTCTTCCCTCCATACTCAACCCTCTTCATCTTCACCTGTCACCGGCGCCCCTCCTCCTCCTGAAGTAGCCAATTCCACCGAAACCGATCTGTGGATGCCATTGGCTTTTTGGCGCGCACCTCCCTCACGCCACCTGTAGGGTCCCCTTTAATCCCAGCCAGTGCTGCTGCGCTGGGCATGGAACAAGCCCTCGACTACTCTTCACAGCCTGTAACCAACGGCCGCGCTTTCAATCTACCTGAGCGACACCTCACCTCCTCAGCCTCAAAGGTCCAGCGCTCCTGGACTTCACCCGCCATGGACATGTTCAACTTCACATCCGCAGCCTCGTCTTCGGCGGTCCCCTCATATGCCCCCGCCGGCAACGGCAACGCCAGCGGCCTAGGCGGCGACATGAGCTTCTCTCAGATGCCGCAGTATCCCGCCCGCAACCCACTACAGTCGGTCCTGTCTCAGGGCAAAGAGCACGATGCCAAACGGATAAAGGTTGAGTCGCCGCACTCGGCGCTCGACTCGATTGATTCCTGGCTTCAATTCGACGAAGAGGCCGACAAGTTTGGCAGCTTTGAGATTGATTTTTCAAAGCAGTACAACACGGCCAACCAGCCGAGGTGAGTCGGCCCAAGAGTGCTGATCACAGTCCCTCTCACGTTCTAACATGTGCGCATCAAGGCCTGCCACAAACATGACACCAGGATTGGGCAGCGGTCTCTACGCCAATCCCACCGCCCCTTTCCGGGAAGAAGACTTCCTCGATGATAGCGCCTTTGATCATTCTCTGTCCGAGGACGATGAGTTGTTTGACACCGTCAACCTGAATGACCAGCTGTCCAAGATTGAGACGCTGCCCTCGACCGAGCCCCAGTCCTCCAGAAGCCTCTACTCCACACCGTCACTGGGATGGGAGAAGCCCCAGCAGGGCATTCAGCCCAGTTCCATCACAATGTCTGACGAGATCCCAAGACGCATGACCAGCGACTCCTGGGATCCGATTCCACAAGGCACCAACTACACGCTTACTCCGGATGAGCGCCGCCGACTTCTCGAAATCGCCATGGGCCCCAGCAGAATGTCGGCCTATGTTTCCCCCAATCGATTCAACCTCGGATACGGATCTACGATGCAGCCCGGCCTAACTCAGGAGTTTGGCTTTGGCTTTGGCGCCCCGAAACAGGGGCTAAATCCTGTGGGAATGTTCCAGAGAAACAACTCTACCGACACAACGGCATCTGGACTCTCTCAGCAGAATCGGGATCTGAAACACAAGCATCTCAAGAATGAGACGCCGCCCAAAACAGTGCCCGCGAAACGACCAAGCACGCTGTCGGAAACCAGCAGCATCGGCAAAGAAAAGACAAAGTCCGCCGATCGCATGGCGCACAACGATGTCGAACGGAAATATCGCACCAACCTCAAGGACAAAATCACCGAGCTGCGCAATGCGGTGCCAGCGCTGCAGCAAGCCACCGAAAACGATCAGGACAACGGACAGGGGAATGCCAAAGTGAGCAAGGTTAGTGGCAATATACCTCAACTGGGACACATTTACAGGACGACTCTGCTAACCCACGTCTTTACAGGGGACCGTGTTGACAAAAGCGACTGAATACATCCACCAACTAGAGCAGCGCAACAAAGACATCATGTCAGAACATAAGCAGCTCATGCGAAGACTTCAAGCATTCGAAGCACTCCTTAACAACTCGATGAGAGTGGACATTATGCCCAGCCATAGCATGACGCTCTTCGACCCGAGAGGATTCTGTTGATTCACTGTATCAATATTTTCCGTGTTTCACCTACCACTTTTCAACGACTGCATGACAAAATATTTTGACGGACTCTTGTTTTTCTTTTTCTCTTTTAGTGAAAAGCATTTCAACGAGCTTCTTTCTACAGGCCGGCATTTTATGTTTATTCTTTTTTTTCTATTTCTTTTGCCACCATTACAGGGTTTACTTTGGCATTCTGCCACCTATTTAACTCACTACTTTTCGGCGTCAGGTCAGGGTGGACTTTTTTTCTTTTTTTCCTTTTACAAACATGGCATGAAAACCCAGAAAGGATATACTATAACTCGGCATGGGCGGTCTCTTGGGGATTTTTATTCATAGGAAACGGAACGAGATGAAAGGGGGTATTCTTATCAAGGCAATGTGTGGGTCGGTGAAAGAAGGGAATTTTACGGAAGAGGACAAATCTTGAGACGAAAAAATCGGAGCGGTAACATTTGTCGAAGGAAGCGAATTAAGAAGGCAAAAATTGAGCTTTATTCTTATGACAGGGAATATAGATCTGGCGGGCCAATTTGGTTGATAGAGAACGGGAACCCTTATTCTTCTTGGACTTATTACAGACAGAAAGAGAAAGAAACGAAAATTGTTCGGGGGTTTTTTGAGAAAAAGGAGCAATTTTCGGAGGGGGTTGTCGATAATACAAGTGCACGCGAGGCGTCTTTTTGCCTTGATTTGAACTCTCGGAACTGCATCAGAGTCCCACCTTTTCTTTTCTCTTTTTTTCTTTTTTTTTTTTTTTTGGTCTTTATTGTGAAACTCTCTCTTGGGTCTAGGCATTCATGGAGCTATGGTGAGATAAATAAACGGCAGTGATACCCTGGGCACATATGCAGGAGGGGTGATGCTACTGCATCCTCGCATCCGTTTAATATGCGAGGTGCATTTTCTGTTTAATGCAGGTAAGAAGGGGGGGGGGAGAGGGGACAGAATAGGAAGTCCTATGAGAATGATGATTGAGTCCTACGAAAGGGATGATTGTGTCCTATGAGAAGGATGATTGTGTCCTATGAGAAGGATGATTTATCCGCTTCTCGTTTTTTACGTGATATATACAGGTGGTGGCTAGTATTACAGGAGAGATTGCCTGCTAATCAATCTCGTAGCGCTTCGATATCATCGATTTCCTTGACGGCCTCGGTGGTGAGTATGTAGGGCGCGTCCTCGTCCACACAGATGCTGTCCTCGATGCGAATGCCCATGCCCCTGAAGTGAGCGGGCCAGCGCTCATCGTCGGGAACGTAGACGCCCGGCTCGATGGTAACGCAGTGGCCCCTCCGCAGAATCTCTCTCCTGCTGTACCCTGGGCAGTCATGCACGTCCAGGCCGATGTAGTGGCCTACGTGGTGGGGGAACAGCTGGTCGATGTTGCTCACGGTGAGGTTTGTGAAGCCGATGCTCTTGAGCTGGTCGACAAGGCCGCGGACCGTGACGCCGTGGATGTCCTCGAGGGACATGCGGGCGGACTCGCGGCAGAGGGAGACGCTGGAGCGCTGGACCTTGAGCACGGCCTCGTAGAGGTCGCGCTGGGCGGGGGAGAACTTGCCGGAGGCGGGCCACGTCCGGGAGATGTCGGTGATGTAGGTGCCGTACTGGCCGCCGGCGTCGACGAGGATGAACTCGTCGTCGCGGAAGATGTTGTTGTTGACCGTGTAGTGGATGCAGTTTGCGCGTTGGCCGCCTGCGATGACAGGAATGTAGGCAGGCCCGTCGCAGCCGTTGATGGTGAATTCGTAGTCGAGGAAGGCGTGCAGGTCCTTCTCCTTGACCCACGATCGCCGCATGGCATTGGTGATGGCACGGCCGGAGATTTGACCGGCCATCCGCATGTTGGTCACCTCAGCCGGGCTCTTGATGACTCGGAGCTTGTTCATGACGGGGTACAGCGGCGTCTTTGCAGGACCGCTGCCAGAGGCATTACCAGTGATGAAGCGCCATAGGGAGCTGTTTGTAGCCTTTGCCGATTCGACGTCGGTGTAAATGATCTTGGCCGAGTCGAGTAGCTTGGGCAGCACAGAGTCGATTCTGTCCATGGACCACGCCTCGTCTGCATTCCACACGTCCTGAGCGGCCTGGACGCCGTTACGGTAGCCTGACCACTGCTCCTCCCTGGGGTTCTTGGCCTTGACAAACATGCGAAAGAGATAATCCCCCCACTTGGGACCCGTCTTCTCAATGATGGCCATGGCGTCAGGCTCGTCCCATCCCGTCAGCCATAAGAAGTTTGTCTCCTGCCTGTAAGGATGGAAGACAGCACCAGACTTGTACACGAGTGGCGCAGCGTGCAGGACAGCAACGCCGCCCTCGGGCATGGCATCGGCGAGGGCGGCCCGACGATCAGCATATTCCTGAGCGCTGATGCCCGGCGTGACTGATTGTAGCTTTCCAGTTAGCAGATGATTCAAGTTGAAAGCTCTTGGCTCATGGCACGATTACTGAATAACAGTAATAAGATGAAGATGTCAGAATATCAAAGGGGAGACCCACCCTCGCCAGCCTTGAGGATGTGGGGATGTGTCTCATGGACAGGCTGTCCAAACTGGAGGCTGGCAGCTGACACCAGGGAGCTGTATCTCTGTCGATGGGAGAAGATGTAAGACGGTCTTTGGTATTTGAAGGTGGCTTGAGAGATGCCGCGCTGCTGCTGCTGGTGTTGGTGCAAGGGCAGCTTCCGAGGGGGGAGCCCGAGGCTCCGGAATGACGGCCGAGGGAGCCTCATTTTAAGGACTCAGGGCGTTATGGAATTTCTGAAGCAATTGAGGATTGGATTCATTTGTCTAAATAGAAGGAGGGTCCACTGGATGTCTTTTTACCTTGACTTAAGCAACTTTTTTTTTTTCTCAATGACTGGTGATCCACTTGGTTTTTTGTAATATTCGATGGTTATTATGCGGAGTAAGAGGATGAATTGGTCCTCTGTGAGTTGAAATGAAAATAAGTGAAAATGCGTATATACTGAGGGAGAGGGAGAGGTAGATAATAGACAGAAATGACGATGGATTGCTTGGTGTTGGTCGTGATAACCCTGTGAGTGCTGTGAGTATGTAAGCAGACGGTGGCAATCGACATACCTGGCAGCATAAATGGTTAATGCAAGGGCGTTTGATGTCATGCACAATCTGCACAGCATTTGCACAGATGGCGGTACGTACCTCTGCTCTGCTGGCAATCCCCGCGGATGTACCTCAAGAGTACCGCAATCAAATCATGTGCGCACCGCAGAGGCGCCCTAGGAGCGCGTCTTGCATCGTAGGCGCAGCTGTTGCTGGGCACTAACACCAAGTGGTGCTACTGCTGCTACTTTGCATGTACGGGGCGTCTGTTTTCTGCGAGCAGCCCCGCCATTTCTTTCCCACTTTGGACCGCGACGTGTTTTTGGGCTCCAGCGACAAAAAAAAAAAAAAAATACAGCGCATTTGCTAGATGGATCTGTAAGGGCCATTGTGTGAGGACTGTATGTGAGGGATGCAGTATAGAAATCTGCATCTTTAATGAGTTTGACTCACCTCGTGTTGATGATACAATGGAGAAACAATCATGTCGCACTTTTTGAGATGAGCTTGGATTGTATTGTTGCGTGTCTACTGTATAATCGTATCAATCTGGGCTTTGTTGTTTTTCCCAGTCGTAGGTGGCCGCGCTAAGGTTGCTGGCAGGCCTGTTATGGGGTAGAGATGCATCCATCCATGTCGAGAATTGGGGGTTTCAACTTTTTGTGTGATAACAGCCCGAGCTCCATCTAGCGAAACCCAATCGGCCATGGGTGTCAATAATATCGTCAGACTTGAATTGAGTGTAATGTAGAGCATCAGAGTAACTGTAGTCAACTCGCTGTAAATCCCAGGCTTTCCATATTATCATCATCCATGAAATTGAATTGCAAACACAGAGCTACCCTATTGCTGTATTTTGATAGGTGCTGGAGCTTCACAATTTTAATGCTACCCTTACCCGTGAATTAGCGGTTGCTGGTGCGCCGGGCGGGCCCGTGCATGTTTTTGGCAGGGAGGCCCAACCGGGCATAGCGCTGTTGTGCCAAGCGCGAAGGCTCCATCAACACCTCAAAGGCACGCCTCAGCCAATTCTTCCCGCACACACGCAAAACCACATTGATTTCTTTGTCCTCCGAAAAGCCCTCGATAGGCTCGACAAGCTCTCCAGCCAGCCTGGTCTCGTCCCCCAAAGGCTTCCTGGACCTTCAATGTCCTCTTAGCATCCTTTACCTGCCCCCCTCGTCCGCCTCTTCCTCTGCCTCCGAGACGTGCCCCGTTCCCTGCACGTCGCGTGCTTCTCTCCTCCCCAGCCCCTCCTTGGTGCTCCCTGTCTTGCTGCATCTCGACTTGCTCAGCATTTGCACCGGGGCATGCTGATCCCAGAGGCACCAGCTCTCGTACATGGCCACCGTATCCGTGTCTCTGTCTGCTTCCTCCAAGGCGCCGGTTCCCGCCATGGCCTCTAAGCGAGCACCTCTCGCCAGCAATCCCAATGTCGCCAACTCACCTCTTCGCGCACCTTCAATCCTGGCTGGTTACGCCAAGCCGAAGCGGTCCTTTGCCACGGCCCAGCGTGAAGAGCCCTACGGACAGCCTCCGCCGGTGAAGAAGCAAGCTCTCGAAAATGGCGCCCAGCGGGCCGTCCGATCGCCGACCAAGCCATTGACCCGTGCCCCGGCACACATTGTTGTCCCCCGCAACTCGAGTGCTGTTCCACGGCCTGTTGTAAGAGAACGAGCTGCCAGAACAGTCACTGCTTCGACAACAAGAGCTACACAGGATCAAGACACCGATAGGGAGGCGTGGAAGAAGCACCACCGGGCCAAGTTTCCCAAAATGGTCTTTTATTTTGAAAGTATTCCAGATGACATTCGGGCAAAGCTGACCAAGAGGGTCACTTATCTTGGTGCTGTATGTCGCTCCTATGCTGAATTTTACCCATTAAAGAATGCCGCTAACTTGTCATGACTGAAAATAGCGCCAAGAGCCCTTCTTCTCAATTGATGTTACCCATGTCATCACTACGCGAGCCATTCCGCCCGAGAAACCAGAGGCTGGGGAAGCCGAAGCTGAGGTATCCGAGGAACAAGAGCCTGAGGAGCAGCCCCAAACCATCAACCCGTCTCTTCTTGACAGGAACACCGCTGCTAGGCGAAGATTGCTCTTTGATTTTCGCCAGGCTTCTTCGGTGCCTTCTCAGTTGGACGGTCTTGCGAGACGCAACAAGACGGTTCGCAACAATGATGTTCTAACCAAGGCTCGAGATATGGGGAAGAAAATCTGGTCTCTTGATAAGTTTCAGAGTATGCTTGCCGTTCTTCTCGAGTCAGAAACCCAAAACTACAACTCTCGATCTGCGAGCACGAGAAATCACTACGGCACCAAGGGCTCTCACGAGCCTAACCTGTTTCAGCTTCTTCACAACGAACGTATCAATGGACCCTCCGACCGAGACCCAACTGCGATCAACCGGGAGTTGACGTATTTCAAGGGTCCGTATGTCTATATCTGGGATATGGATGAAAAGCAAAAACCCATCATGGTTCGTGAATATGCCAAGGTTGCGAACAAAACCGACGGCGAATGGCCACAGTTCCGCAGTGTTGGGAACGGACGCTGCCCTTTTGTGGAGGAAGTGGATGCTGCTGAAAAGGATTACCGAAAGGCACGGGAGCGGGAAAAGGCGCGCTTGGCTAAGAAGGAAGAATCCGTTCAGATTCTCAAGGCCCCCGAGGTCCCTCCCATGAAACCCGTGACTGGAAAGCGCACCTTGACTGAGATGGAAGAAGCTCACAACCGATCTCGCGCTGCTGTGGCGGCGGAGACGTTCCAGCCAGTAAAGGTCACCTTCTCCAGGCCGGCAGCAGTACCGGCTCAGAATGCCTTTACCAGTCGAGCTGAAGGAGGCCGTATGTTTGGAGGCGAGCCTGTGGCCTCTGGCATTCAGAACACCATTACGTCGGCAATCCGTTCCCAGATGATCTCGTCGACATCTGGCATCAACGGCGCAAAGGCCGGAACCAGCAAGGAAGTCCATGGGCTGCAGAGGAAAGTTTTGCAGATGGCCCAGCCGACCTCACACGATGCCAGCTCTCGCCGTCTTGCGGAAGTTCCTGCGGACGTCGCATCTAGCCGATCGACAACGCTGACCCGAACCACGTCCAAGATTCAGGGCCAGGAGGAAGATGGGCAGAAGGCGGAGAAGAAGGCACCTGCACAGCACCTGAAGAGCAAGCGAGACTTGAAGCCAGGCTACTGTGAGAATTGCCAGGACAAGTTCCGCGATTTCGACGAGGTAAGATTCCATTGGACTTTCAACACCCTTGCTTTGCTACTTGACAAAGACATTTCACTAACTTATACAATAGCACATCTTGTCTCGCAAGCACCGCAAGTTTGCGGAAAATGACGAGAACTGGATCGAGCTGGATGCTCTTCTTACGCAGCTAAAGCGTCTACCAAAATTCTCAGCTGCCACTTCTGATGATTCGGAGGGAGAGTGGTAACGACATGGCGTTATTCTTCTTGGGTTGATCTTGTCCAACTAGAGACTTTATGGGTTATGGTGCCGCGCATTTGGATCTCATTCTTTTTTTCCGACTTGCGTTGGCTATCGCATTCATTATGCTACTTCTCAACACTTTGAAAAAAATCTTCGGTCACCACAACCATCAACTTACATCCTGGAACCCCGGTCAAAGAAACCGAGTGCCAGGCTTTGAATTTTCTTTTGCATCTCAATCAGATTTGCGCGGCATAGCGCAGAAGACACCTTTGTCAATACGTCTCTGATTTGAGCTATACCCTTTTTTGGTCTTTTTCTTGTTCTTTCTTTCAGGGTTCTTTACTTATCTTTCACTCGGCTATAACGAAACAGCACGTGGATTTTGTTTGGTACCACTGCCGGCATGGTTTGGCATTTTGAACCCGCATTACATAACAGGAGGCGTTATTTACAAGCTCGGCTCTTTTTTTGCTGCCGTTTCACAGATGGATGGACTTTTTTGGTGGCGGAGAGGATTTTTGGCAAAGGAGAAGCTGAATGTGGTCTGGATTGCCCGATAGAGGATACTGGGATGCTCTGCGCGCTGACGCAGAATGGGCTTTAATGAAGGAACTTGGCTGGGACGATGTGGCGGGCCCATGGGGGTCGAGAAGAGAGAGAGAAGGATGTGATGGTATGTGATGCTTGCTGGAGCAAGACATTCAATGGGAGGTTGATGGGACTGGTCATGTTAAAAGAAAAAAAAATTATGTATATTGTAGCTGGCATGTTACAATTCACGAAAGTGTATAAGTAAAGGCAGGTCCGGGGGCGTCTATTTGGTGCACGGAACGGACAGGTATTTATGACATGAGATAGCATTTTATGATAGAGATATGTAGCGCTAACAGCAGAACTGGATAGGAATTAATTCTAGGGTGTTGAATGAAGTGTTGCGTATTTTATGTCTTGGTGTTGAGTGAGCTTGTGGTGTTGCATATGTCGCACTGTGTACACTGTACAAGGCAGCCTACCTACAGAGGGGTCAAGATGCACTCTGGCTGTTGTCTCACTCTTTGACATGTCATCCGCTCATAGTCTCATGAAACATTTCACTTTTTGACGCCGTCATCTCAGTTTCTCTTCTTTAAATGCCTAGTGACCTTTCTCTTTTTTAATTTTTTATACAATCCAGATAAATCCAAGCACCAGCTACACTGCAAGATCAACGCAGCCATGGATCCCGACCCCCCCCCTCCGTCCGACTCGCCCATGCCGGACACAGACTCGGACATGAACAACAGAGCCAGCGGCACGGCCTCACCCGAGATCCCGCTGACGCTCAGCGCTTCAGTGATGCTAGCAGACCTGCCACGAGACGCAACGGCAGCACTGGCTAGCGCAGGAGGGTTTCCACCACAGCTCAAGGTCGTGGTCAAGTTCAAGGCCGTGGGGTCGGCGCCGGCGCTGCAGCAGGACGTGTGCAAGATCTCGGCGAGCCGCAAGTTTGAGGAGGTGGTGCGGTATCTGCGGCGTAAATTGCGGTGCCGCGAGACGGACAGCGTGTTTCTGTATGTGAATAGCGCGTTTGCGCCGTCGCTGGACGAGGTGGTGGGCAATTTACACCAGGTGAGCTCTTTTTTTGCGAGGTAGATGGTTTTAACGTAGTTGGATGAGGCTGACGGGATGAACAATGTGCAGTGCTTCAAGAATGCTCATGATCAGCTTGTTGTGGCCTATTCTATCACTCCGGCGTTTGGATGAAACTGCTCGACATGAGAACCGAGACAACCGAACGCGGCGGTGTTCTTCTATATCATCCATCCAGTGCCCCAATTCCTCCTCAGGAAATATCATTACAACGCCACCCTTCTTGCTCATGCTTAAACAATGAAATACACAATCTATATAGACAGGCCGGGACATTATATCATGCAGGATGAAAATCCAGTAAAGCAAACAACGCCACCGCTCCATGTTCTCATACCCATTTTCTCTTTTCTTATCTTTTACAAGTCTTTTGCGGCCTTGGCAAACGCTTCAAACTCTTCGGCAGGCATTGGATAGGTGTGCTCTGGAGCGGGGAACTGCTTGCTCTTGACCTCGTCACGATAGGCCACAACAGCCTTGGCCGACTCGCTCCAGATGTCGCCAAACTTCTTGACAAACTTGGGCATGAATCTTCCGGGAGGAAAGTTGCCAGTTAAGTCGATCTGGACAAGCACTTGGCCTGAGCAGCCGCTGCCAGCACCAATACCGATAGTGGGAATGGATAGCTTCTGAGTAATCAGTGTAGCAACCTCGGCGGGGACGGCCTCCAGAACGACGGCGAAAGCCCCAGCTTCCTGCACGGCGAGGGCGTCCTCCAAGACTCTCATGGCGCCGGCAGAGGTTTTGCCCTGGACGCGGAACCCTCCAAGAGCGTTCTGGCGCTGAGGAGTGAGGCCGATGTGGGCAAGGACTGGGATGCCGGCGGTAGTGATTTTGCGGATGGTTGGGGCAAACTCCTTGCCACCCTCGAGCTTGACGCTCTGTGCTTTGCCGTGCTTGACGAAGCGGATGGCTGTGGCTAGGGCTTGCTCGGGAGAGATTTCATATGAGCCCATGGGAAGATCTCCAACCTGCAATGAATTGTTAGCCGCAATCACATCTTGTCTTGTGTGCTGCTTGGACATGTTATAAGGGATTGCTTACGGTAAAGGCACTCTTGGCGGCTCGTGCTACTGATCGACAGTGGAGCAGCATGTCTTCTACCTCTACTTCGTTTGTGTCTTCCATGCCCAGCGCCACCATGGCCAAGCTATCGCCCACCAGGATGATATCCATGCCGTTTTGGTCGGCAACGTAGGCGCTGGGGAAGTCATGAGCAGTGATCATGGCAATGGGCTCTCCCTTTTGATAGAGCGACTTGATGGTGCTCATGGTGACCTTTTTGCGAGCAGGCCCAAACTGAGAGCCCATGGGAGAGTGAGAACTGTATCTCTTTTGGTGACATGGCGAGGCATGTGATGTAGTGATGGCGGGAGCATGAGACACGATGGAGTGTGTTGATGAAGAGAAGGAAGATGATGAAGGTGCAGTGAGGGCAGCAGCAGTATATCTGAGGCTGGTGTTGAGTCGCGTGCTGCTGCGTGTGAGTGCTGCACACGATCTCGCCGAGGCTCCGATCGGGAACATTTTTTCCCAACTCGGAAATTACTTGGTGTTATGGGGATGCAGTTTGTTTCTTGCAGGTACTCTGCAGTGCAGATTTATATGTGAGAGGTACTAGTGGGGTACCTTGATGTGAGATGTGGGAACAGGCGAGGCAGGTTGGAGGATGGAGGGGGAAATGCGGGAGAAGAAAAAAAAGTAAATAGTCTATTGAGAAGAGGAGAAATGATTGTAGTAATTCATGTAAATGAAACGAAGCAAAAGAAAAGCCAGAGGTGGCGGACGAGGCGCTTTTTTTAATAGTTGAAGAAAAAGGCATGCTGGTTTTTACGATGTAGAATTGAGTATCTTGGGAGGCACAAGGCCAGAGACCCCGGGGCAGGCACTTGTCAGCATTGGATGGCCTTGGTACGAGTACGGCAGGAGTAAGAGTACGAGGTACTGTGCTTGGCCGGTTTGGTTTGGTATTACTACATGCTGCGCAACCACCTGCATCGGCAATTCCAGAGGTGTACTTGTTTTTTATGTTGTTGTTATTTTCTTAGTCGGATTGTTTTGTATTACATGAGATGAGGAGGTAATTTATTGCTTTGTTTGTTGTGATTTTCTTCTTTTCTTTTGAATGTGTTACGGGGGATCAGGTACTGTACTTGAGTCAAGTTACAGCGCTGTTTGCGGGCATGGCAGCACTGTGTGAGGAGCCGTTACGGCTCAATGGAACCGAGGCACGAGGTACGGACCCGATGCGGATTCGCCGTTGCCGCGGGCTGCAGCCTTATGAGAGAAGTCGGATGTTATTTCATGGGGAAAAAGTGAATATGCAATAAGAAATAATACAAATGAAAATGCAAAGCAAGATTCATGATGACGACGAAGATGATGATTGTGAGATGAGAAAGATACAGCCTTGCGTTGAGTTTCTGTACTTCGGATACGTTGGATGACAGAGTAAACATGATTCAGTTTGCGTCGATGATTAATTCTTTTGCTGTGGCTTACATGAATGTGGCTGTGGTTTTCTATTGTACGTTGCGGTAAGTTGTTTAAGGGTAAGGCTGTGGCTGGAACTGACGTCGTGGTTCATTATGACGGCGAATGAATCTGCGCATCAGCTGGCAGTGGCTTGTATTACGAGCTTTGTCTATGATGATTCTAATTGCGTGGCTGTTGACTGTAAATTGATTACTGTTATTAAGTAGCCGAAAGAGTTGTGATATATTATATTGTATCCACCTAATTGTGCGAATACGATAGATGGTGTTATTGGGTATGCACCTTGATAAGTCGATCTGTGTGTGTACCATTACAGCACCCGGCACTCGATATTATTGAACCTTCATTCCAACTCGGCGACACGTTTTACTCAAAAAGATGAACCCTTGATCCTTGCCCCCTTCGGCTGACAACTCGCCTCCAATACAAATACAAAATACCAAAATGGCCAAAGCGGTGCTTAGTAGGAAATAGCGCAAAAGTATGAAAACCCCCCAAATGCTGAGCCCGGGACATGCCGTCACATCAATCGAGCGCATGCAATCGCCATCCAACGGTGCTGTAACGCCGGCGCCTTTCCGCTAAATCCTCGGCGCCCTCAGCGCTGCCCGCCCGCTACAAGGCCGAAATTGTTAGCTGTTAGCCAGCGCCAGCGCCCTCCTCGTGACTCTTCCAGCAGCGGGGAGGGGAGGGGCTGTTTTGGGTCTTTGGTGGAGGAGTGACATGACCAGAACAATTCCAACGGCCACTCGTCCGGTCCGGCTGCTCAACTCAAACCTGCTTTTGTTCCGCTGCATTGCATTCGCATCACCAGAAACTTCGGCCCAACCATCGACTGACTGACTCACTGCTGCTTTTTCGCAACCAAATCACTTGCATTTCTCCCGGTTTCTTTCGCCTCCTTATTCTTCCCCTCTCTCTCTTTCTTCCTGCTCTGCATCCGTCTTCGCCTCCGTTGTTCCGAGTTCGCGACAGCTCCGAAACCAAACGTCCACGATCGATCCCCCTGCTGCAAGCTTTATAGCCACGAGAGACGCTACTGCAAGTGACGACGCACTCTGGCGAAGCCGGGAGCCACACACCTCAAGAGGCTCAGACATATTCAGCATCTCATCTCCACATCTGGTTTATAATTGCCCTTCTGGGCCAGAGAGTCCCTTGACAGTTGCCCATCATGAGCAGCCCACGCCGTCGAATTGAGACTGATGTAAGTCATGAGTCTACAACATTTCACCAGTCTGGGGGGAAAAGACCAAAGGCTAATCAATTGTCTTTCGTTTTGGGACGTTTAGGTCATGAAGTAAGTCGCCTCTTTCTTCATTGCCGTGGAAATGGAACAAAGAAATAAGATCAGCGTTTAGCTAACAACCTTGCAGGATGTACGAACCGCCACTCCCAACAACGCCCGCCCTGGCTCGACTAACATGACCGTGATCTAGGTTGATGAGCGACTATGAAGTGACACTAGTGAACGATAACAGTAGGCAACACCCTGCTATATATCATTTACCCAAAACCAAAGGATGCTGACTGACTGACTCGTTACAGTGTAAGCATCATCACCAGCTACGCTCTTACTTCCTTCTGTCCTCGCACCGATCGATCCATAATATCAACGTTGAATCATTGACAATGCGATTTACTACAGGCAGGAGTTCTTTGTCAGATTCAAGGGCCCGGCAGAAAGTAAGTCGGCAAACAGAGAGGGGAACGGATGCGGCAAGTTTGTGTCACGACAGCTAACACGCCTTGGCAGCTCCGTTCGAGGGAGGTCTTTGGAAAGTACATGTCGAACTTCCCGATACGTACCCGTATAAGTCACCTAGTATTGGCTTCGTGAACCGAATCTTCCACCCAAACATCGATGAGCTGTGAGTCTACACGGGAAGCGAGGCGGCCGATTGTGGTGAATGGTTGTGCTAAGAGTGGCGAATTGGAAAATAGGTCTGGTTCTGTGTGTCTGGACGTCATTAACCAGACATGGTCACCCATGTTCGATATGATCAACATCTTCGAGGTCTTCCTGCCGCAGCTTCTTCGATATCCCAACCCGACGGACCCCCTCAACGGCGAAGCAGCTGCTCTGCTTATTAGGGAGCCCAAGAGCTACGACGCAAAAGTCAAAGGTGCGCAATATCTTGCAGAGTCGAGCGGAGCTGGAAAATGGGGGGATATGAGAATGAAAGGCTGACAGGGTGGCTCAACAGAATATGTCCAAAAATACGCCAACAAGGATGTCGTGGACGAGGCTGGCGCCGAGAGTGAGGATGAGGACGACATGTCCTCCGTGGCGAGTTTCGACGACGACGACGAGGAGCCGGCTGGCCAGATGGATGACGTATAGGGACCATGTTCTTTCTTTTTCTTTTGGTCATGGCAGTCACCATCTGCCGAAGCGCTCGATTTGAAACAAAACCACTGCAATCCAGTCACAAACAGCGGCGTCACAATGGGATTAATTAGTCGACAGGCCAGCCACAGCACCGGGAGTTTTTATTTCTGACTTTTCATTTTTCAGCCCTCGACATAAACCAAGATGGAGGAATCGCACCAGCTGCCCCTTTTCTACTTTTTCTACTTTTGTCTTTGTCGGTATCTCTCTTGCTTGCCTCTGAGATGTGGGAGGAGAGACGACTACGTTTGGGTCACATGTGCTCTGGAGTTTGGTACCTAGGTATTTGAATGGACGACAGCGTGGAGGAGGAAGCTCAGGTAATGAGTGGGATTGGGTTACAGTATGTTGAATAGGATGTCCGTTAGAATGCGGAATGCGAGTAGTTTTCAATGCATCTTGATTAAATAAAGAAATGGCCGTAATGTGCCAGTTGCATCCAATTAAATCTAACAAAGGGGTATCATATCTGTACTAAATATTGTCATAATGTAATTCCATCTCTTTCTCGCTTGGGAATCGTTTCCCTTTTATAAATGCCAAATCTATGCGCCATTGAAACCATATAAAACAAGATGAGGGAAAAGATGCCGTCGCTCACAGCACTCAATCAGAATCATACTGCACCAGTCCTCCGCCAACCGGCATCGCGGCTTTAGTTTCGGGCTTGTCGTCCGATTCGCCGTCAACACGCTTCCTCTTCTTGACGATACCGAGAGACGGTCTGCTGCTTGTCGCCTTGTCGTTATTGTTGGGCTGGACAAGAAAGGGGTCCTGCGCTGCCCGCGTGTTGGAGATGACGCCTGCAACAAAGGTCTCTTTTCTCCTCGACGCTTCCTTTTCGGCCTTGAGCCTGGTGTCCTTCATGGCCGAGGATGATGATTTCTGTTGTGCTTTGGCTCGTGAACTCGTCGTCGTCGTCGTCGATGCAAATAAAGGCTTAGAAAGCGCCTTATCCTCCTCGTCCTCACCATCCGGCCTAGACCCAAAATCCACCAAAGCGGCTCTCTTCGCATCCTCCTCCCTCTCCGGCAGCAACTCCAGCCCCAGCCCCATCCTCTCCTTCAAGTCCTCCGTCGCAGCAGCCATCTTCTCCCTCTCCTTGCGACCCACGCGAAACGCCTTTCTCAGCCTCTGATTCTGCGCATACGGATCATCCCACTGCCGCCTCGACAAGTCCTCCAAGTCATCAAGCCTTTCCGCCGCCATCTCAAGCTGCTTCCTGTCCGCAATCGTCTTTTCCAAACTCGCAAAGGCATTCTTGCGCAGCTCCTCCCTCTCACGATCCGTCAAAATAGCTACCCCCTCTCCTACATCCCCAGCATCACCGGTATCCCGCTTCGTAGCCCCCTCGACAACAACATACGCCGTGTTCTTCGGATCGGTGCGCATCTCAATCCACCCCCCACACTCAACATGCCTGAACCGAAAACTCCATACCGGCGTCGAAAAGTAGTTTCCCGCGCGCTTCTTCTCGGCGTTGAAGCGCACGCCTTGGCTGATGATTGTGGGCTTCGGGCAGTGCGCGCACCAGATGGGGAAGGGCATCTCGAAGCGCACGGTGAGGATGCCGTGGGATGCGAGCTTGGAGGCGCGGTTGCCGAGGGGGTGTTTCTTGTTGAGCTTGTTGCCGGAGGTGGTGCCTTCGAGGTCTGGGGGGACGTAGCGTCCCATGTTGAAGCCCTGCATGGTGGGCGGGTTGTTGTGAGGATGGCGATTATGTAGCTGTTTGTGTTGTTGTTGTTGTTCTTTGCTTAGAGAGGTTGAGGTTGGAGATGAGGATGAGGATGAAGAGAAGAGTTGGATTGTAGATGGTGTTGTGGAGTGCGAATTGATAGCGATACGTCACTCTAGGTAGAAAAGGACCCTGGAATTGGGAGTGGGGCACGCCACTCCGCCTAAAAGCCCGTGTAAGTGCCTGGGCGTTGTGTTATACGTGATTCTTTCTCCAATACTCCCATATACTATGTCGCACGTGAATTAAATAAGAAGGGAATTGAAATAGTTTAGAAAGAAATTCAGTGTTCAACGTCGAATGCTTGGAAGTCATGAAAACCACTGCCAAAAACTTACGAAATATACCAATGCCCACAAGATTGCCTCACGCCGTCTCTCACACCATCATTTCACACAATTCATAATATACTGGTAATTTCTATTTTATAAGTCTAACTACCCAGTGTCCAACTGGGCGGCCTATCCTTCAATGCCGTCCCCCAGCTCGACTCCTTTGCTCCAAGCACCAGCTCCAGCGTCCACCCCTCCGTGAAAAACTCATGTCCAATCCACGACTTCGTCCACGGCTTACCATTCACCTTGGCGCTCTGCACATAAATATTCTTATATGAAGCATCGAACCCAATATTCCTCACCGTCGCAGTCTTGCCCGTCACAGGATGCTTGATGCTAATCTCCTCAACGAACGGCGGCGAGATCAGGTACACGTTTTGTCCCGCGACGGGGAACAGACCCATAACGGAGAAGACGAGGAACGCGCCCATGGCACCGGAGTCGTCATTGCCCGGGAGGCCGCCGGGTGACGAGTTAAAGTCCGAGGGGACGTACTGGTGGATTCGCTCGGTCGAGAGGGCGGGCCGGCCCGTGTAGTGGTAGAGGAAGACGGTGAAGAAGACGGGCTCGTTGGAAATGTCTGCTAGGCCTGAGGTGTGGAAGAAGTCGAGGCGCGAAATCATGGCGTCGTCGCCACCAAGCAGGGAAATGAGGGAAGAGACGGAGTGGGGGACATAGCTTGGTAAAGGTTTAGCTTCGGCATTGCTTCTTCTTCATCATCTTATGGTGACTTACAAGAGATATTGCCAGATGCTGGCTTCAAATGTCTCGCTCGGATTTGTCGTCAATGAACAGAAGTCCGCAAGCGCAGAGCACGCAATTGGGTCCTGGAAACCCCAAGTTCCATTCTGATACTTGGGCTGGAAAAAGCCCTTGAACCCGGTGTCGGTCCCGTTGATGAAAGACGTCTGGTCGGCTTTCCACAGATTCTTCCAGTTCATAGCTCGCTGCTGGTATTTGCGCCGCAAATCACCCCTGCCCAGCCCGCTGGCAAGCTCCGAAATGCAATAGTCGTCGTAGGCATACTCAAGCGTGCGGGAAATACTTCGAGAGTTGGTTCCGAAACCGTACGGATCAAAGTCTAGATAGGGGATATAGTCCAGACTCTTCCAGCTGTGAAGGCCGCCCCGGCCGTGATACGACCACTCTAGTGGCTCGTTTTCAGCGTCCGCCAGGACGGCGTCCAGGGCAAGTTCCCAGTCAATGGTTGTACTGAGATTCTTGACAAACGCATCTGCAATGACAACATCGGCGTTGGAGCCTCCTTGGGTCCAGCCCTTGCAGAGAGACATTCGGCAGTCGGGCATCCATCCTTCGTGCTTGTATATGTCTAGCAGAGCTTCCACCATCTGCATCTGAGCACGGGGATCAAGAATGGTCAACAGAGGGTGCTGGACACGAAAGCTATCCCAAATGCTATACGTACGTATTTCACGGATTAGTACGCTGAATGAGAAAGGCAAATGAATCAGGAGAACAATTCTCTTACCAGTAAAATGAGTCAAAGTAGGGCTTATCGCTACGCCAGAGCGGGTTCTCGCCCGTATAATTCTGCGGTGAAATCATGTTGCGGTACACGCCGCTCCAGAAGCTGGTCAAAAGGTCGTCCGTTGCACCGCCGCTCTTGATAGAAATGGGACTCAGCTTCTCCGTCCAAGCCTTCTGCGCATTGTCAACAAGCCGGTCGAAGTCCGTCGCCGGTCTTGGGATCTCGCTTTCTGCGTTTCGGCATGCCTGCGCGCTGTTGATGTAGCTGATACCCATCCGGACCGTCACCACGCCATTGCTCGGTGGGTTCAAGCGTACGAAGCCGCCGCCTTCCAGGAAGAACAAGTTGAAGCCTCGCGTGAGAAAGATCTGTTTAGGTTCGGTGCCCGCGCGGTTGTTGACCCATACGCCCGTCTCGTGTATACTTGACCCGTAGAAATCGACGCAAAAGTGCATCACGTACGACCCGGCGCCGAAGCTGGGCAGAAACGTGCCGTTGCCCGTCATGCGGCCTGACTTTTCATCGACCTGAATCGAGGCATTCTGCCGGCTCTGCCACAGATCCGTCAAATCTAAGAGAACTAGTGGGTGTTTCGTGCCCTTTGGGAACGTGAAGCGATACAAGGCCGCATGCTGCGAAACTGTCATGTTGGCCCCGATACCAGATTCTAGCTGGAGTCCAAAGTACCCCGGCTGGGCTACCAGCGAGCCATTGACATAAGGAAGCTTCCGGTCGCCAATCCGAAACTTGCAGTTGTTGAGCTCGTCGTCGGGACAGACCTGTGGGAACAGCGGAAAGTTGCCCAAGCTGGGATTCCCGCCGGTGCCACTGTCATGGACTGACGAAAATCCTACAACATTTGGTCCCTCAATTCCGAATCCCCCGGTATTCTGTCCATCTACATCGGCTGATGCCTTTGCGAGGCCGTAGGGAAGCGTTGCTCCGGCAAAGACGTTGCCACCGTTGTCGGTTCCAATCAGCGGGTTGATGTAGGAGAAGCCATTGCTCGACTTCTGGGCTGCAGGCGATGCGGCAATCCCAGGCACGGGGCCAAGCAGGACGAGAGCGAGGAGCTCGACACTCGCACGCATCTTGACTAGAAGAAGCCAATTGGATAAATATGACAAGGAGGTGATCGGAAGAGGGAGAGAGAGAGAGACAGTTCAGAGACACCCGTTGCTATTTGTACGACTCATCCCGGCCAACGCGGGGAGGCATGGCCCAGACCCAATTGCCAATGCACTTCCCAGAGACACAAGACAAAAAGACCCTGCAATAGGCGTAGCGACGTCACCGATCTGCATGAAGAATGCATGTACCTTGCTGGTAAAAGGCACATCTCCAACTCTCTCAATGCATTCTGCCGACGGCTTAGACTCCAAAACTCTTATCATTGCTAGAGTCTCCACTCGATGCGGACAAATGTGATGATGATTAGGCCATGGAGTTGTCATGACCCCCGCCTTGAGCGACTGGGAATTCAGTTGCCTATTGTGGAAAAACGTTGTGTTGGAGAGGAGAGGGGATAGAGACTGGGGACCGGGGTTGTTGGATGGGCTCATGGCTTAACCAAAAGCAAGCCTTTTCAACCATAACCATAACTATTGCAAAGGGTAATCGTAATCCAAACTATTGCGTCGTCATCAATCATGCATACTATCGTTAGATCCAAAAGAATCCGGAGCGCTGCGGCTCCCCATGTACCAATCCATAACAGACCAGATTTCATGATTCTAAACCCCAAGTCTTATTATAACCACCTCAAAATGAATCATCGTGTTTTCGTCAAGTTGGAGAAAAAGAGAAGGAGATATCCAAAACAGAGGCGCCCACACATATAGAGACCAGATGATGAGTTAGGCAATACGCTCCTCTGCCCTCTCACCCAAATCAGGGCATCCCAAACTCGCCATCCTCATCCGGCTTGCCGATAACAGGCTCCAGTAGAATCGGCAGACATTCGGCTGCATCTCTTCCAAAGGCAAAGTCACCCGGCTTTATCTTGTACATTTCCGCCTCGTCTTCCGCTTCGGGGTTGATGGTGACGATGCGCGCGCCTCGCTTTCTCGCCTTGTCGATATAACTAGCAGCAGGATAAACCTGCGCAGAAGTTCCAATGACAAACATGAGGTCCTTTTGCAAACAAGAGAACAATGGTTAGTCACAGTGAGGAGAGATGAAAGGGAGTAAAGGGTGGTGTGTGGTGGGTATAGTACGTACTATTGGCTCAGCACGCATCCATGCCGATATATCCATCATCATATTCGCATCCAAATCCTCACCAAACCAAACAACTCCGGGTCGCTGAATTCCTTTCTTGCATTGAGGACACTTGGGAATTTCATCCTCTCCGATATGCTTAACTCTATGATACGGGTCCAAGAGTGGGAGCGGCTCGCCATTGGGCATATCCACTGAGGCGGGAGCGAGCGCGGCACAAAATGGATCGTCAAAGTTTCCTTTTTGTATCCAGTCGCAGCTCTCGTTTGAGCACTTTATATCATAGAGGGAGCCATGCAGAGACTTGAGTTGTGAAGAAGGATGTTCTGCTCGCTGCGAGAGGTCTAAGAGGTTGAGCAACGATCTTGATTAGCCAATGAGAACAACAGAAGTATAGCCGCCATCAAACCTCAAACACACGCAATTCTGGAGCCAGCTTCAACAACTTACTGTCGACATTCTGCGTCAGGCACAAAAAGTCCATGTTCCGCCTGGCCAACGCGGCCAAGGCTCTATGTCCCATGTTCGGTTCTGCCTTGAGGGCAAGATGTCTCCGATATGAATAAAACAGCCAAACTATACCAGCGTCCATCTTGAAGGCTCGCACCGTCGCCAGCTGTGTAGCATCGTAGTTTCGCCAAAATCCTCCAGCACCACGGAATGTGGGAAGACCCGAGGACGCTGAGAGGCCCGCTCCACAAAGAGCGAGAATACGGCGGCTAGACTTCAGAACTTGGTGAAAGGCCTCGATATCGTTGTGAGGCGCCATCGGGTGGTTCGTTGTGCTCGTTTCTGCGCTTGCGCTTGTGTCTGCCGGTGTGGAATCCATTGAGTTTGTGACTAGCGGAAGCTGTTGTTCTCCCATCCTTTGAACAGGAAACCGAAACGCTGAGTCAGGCCTCTGATGGGAAGAAACAGTCGTCGAGAAGAATTAACGAGCGATGGAGGAATGGCTCAGGAAAAAGGGCGACAGAGATCGACGAGGAAAGGCGCGAGAGAGGGGACACAAAGGAGGGGAAATGCTGGCCAGACGCAGAAGCACAGCAGAAACAAGCTGCTGCGGTGTAAGGCAACAGGCCAGGAATAGTTATTGGTAGCGTCAAGCTCGGTCCGCGCACCAGCAGCTAAGCGGCGCTGAAGATTAAAAAAAAAAAAAGGAACGAAAAGAAAAGGCTGCGAGGCTGGATTGAGGCTTGACGGACGCCAAACCAGGGTCGTGAAAACGAGGGTCAGTTGGGCAGACAAGACAAGAGGTAAACGGAACGAGTAATTGGAAAAGACGCGGCGTCGGAAAAAGTGCAACGCGCGAGTCCAGCTTTATCTAACCTGCAGTACCAGCGAACTGATCAAAACAGTCTCGTTTGTAGGTCGAAGCCTGTTCCTGCGACCTGTTGCCGTGAGAGGATGTACGTCATGCTGTTAATCAGCTGTGAACTGGGATGTATGTCGCATCATTTTTGGAGACGTCGAGGTGGTTGGTGATTGGCCAGGGGAGGCTCCGTAGCTGCGACTCGACCAACAGCACAGACGATCAATCCCCCGGCAAAGATTGGACGAGCAGCGTTAGGACATCCCATTGCATTTAATAGTCTACATGAGACGCAATAAGCAAACCTGTGCTGTCAAACCGGCACTTGCACTCTTGCCTGTATCCTCTTAAGATACCTACTTCGGCATGAATCGACTAACCACGGATATGGGTCCGGCTCCAGCCAGCCATATTCTATATTTAGCAGCGATGGCGAGGTTCCTTATACCCGGTAACTACGGCAAACTATAAAAGAAGGTGGCTTTTGACATCACCAGATCCTAGAGGAATATTACTGTTGCAGCAGACAGACCGTCTTGCACCACTCTCTCTTGGTCTGCGCCAATCTGATCCCCCTAAAATTGTTTGTTAATAAGGATGGCACCTTCTCCGAATTGTTTAAGAGCGGGTATTACACATTGGAAGAGATATGCCGACAGTCTGTGAAGACGTAAATAAGAAGAGGTAATTTGCACAAAATTATTCATTAGGGTCTGTGGTTCCCTCATGATTCACCGGTAACCAGCCTAGACCAGTCAGCAGTGTTTTCATTACTCTTTTCTTGACCAAGATTCCTGACATAGCGGTACTTGATATTGCGCACAATTGTGCCGGAAAAACTATTCTCTTACGTTGATGGCGGTGGCCGTTGATGGCGGTGGCTAGCCCCAAGAAGTTGTAGTACTAGGAAATGGGAAGAACTTCGTACATAGTCAGCTATCCAGCATCTCATGTCTCAGATTTAAAGCTACATAGATAGGTAGTGATAATTCCAGAATATATATTAAAGATATATCGCCGTAGTAGCAGATACTAGAACAATGCGGCGATAGCGTAGATAGTAGAACAAAGTATCGACAATAGCAGATACTATAATAAAATATTAATAATGATAGAAAGTAGCGGTAGTAGCAGATCTTTCAAGAGCTAGGTACAGGAACATATCCACTACCTAGATACCTACTGGAAAAGTGAGTAGTAAATAAAAAGCTTCCCTCTAGAAGAAATTGAAAAGAATACGAATCATTTGGACTTAAGGCCGTCCGAAGGCAGTCTCAGATAGATTAAAAAGGTTTCGAAGGCGATTGCAGCAACGTTGCCAACTGCTGGAGACTTTGAACCATGGCGAGAAATTATCATCAACCGGGAACAATCAGCATGAAATGGGGCAAGATATAAAGGCCATGAAGCAAGAAATGCAGCTACACAGCTTGAGCATCCACAGCACATCATCCGACATTAATCAAATTAAAGAAAACGGTATACAAATCCGGGGAACCACTGGCTTCACATCCTGTTCCTACATGTGACCTCACGCAGTTTCTGAGGTGCTGGTTGGAATTCCCCCAGAAAATATTTTGTCCCCGCCCAAAGGGCAATACTTCCTCACGTGGCCCCATTTGTGCGATACATATGGGAAGGGAGCACGGATAACCTCTGGTTCGCAGGTGGGATCAGGGATAGGCTCTGCTTCTCTTCTGTCTCTAACTCTAAGTCGGCGGCGGCTGCGTGGACCGAGTCATGTTCTGAAGCTAGCGAATAGGCAGAAATTCTGTACTTACATGTGAGTTGTTAACAAAATGAGAAAGGGACGCCAAACGAGACTCTGTATTGGTGTACGGCATGGGATGGGGGGAGGAAAGAGAATGAAAGAGAATATGAAGGTGTAGGAGTAAGAAAGTGTAAGAGTGAAAGGGGAAAAGGGCAAGAGATGAATAGAGGAAGAGAGGAAAGCGGTTGCTGTTGCGGCTCGGGCTCAGGCTCGGGCTCGGGGGCCGGTCCTTCGGCCAACCGCAACGGCAGAGTCTGGGGAGGACGTTGCAGTCCCAATGCTTATGAGCCCAGGGCTATGCTGACCAATATTTTTTTATCTCCTCAAGATCATCACCGCCGTTGTGTTGTTCTCTTCTTCTTCTCTAGTCTTCAAGCACACCTCGTCGTCGTCATTACGCTCGCTCTTCCTCTCCGGATTCTCACGGTTGTCGTCGTCGACTCCTCTGTCTCCCTCTCGTCAAACTACTGGTCCCACATGACAATTTGTCGACATCGTTGTGTCACTATGGCGTCTAAAACAATTGTCGAGGTAATGCGTGAGCTCGTCTCGGCTTGTCTTTCTGTCCCTACATACAAGAACGACAACTTCGACCAGGTGTTTAATTCCATGGAAGCGTTCACCACTATCTTTGACGACGCTACTACAACACCGACTGCTGTCAACAGACAGCATCAGACTAACGCCTACACCAACTCCTGAGCTGATCCCACTCCCCTGGGAGGGACGGTCATGGACACCATCACCAGTGCACCCCAGAAGAGACATGTGACGTGGAAGAAAGTCTACAATGGATTGGTGGCGGATCTTGAGAATGGAGGGTCTGTCCAAACGCCACCAATCCGGTGACCTATCTACAATCTTCAACAAAAGATTAACCTTTTCCAACCTACTAGATATATGCCGTTATTAAAACAGCTTGTTAAAGGAACTAGCTAACTGCAGCTGTGGTTTAAGAGTAGTTGATAAAGATACCGGTAACATACCCCCATTAGTTGCCGATACTATAACTTGGGCCGCTCCAGCGACGGCTTTTTAAACGAGAAAAGCCCGCAGAGAGGTCTCATCGCTTTATAAAGGTGTCTTAGAAGATAAATGCTGATAGACAGAGAAGATACTGATAGATCTAGTGAGTGAGAGTGTGCAAGTGTAAGAGAGAGTAAGAGGAAGAAGGTGAGAGAAGAAGGGTACATTGATGCGTGTGTTGATCGCTGCTGCGAGGCGGGCATTGTAAAACGCTTTCATCTCGATCAGAGGCAGGCCCAGCTGATTTTTTCCCTCAACAAAAAATCGAGGGACAAAATATATGCAGGCAGGGGCACACTCGAGATTGTGAATTTATAACCTTTGTGCTCCTCTATTGGCCTTGCTTGCTGATGCATCACAAAGGCACATCTATGAAAGGGCTGCTAGATGTTCATCGTGTGGTTCGAGATGTAATGTATCAGTCGGCCGTTTCGTTTTCCTGTCCAGCCTCGTCAAGCCGACGCTTTCCCTCCAATGAACCACAATTAGCAAATCTGTGCTATTGAATGGCACTCACAGCCTCGTTTCCTCGCAGGGCTATTCCCTGAATCGAATATGGGTCCCGCTGCCGCCATCTTCTATATTTAGCAACGATGGAGATATCTCATAGCCACCCGCCAAACTTTAAAAGCGTACTCCATCTGGAGCTCGGAATAGACGGGTCGGCATTTTTTCCCTTTCTTTCACTTCTTTATTCTTCTATTTGGTGGGTCGGCTTGATGAACTCTATACCCGTGCTCATATCCACTACTCAACGACATGTGTGACCGATTTCATGACATCACTCTCGTACGTCTTAAACCACAGAGAGAGCATCGCGTGTTTATTCCACACATCTCTATTCTTATACCATGGGCTTAAATGGTCATTAAGCGGACGAATCAACATCAGTGGTTAAACAAAATTCCTGTTCTATACTTGTAATATGTGCATCGAAAATCTCATCCTTTGACTGCAAGTGAGATTTATAATTATAGTGGCTTATGTAATGTCCGACGGAGCATACGGGGACATGTATCTATTCCGTACCTATTTTGAGCAATACATTGCGCTGAGATGCGTCAAGAATATAAATAAGTAAATGAATAGTTCGCATACGAGTACATGAAAGTATTTATTTTGAGGAACTCACCTTGTTCTGTAGTATGTAGAGTACTGCGGTTGGTGCATTACATCAACACCCAACGGAGAAATACTTTTGACATGTCACTGCTAAATGAACATACAACTCAAGAATGTAAACATGACCATTTACATCACATTGTGCTTAATGGCTAGCTACACTATCTAAGAGTCTAACGATTAATTGTATCGTGAAAATATAAGTTAAGCAAATGCACCAAAAGTGGTTGGATCCAATATGTCAACAAGGTAGAGCTTGTTCCTATCTAGTTGCTGGCTGGTATGCGGTATGCTATTGACCTTTGATCACCAGATTCAGGACAGCTACTATTTAAGTGCATAAGGACCTAACCTACATCATTTATCGTTTACATAGTTACGCATAAGTAAGTATAAGTGGTGCTACTGTAACTGATATAATGGTACTACTATATATGCACTTTGCGTTCGAAGGACACTCTGTACGCCTGAACGGCCCTTCCCGTCATCGACAGCTTAATCGTAAAGGTTAATCATCATTAATCTACTCCGTACACAGAGATCGTCAGGGTAGAGTAAAAAACAACAAAAACAATAATAAAGAGTCTTTGTTATATTAAAGCGGAACATGTCTGAGACATTGAATCGATCCCAGCCGAAACAACCTCTCAAGGGATAGCCTACGCACATACATACTGCCTAGCAAGAGAAAATGGAGCACTTCAAACCGCTCTACTCCGTAGTTAGTTGATTCTACTCTTTGTTGTGGTCAAACTGGCCGGTCTGAAGGAAAGACTTCGGCCGCATAGTGGGAGAATACGACCTTTGCTTCCCATTGGGAGGCAACCGGGAACCCGCCATCACGAGCATCCCAATCCAAGTTTACGAGTACTTTTTACGAGACCCTACTGTACGAACAATGCACGTTCCGCTACCCCTCTTTTTGATACGGCGGCAGCAGGATGGTTGAGTTCTTAGATGCTCCTTTGTCGCAGGCGCCACAGCTGTCTCATCCGCCCTGCAGGGAGAGCAAGAACTAGGAAACACCCGGCGCAAAGCACATCCAATATTCTTCCTCTTCCGTCTTTGTCTATGAGCGTAGAGCAAGTGCGTGATTAGGAAGACGGGGGCTGCTGCTCGACAACTGTTTCGTGTGAGGCGCAAATTCGTCTGAAACGGCACCGGATAGGTCCCTTGCGCTGTCGAGCCACTGTTTTAGAATGATCGTCGCGAAACCTTGGCAACAAAAGACAACCGGGCTTTTTTCTTCCCCTTCTTTTCTTCTTTTCTTCCCTTTTCCACCCCCCATCCGCTGGACGAGAGCCGCTGTCGACGCAGGATCTTGCCATATGCGGCCATGCCCGACCGTGCAAAGGGCGACCTGTCACCCAGTAGGTGCAAAGTAAGCCATGGGTAAGAGTCAATGCCCGGGCCCTCAGCGGTGAGGCCGTATTAGAAATGAATACGAGAGCACAACCGAAACGCCGAAGCAGCACCTGGGCAAAAAATGATGTGGTGAAGGTTGCCAATGGGAACCCAAAGCCACGGCATTTATCTGCTGCTGGAGTTTTGACGGGTTTGGAAACGATAAGGACGCCCTACGACGACAGTAGTGCCTCGTACATGCAGGTATGGTGTTAATGCTCGTACGGGTGCTTGTACAACTACATGGTCAGCAAAGAAAAGGCTCACATGCGTCCGGACATTTGGCTGCAGGGAGAGGAGGCTTAACAGCGAAGAGTCCCCTTTGCAGCCTAGCCGGGCCACGAACGTGATGCTACTTGCTTGCGCAAAGAGTAAATATAGAAACATTGAAACTCATGATGCAGGCAAAAGGCCGAACTAGCGCAACGGGATTCCCCGTATCTCTCTCTCTAAAAAAATTCTTCTCTTCTTCTTTTTGCCTCGATAATCTCGTGTCAATGCGACGATCGCTTCGGAGGCTAGATGAGTGCATGTGCCCGGAGGTGGGAAATTTTGAGACCGTCAGATGAGCAACACCGAGTAAGTGCAGAGTGGCACAGCTACGGCAGACTCCGAAGATGGATCCGGAGGCTAAAAACAAGCACGAAGCACTAACAAAAGAGCTTAAAAATGAGAGAGAGACAGAAGGAAAATGGTAAAACAAAAGAAGACCAAAGAGGATAGTATCGGCCTCCCTTGGAACACACTTCGTATGTCATGATCACTCACCTGGTGTCGACGTCAATGGGCCAAGAAACGCCGTGGACGAGAGAAGAGACTGCCAAGGAGTAATTTAAAACAACAGACAATAGACGCTCTGGCACGGCCGAATTCGGTAGTCGCCGCGCCGGGGTCACACAAAGCGCCGCATGGCATTGGATGGGGACTCGGAAAAGGGCTTGCAAGCACAGCACAGCCCCGCGGCTACAGCCCACTGTTTTTCTGCTGTAGATTGAAGAAGAAAAAAGCAGAGAGATAATGCTCGTATGTATGTACAGTAGGTACAGTACAGTACCTCACCTATCAACTCTCAATACGCAATATACGTGTGAATACGAAGCCGCCCCATCCCGCCGGGCTAGCACTGGACGGCGACGGTGCCGGAGTGCCGTGGCCAACAGAGCAGCTGAGGAAGTCGGCACAAGAGTTCAGTTCAAGGCTTGGAGCGACTCGGGTCACGGGGACTGAGTTGGCGACCTGGGCCCTGGACTCGTTCCCTTCATGTGCTGTCCGTTATTTTTGGTCCGTGATCTCGGAATCGATCATGGATGCCGGTACAAGTATGAGTACATCGATGTTGTCATGGGTGACAGCACCTCCAGGCTCCCTGTGCGGGTACATGTACAAGTACAGATGCCAAGCACCGACTTTCTCGTGTTTGCGGGCTCTCGTGAGGTACCGCCCTCCGTATTTGAGTAAAAAAAGAACAAGACGGAGAAAAAAAGGGACAAAGGGAAGAAGAAAAGGGTGTGGAGGGGCAGGAGAGAGAGAGAGAGGCTGGGCCTTGTAAGCTGCTCTGCTGTGCTGTAAGGCTATTGGGCGAGTAATCGGAGCTGGCAACTTCGTAGCATCGGGCTGCAGAATCCACGGCATCCCGCTGTGTCTGAGATTGGACGAGGTTGGATGGGATTGGCGCTGTGGAGGAGGAGTTTCCGATTGAGTCATCTGCGCTTTTCAATCTTTTTTGTGAGACCCAGACCGTGTTACAGACACTTTACATCCAATATACAATCCATGACAGCAACGATCTCAGCCAAGGCGTTTTACTGTTACTAGTGACATGACGCTTTGGCAGCCCCGGCGGAGAAAAAAAGTCTCCTGAGGGGCATTTGAGGGGCTCTCGAGGGGGATCGGATCAGAGATCAGATCAGAAAAGAAGGCGAGTCGAAGAATGGGCAGAAGGGAGGAGGCTGGGCTTAGCGTTGGTGACATGGCGACACACATGCACGAAAACGACGGGACATGCATTAGAGGAGAGAGATATGAGATGTAGATTTGGGTCACCCATAGATACAGAGTAGATTGAGATTGGTGTATTACGGCACACAAAGGGCTCGCAAAAGTCTGGAGAGGAAAGTGATTTGATTGATGGCATCTTGGGGGTGGATTTGACTAGGTAGCACCATGCCGAGGCCGCTTGGCCGATTGAGGCTGGTTACCTGACTTTGGATGGGGCTTCCGACCAGCAGCTTACTCTGAGCCCCATGTAGCGGTACCTGTACTCGTACTTTTTGCGGGTGATCGGTACGCACCTTTTTGGTGGTACGAGCGACGATGAGGAAGACGAGGAAGGGCACGGTGCTTATACTCCGTGTACTGGATATCAGCTCGGACGGTGTTTTGGAGATGGTGGCAACAAGCTCGAAACTCGAGACTCGAGCTCCTTTTTTTTTTTTTTTTCTGCGGCTCTGGACGATCCATCGCGCATCCCATCTCGGGCACTGTGACACACAGCTGTCAACGGCCTGAGCAACGCCGTATCGTTGGCCGTGCTTTTTGTTTCGCTGCTGTACCCGAAGATGGACCCTGCAGCTCGATAGTCGTGTCCATCCAGGGGCCGGAGCCAATGACGTACCAGTACAAGCAGGGTCTCTAACTTGTACCGGTACAGGCGTCAGGTTGAGGCGCTGTGCCTGGGCTGGGCATGTAGGTACAGTAAGAGTACATGTAACCTCCCTAAAGCAGCAGGTCCTGTAGCAGCGATCCCAACGGCGGTTTCGAAAGAGCGCACATCCTTCTTTGTGATTATCGTGATTGACAGCCAACGGACCGAAACGGAGCACAGGGCATCGTGTGAGCTGACGGTGCGATTATTATTCTGTGCGATTTGTTTGCGATCGTGTTGCGCGTCGGCGTCATGGACTGACCGTTCGATCAATTGGTTCCTAAGTGACGTATTGTACAGTATTGCAAAGTGCATGTACTGTCACAGGCCACGAAGCGTCTCTCCCATTCACTACCACGCGGAAGCTGATTAAAATACGAGTCTAATGTGTGGGTGCTGCTGCAACTGCACCGCTCGTTACGCGTACCAGAGCAACAGCATCACTCGTATGAGCGTCGGATGTACGAGTACTCGTACAAAACGGCTGATAACGGCAAGCCACCACGTTGGCTGCAGTTTTCTGGCAGGAAAATGGGCGGCTAGGCAGGAGACACGAGACCCGATTAGGCTACCGGAAAGTCGGAAATGGCATCAATCGAGCAATACGATGCGGAGTACCGGTACAAGGCCAGCCGCAGCTGCGATGACTGGCGGGCGAGTAACACCTCGTACCTCGTTCTTTTGCTGTCGCTGTCTAAACGCCAGTAGCCATACAGTTGAACGCCACCTGGGCACTGACTGGGGGTCCAGAACGGTGGGCGACTTTTTTTTTTTGGGCGGGCTCTCCACCAGCCGGACCCATGGAGCCGAGGACAGTTCTTGGGGCTTTGGGGGCTCTCTCTCCTACTGTACGAGGACAACAGCGCTGGCAATGGGCTGGGCTGGGCTGGGATCTTTTCAGGCGTCGTATCGGACTGCACTCAGCCTGGTTGGCCACCGCAGCAGCGCGCCATGACGGACAGGGGGAGGCGAAGAACAGTCTGAACAGATGCAGGGGGCTAAGTCAAAGATAGGCGCCATGTACTGTACTCGTACGAAAAGCTGACATGGATCCCCTGCCTCCGCCAAGACAAGGGTCCACAGCAGGGGGCCTGGACCCCTGGAAGGTCTCGAGGTTCCTCCAAAGCCTCTCAAGTCGGCGTCCCTTCTCTCTAGGTGTGTCTTGGAAAAAGAATAATAAGACACTCACCACCAGCCTAGCCTTCCCTTCTCTTTTCCTCTCTTTTTTCCTCTCGTCCCTTTTAATCGTCATCACACTTTCTCGTTAAAAGCCTCTCGAGCTTCCTCAACTTCTCCTCGAGTCCCCTCCCGCGTCTTTTCTTTTGCGCAGTCTCTCGCTACCAGCCTTTCGGATTGACCGACTATCGCTTGGTTTTTGCAGCCATAATCCTGCATAGGTTAATAATATCTTTCGACCGTCTTATACTTGCACATTTTCCACCCGTCAATCCGGTTATTTATTTATTTTCGACAATCCGTCGCTATCGTATAATCATCTGCAACCATGCTTTCCAAGACCTTCACCACCGCTGCTCTGGCTCTTGCCGCCTCCACCCTGGTGTCTGCCCAGACCTCCACGGACTGCAACCCTCTCGAGAAGAGTAAGTGAATTTCGAAAGGGGCATCTCATTTCTCCAGCACGGATTATGAGATATGTCACTCCATAGCCAACTAACACAAACCTCACAGCTTGCCCTAACGACCCTGCCTTCGGAAAGAACGACGGCGACTGTGACTTCACCAAGGGCGCCTGTGGCAACTTCGAGAGCCTTCCCGGCACCACCCTCAAGTACAACGGCAACGGTGCTGTCTTCTCCATCAGCACCGAGAAGGAGGCCCCTACCATCCGCACTGGCAAGTACATCTTCTTCGGCCGCATCGATGTCGTTGTCCAGGCCGCCGCCGGTGCCGGTATCGTCACCTCTGCCGTTCTCCAGTCCGACGATCTTGACGAGGTATGTTTGCTTTCCATTCTTTGCTACCAATGTCGAAATGTGACAGTATGACTAACTGTGATGATGTAGATCGATTGGGAGTGGGTTGGCGGTGACAACGCCCAGGCTCAGACCAACTACTTCAGCAAGGGTAACACCGCTACTTACGACCGTGGTGCTTTCCACCCCGTCTCCAACCCTCTGGGATCTTTCCACACCTACTCTGTTGAGTGGACTTCTGCTGGTGTCAACTGGCTGATCGACAACAACGTCGTCCGCAGCCTCACTGCTGCTAACGCCGAGGGCGGTGCTGCCGGCCTTCCCCAGACCCCCATGCAGGTCAAGCTCGGAACCTGGGTCGCTGGTCGCAAGGATGCTCCCCAGGGCACCGTCGAGTGGGCTGGTGGTTACACCGATTTCTCCAAGGCTCCCTTCCTCGGCTACTACAAGAGCATCTCCATTGTCGACTACGCCGGTGCTGATGCCCCTACCTCCAAGAGCGTCAAGGAGTACATCTACGGCGACCACAGCGGTTCCTGGCAGAGCATCAAGGTCTCTCTCGGAGACGGCAGCGATGACAGCAGCGACTCTTCTTCCACCACCGCTGCCCCTACCTCCACCAAGGGTTCTTCCTCCTCCACCAAGGCTCCTGCTTCTTCCACCAAGGCCCCTGCTTCCACCACCGCCGCTGAGCAGCAGACCACCACTGCCGAGCAGACCACCCTGGCTTCTTCCACCGCCGCTCCTACCAAGAGCTCCGGCGGTGGCAGCGCCAGCAACGGCACCGTCTCCTCCACCGGCTCTGTCCAGCCCACCAAGCCTCCCACCGTCCCCGGCAGCGCTGGTGCCCGCACCGCCGCTACCCTCGGCAGCGTCTTCGCTGTTGGTGCTGGCCTTGCCCTTGCTCAGTTCCTCCTGTAAACGGGACCCTCAAGTCACACTCCCCTTTTGTTTTGCTTTTTAGGAATGTACTTATTGTTGCGGGCATGAAAAGCATGTAGATGGGGCAGATCGTTTGCGTGCGGAGAAGAGAGCGGACCAAGCTAATACTATACAAATTCGGGTTTTTTACACAAGCCGCCGTTTTTCTTGTTCAATTGTACATTCTGGCAACGGACACCAAAATCTGTGGCAAGTCGTATTCACTCGACCGAAATATTCCACCCAATTTCCTTTTATTCCTATTCACTGCAAATTACTTCTGGACGAGAACGCCTATAATGATTTTTTTTTTTTTAATGGGGGAGGTCTGCTCTTCTTCCCGCCGAGCCGATTTCGGGTAATGACGTTTGCTTGGATTGATGAAGAGAACAGGATCGATGATTGTTTTTTTGCCGTTGGTGTTTTTGTTTTTTGGTTTGATATCCTCTTTTGATGTTTTGTTATTGCCTGTTTTGGATCATGTATTTCCCGGCGCATGCCCGATTGGGACGCTGCCTATTTGTAGAAGGACGTTACAAAAATGAGAGAAACCTTGATTACATCTTACCCTTGCCTTTCTCCATGTGTGATTCTGTTACCAACAGCAAAGTGTTACTAACAGCCAAGAGTCGGGTATCATAACTCTCTTCGCTTGGCTGTCTCTTCTCCATCCCCCCATACTCGTGTCAAATTGCCATCTGCTGTGAATACGGGGTACTGCTACTCCGTCCCGGGCCATTAATTACACCCAGACGCAGCTAGTGGCTGCTAGTTGGTGCCTCCCCGCGCATAGGCGCAGTTGGTTAGGCCCGAAGCGGACGATGCGATGCAAGGGTCTGGGGGCTTTCATTTCCTTTCGGTGCCTGCCAAGCTTGGGAGGCGTTTGCGGGCTTTTGGGGCGGCGGATTTGTGTTTGGGGCCTTGCTTGCATGGTACGTGTACGGGGGATGGGATGATGGTTCGTGACAACTGGAGAGGACATGGAGGCATGGGCGTTGAAGGGGCCTGTGCGTTGGTGATCGAGTAATACGATACGAGAGGGCATGGGTGTGGATGAGGTGAGTTGAGTGAACTGGACTCGTGTTGGATGAGGTGAGGGAGATGGAGAAATTGAGATGAATTGTTACGAGTACAGAGGGCGTTGAATCTCATGCCCGTTGTGGGAGTTGGTTGGTTTGGATTACAACGGTGAAGAAGTAAATTACGTGCATGAACAATGAAACGTGCAAGAGTCTCGCGATACGAGTAAGCCCTCTGCTCTGCTTACAGCATTTTTTTTCTCTCTCTTTTACGTGCGATTACTCACGACAAGTCAATGCGACCACCTCCTTTTCCATGGGCTAAACGCGTACTTGGCTGCATTGGGCAAGAGAGAAATGGGTGGTTTTGTTATTACTGTTACACTGGTACCTGTACTGGTACTGGGGGGACGAAGCTATCGAGTGTGAGTGAGTGCTGGTGGTGGGTTTTTGGGTGGTGCTATGCGGAAATGAGGGTAGTGCGACTTGGGCGCGTGGGAGGAGAGATGGTTGCATGAATGAGTGATGCTGTGCATGATGAAGGAGATAGAGACTGTCAATTGGTGTCATTGGCGGTGGATTGTTTCTTCTTCTTCTTCTTTTGGTTCTGTTTAGGTGAATGCAGCTGAAGTTGTGTTGCCATGAAATTGCTCGTATTGCTACTTGGGCAGGCCGTCAAGTACACGTTATTTCAAGCACCTCCCCAAGACGAGATAACGCGAGATGGCACTTCATTGCCGCGCCGATGATAAGAGGCATTTATTCCGCCAATGCAGGTACCAGTACCTGCTATCTCGATCGAGGTGCTAAGGTACGGAGAACGCCGTGGTTTTGCCTCTACCTAGCTCTATAGGTACCTGAAAGCTATCTTGGGCTGCTTCGAATTGAGCTCGGCCTTTTCGCACAAGCTGATGGCGCCGAGTCCGGCTTGGCCTCTTCCAATGCCAATGCTTGGCTACCTTTTTTTTCATCCTCACTCATTGAAGCCTTTAAGCGAGCCAGCAGCCTGTAGTTTCCCCCATGAGTTACTTTGAGCACTAGCTGCCGAAACATTTGGGGAGATGCAACGAATGAGCGCGCAGAGACGTGAGTTCTGAGTCATGGAGCTTTTTCAGCTGTGGTTTTCGAAGGTGCTTAGCCTTCTACTGTCTCTCTATCTCTCGCTATTTGTTTCCTAGAATGGGACTTTTTGACTACGTTGGTAGAGTGTTACTTTGTTGTGAGCTGAGCTGCCCATGATTGCGGTTTTGAGTGACGCGACTTGGCTTTTGACGTGACGGTTGCACATGGCTTGTCGCTGTTTTGGGTGAGATGCCATTTGGAATGAAGTTTTTACTTTTATAGATGTCATGTCCATCCATAAGAAGCATAAATTATGGAATGGTAGTTCGTAGATTCATAGTGGTTTCTTGGTAGAGAGTGTGTATTGCTTCTCCAAGATGTACATACACATTTGGTGTCTTAAGCACACGTATAGGCACAAATTGACGATATTGATAGTGTCGACAATTAGTATCTGGTATAGAAATGTCGTGACTGAGCCTTGCTGGGAGGTATGTAAAAGCTGTGGCAGCCGCAAACTTCCATTATATGTTGCCATGCTTCGCTATCATCGCCATAGCGGGAGAGTCTCAGCTGAGTGTGCTCATACTCCTGGTAGGAGACCTGCTATTCATCTCGGACACAGTGAATATTGTTAAACAGCTGCGCTATGATTTCACTTGCTTGAAACACTCGAACGCATCTATATAATGACTCTGTCCAACGTCACATCCCCCTCTTCGGGAATTCTACTCCAAAGAGACTTACAAACGAAAACTTTTCTGCTCTTGTGAGGTTCTCACGAATAAAACTCTATTAGTTCGATCTTGCGAGTGTTGCACATTCCTGCTGTCTTTGAACAAAGATACAATGTGACTGATATGACGTGGCTCGAGCATCTCATCAGCTGTGGAAGGCACAACCATCGTCTCTCGTAGTTGACAAGATGCATTTTGATATAAAAAGGGAAAGAGCATCTCAGGATCATGGTTCTGCTTTTCATATCCCAACGCAAACCTGCATCTCTGCACATCAACACACACTCTATCATCATCACTACAATCACCGGCTTACTGTGGTATTGTGTTATATTTCCTGGAATCACATTATTTTTATCATAACGTTACCATCTCAACATCTCCACCATGTCCTATCGCTGCTACATCGTCCCTCCTCACCTCCTCAAGGCCATTGGTGAATCCTCTCACAATCCCGACACCATCCGTGAAGCTGCTCGAGCTGCCCTTCAGTCTCATCACGCCTTTACTGCCAAACGCAAGAGCCACATCGAGGCAGTGATACAGAGCCGACGCAGCAGCCGCGCTCCACCTCCCACTCGTCCCTTTGTTCCCGCCCATGTCCTTCGCCATATATCAGAATCGGAGCACGTGGACGAGGAAGCTCGAGCACGCGCTGCGAGAGACCTAGAACATACCCTTCACCTTGAGTCACGAGCAAAGCATCGTGAAGAAGGGGCTCAGATCGCGGCAGAAGTAGCAAAACTCGGCAAAGATGCGCCACAGCGATCAATCTACGATGCAGAGCATACCTCAAGCGAGAGACAATTGCCTGGTAAGCTCGTTCGGGCTGAGGGCGACAAGGCGGCCAAAGACAAGACTGTCAATCAGGCATATGACAATGTCGGAACAGTTTTGGAATTTTACAAAGACAAGTTTAAGTGGAACTCCATTGACAACAAAAACATGGATGTTATCAGCTCTGTCCATTTTGGTCAACAGTATGAGAATGCTTGTAAGTGTTTGATCGATAGCCCTGCTTCAACCCCAACCTATTGCACTGGCTAACACGAGGGCAGTTTGGGACTCGGAAGAACGCCAAATGGTGTTTGGAGACGGCGGCGAGTTCCTCAGCAACTTTACTGGCTGCATCGACGTTATTGGGCACGAGTTGACGCACGCAGTTACTGAACACACAAGCGCCCTCGACTACCAGGGACAACCAGGTGCCTTGAATGAGCATATTTCCGACGTGTTTGGCATCATGATAAAGCAAAAGGTACAGGATGAAACATCGCAAAATGCCGACTGGCTCATCGGCGAAGACTGCATTCTTCCCGGTGTCAAAGGCGTTGCTCTTCGAAGCATGAAAGCCCCTGGAACAGCATACGATGACCCTCGATTTGTGAGTTGCAGAATGTTATCCCCCAGATCATTCGAGACTGACAATTTGAGTAGGGCAAAGATCCCCAAGTCGACAACATGAAAGACTATGTCACAATGTATGAGGACAATGGCGGTGTACACATCTACTCTGGCATTCCCAACAAGGCCTTTTACCTGGTCGCCAAGGCATTCGGCGGCTACTCTTGGGAGAAGGCCGGCCAGATTTGGTGGAAGACGATGCGGAGCGGCAAGGTGCCTGAGAGTTCCACGTTTCTCCAATTCGCTGATGCTACCGTCGATGTTGCCAAGAAGGAGTTTGGCGAGGATGTGGCCAAGACGGTTCGGAAGGCTTGGGATGATGTTGGCGTGCGCAGGAGCATCTAGAGGAGAAGCCCGGGTGGTTGGTGCACCATTCTCTAGACACTTGTCTTGCTACGATCTTCCCTATGATGAAGCCGCTCCCTAAGTTGTCCTTTTTTCTCTCCTCAAGTACTGATAGTTTGAATTGTATTCTTCAAAGGCTGAGGTCTGAATGATGTGCTTTCTGATGTGCTTGTCTAATTTAGCCACTGTGACAAGAGTTTGCAAGTACATCACCCCTATACGCGCTAAATAGCCTCATTGTCTGAGTGATATCTCTATGATGGCCGACTGAGTGAAGATATTGCGGCAATTGCTTGTGTGAGGAGAGACCGATATATTTATCAATCTGCATGGAGAACCAAGTGTCCTATCAAAGATAAGATACGGGTACCTCGGAACGCCCAATGGAAGGAGCAAAGGGTGAGTGGATGGAGCATCAAGACAGAGCAAATATGAGGAAGGAGGTGCCTGCCTGGCATTGAGCTTTGGCACCTGTAACAAAAGACAGATGTGAGAATCTCTCCGCATTTCCAACTTTTGGCGATCCTTCCTCTTCATTGCTTCACTCGAACTATTTCACGCCATTTGTCAACATTTACTGCGTTTCATTAAACCCTGTTACACATTATTAGAGTGCTTCAGCCAGTTGGATTGAACTCTCCATTATCAAGCCCAAGAGCAAGACAATGGCTTCTTTCTTCACGCCTTTAAACCGCAAGGCTGACCAGAGAGCGCCGCCTTCTACTCCAGCAGATGACCCGCCACAAGAAGCGCCGAATAAACCGTCTCCAATCGCTGTCGGGAAAATAGAATCACCAAAACACAACGAGATCAGACTTCGCTACCAGCTCTCACTGCCCACGCTTAGATCGCTTTCTGCAATTGACAAAGCGCCCAACCGACGAAAGGTGCTGCAGACCGCGTGCGGCGCAACAGAGTTTCGATCTTTCCCAATAAGACAAGCGGAAAAGAATCTGTTTCGAGAAATCAACGATCATACAGGAATCCCTTATCCAGTCAACGGGCCTGTCACTGAACCTTGGCAGAAGGTATTTTTGCTCATTCAGATTGATCTGTCGCGAGGAGGATGGCCGAACAAAATATCTGCCAATGGTCGCAAAGAGCTTATGCGAGACAGCGGCCGAATTTACATCGTGATGGATCGTGTATTGAGATGCATTGCCGACATCCTTGGAGAGAGGGAAGACGGCAGGGGAGTCACTGTTACCTTGGATGTTCTCAGGAGCGTTCATGCAAAAGTATGGGAAGGCTCCGAAATGGAATTGCTACAGGTCGAAGGAATTGGCGCGGCAAAAATGAAGCGCCTTACTGATGCAAGCATCAAGACCATCAAGCAACTTGCCGGATTGGAGTTTTATCACATTGAACGGTTGCTTAGCAGAAACCCACCCTTTGGGCATCAAATGTTAAATCAGCTATCAGGATTCCCGCTGCTACACCTGCAGGTTTCTGTGATATCCAGTTATACTCCTGCCCAGGATGATAAGGAAGACGCTAGCATGCCAGGACCCTGTCAATCTTGGGTGACCAGAATCGTACTGGGGTACAGCAATGACATTATACCGACCTGGTGTAAAAAAAATCCGTGGGCAACTTTGGTGATAGAAGGAGATGATGGTCGTCTCCTGTGGTTCTGGAGGGGAAGCGTGAAAAGGATGGAGGGCACCAAGATCATGTTTGTCCGTCTGGATGCCAAGAAGGGAGAGAGCGTCAAGGCTACGTTTGCTTGTGAAGGCATTGTAGGGACTCTTGTACGATTTACACTGACCATCTAAAACCTACTAGTAGCCTCATGTATACCAGATTTGCATCTCAAATTGGCAGGTTAGAAGGCTCTGCTCGCGCTCTCACGCCACTACTTCATCATTGTGTCGAAAAAAGTACCGATATATTAATAACTTTACGAAATAGCCAATGTGGGTGACAGAACAATACAGAGCTGTGCCTTGAGGAAATTGGAAGGAGATTTTCGACCACTCTGGCTTGCAGCTGTTGAAACCAATGCAACGACCGGTCTGCTTTTGCTTTTAGCGCAAATGCAAGGCAGACTGCCCTGACCTCATTGTCGCTGACAACTCACAGACAGACTAATTTCAGCCGCAATTATCCTAGTTAGCCCCCCTCCGTAAGGGAGGAGGAATTATATGCCGAGCTCAAGAGAGAGAGAGAGACAGAGAGGAAAAAGAAGTCAAGAGTGGGCGAGTCGGGAGAGCTTACAAGAATTAAATATGAAGAAAAAAGACCAACCTTCACTTACATTCGAAAGACAGCATCGAAAGTATCCAAGAGCAGGAGACTTAACCGAGACTCTCAGGTTACGAGCTATACTCCTCTATACCGGAGCCTGATCCAGCCCGATGGAGTTTTGCCTTGCAGTCGATGCATAAGGAACATTTCAGCCCCATGGCCACCTGCTGCTTGCCACTGGAAACCAAGTCTCATGGGCACCCATTCACAACTGGCGCAAATACGATATACGATCTGGTTAGCGAGCGCCTGTCGGCTGAGGCTTGTGCTGGCCTTAGTCTTGTAGCTAAGCTTAAGTGCGTCTCCACTGCGACATCCGGCTTGAGCAATGGAATTATTTTGCCTATTTACTGCCGATGCTATCAACGGAAGCGGCCCAAGTATACAGCGAAAGATTGAGTCATCAGTCCAACATCTGCACATCCGCATCCAGTTGAGGACAATGGCTGCTGGAGGCAACGAGATCGAGAGACAGTCTGTCGGTGAATACTCTCCAAGGCCTAGAACTTGACGATGCGAGTGCCGGAATATTGCTGGGGTATATCCACAACCCATTGGGCTGCTTCATAGGGAGATCATCCGCAACGGTCTGGCCCAGCCCTGGTCTACAACCGACTATCGCTGGCATTATGGAGGCTAGAGTGATCCCATGTCTCACATCCTATAAAACCATCCAACTGTTGCCTCGCACTATTCCCAGAACTGCTCATCCCGTCCACATGGTCCCTGCGAGCTGAAAGAATCGACCCCGCTCTATATTTTCCTTCCCTCTCTGGACCCCATCGTGGGAGGCAATTGTTATTCTTGGTCACCGCGACTTTCTATTGTCACTGGCAAACATACCGCATCAAGGCAGACCTGACCGCCTCAATGTGAGGGGAGCGGGAAGAATTAGCCACCCACCCTCCTCAACTTGGGTGTCATTGCTCAATAACTCAATGGCCAAGCAATGCCACTTGGCTGGGCTGCATGAATATGGGCAGTAGCTCAAGCCACCAGTAAACCGCAGCATACTGGTATAAGCTTTCCTCTGCCCTACTGGAAATACTTGGCGAAATGGGCTGAGGGATTAGTGCCGGCATGGGCCTTGCCATGACTCCAAGCCGTCCCTGTGCTTCACCAATCAAGGCTGGATGGAGTGTCGCTTGTTTTTCGACCCCTGGACAGGATTGCCTGCTAGCTTGTGATGGCTTCTTCTGAACCCCAATGGGTGTATGAGAAGTTCAGGGCTACTGCAGGAGTTTTGAAAAAGGAAATTGTTGAGAGTCCCTTTTTGCAGCTTTGCGTAGCTGCCTATAAAGACGGCTGAGAACCTGCTTCAACTCTGGTTGTTGCACGTCTATTGCCGTTAAACACTCTTGGAGTCCGAGGCAATCTTTTGGCCAAGCAACATTGTGTGTCGTCCACTCAATTCTTTCACGACCATCATCTTTCACTTCTCCATTATGACTGTTTACTCTACTCTTCTCCTGGCTGCGGCTGGGCTCGCCGCCGCCGATAAGCTGGCGGCCATGAACCTCGGCGAGGCCAGTGGTCGAGGCATCACCGTCGCCGCTCCTGGTTCATCAGACTTCGGCGTCCATTCCCCCTTCGGCGTCCACTCCCTTTCCGATGGCTGTGGCATCGGAATGACTACCTGTGATTCCAACTGCATGCCCCTGACCGGTATTTGCTGCGGACTTGGTTCGGGAGCCTACTGCGATATCGGCTACACGTGTGAGTCGGACGGATGTTGTCCTGTTGGCAAGGTCTGTACTGGACCTCCCACGGGCTGTGAGGGCGATCGTGATCTTTGTGGCGAGTTTTGTGTACCTAAGGGCACTTGCTCAAGCGGTGGAGGTGGAGGTGGTGGTGGAGGCAGCGGAGGTGGTGATGGCGGCTGTCCTACCGGATACGAAGCGTGCGACGACGAATGTATGCCCACTGGTTCAGTCTGCTGCCACAATGGATATCACTGCGATGCTGGACAAACATGTACGGCCGACTTCAAATGCCGGATCGGTAGTGGTGGAGGAGGCGGTGGCAGCGGAGGAGGCAGCGGCGGCGATGGCGGTGATGACCAGACTACTTCCAGAGGAGGATCCAGCGGTTCTCAAACCACCTACAGTCTCTCGCCCAACCCTGAGCCTACTGCTACGTCTTCTACCGAGTCGAACCCCTTTGGCGGCGATGATGCTACCACTACCAGTCAAGACAGCTTCCCTGAGCCTACTCAGCCTCCTGCCACCACCTCTAGCAGCAGCAGCAGCAGCAGTGGCGGTAATGGTGGTAGCAACGGTGGCAATGGTGGTTCCAACGGCGGCAACAATGGTGGAAACAATGGCGGCAGCGGAGGTAGCAACGGCGGCTCCAGCGGCGGTAGCAGTGGTAGCAGCAGTGGTGGCAGCAATGGAGGCAACGGAGGCAGCGGTGGCTCAATCGTCGCTCCCAGCATCCTCGTTGGCCTCCTTGCCCTCGTCCCCTTTGTTCTATAAACGGGCTTCTTCATCGTGGTGTTCAGGGGTACCAAACACGCAGCCATCAACCGCAAATACGGACCGATGTTGGCGATATACGAGAGTGAAGGACATGATCTGGTAATGATAATAATGGAATACAATGTTGGTGGAACGGAAATTGAAATTGAAATGATACCTTTTTTTCTTTTCTTATATACTTGGGAGAAATCGAGGGGCTGTGTCGGACTTTGACGCCCCCGAATAGCCATTAGATATATATACGCGATTCTAATGCATTAATTACCTTCACGTATCTTTTCTGTTCCTTTCTATGATTTGACATTTCTCAATTTTCAGCTGCCTCTTAAGTACGGAAAGTGGTATTCGCCTATTCATACAATCTTCGTATGTGCCTCTTCCACCACCCCCTTTTTATCATTGTAGTTTTACAAGCTAAAGGATAAAAGATGCATAAGCAAATAGTAAAGATAGCAAAAATGGTTGTATGATGAGATTTTTTTACAGGGGAGAGGGGAAAACCAAGAAAAAAGATAAAAAAAGAAAAACCACACACATGCGAACAAAAACGCGCATTAAACGCCGTGTCTGCCCAAATCTTCGCTTTCCCTATAGTGCAGTCGTGACGTGGGCCAACAACGCCTTCCATACTCCCCTCGTTCTCTCTTCTACCCTTTTCACATGTCTAGAAGGTAATCCTGTGGCCCCTATTTGGCCCATGCGTTATGATAATTGTAGAAATTGTTTCGTGCTTTGATTTATACAGCTTGGTGTCCTCTTGCCCCTTACTTCTTCTCGGCAACCTGGTTGAAGCTTTCCAGCACCTTGTCCTTTAGATCGCCCTTGTTTTCGTTGGCAAACTCTTCAGAGGGCGTCCCTGTGACGGTCTCGGCTTCGCTGCTGGAAGATGATGGGAGGAGCTGCTTGGCCAAGACCTTTGCCTGAGCCTCGCTGACTTTGCCGTATACATTGAGACCAGTGGCAATCATGCCGCTGATGTCACCGACGTTTCCAGGAACCACAACAGCCGTGCTCTCCTTGGCAAGCTTGCTGAAGGCCTCGACATACTTCTCCGCCACCGTCAAGCTCATGGCGCCCTGGGCTCCGTGAGAGCCCTTGAGAATGCTTGCAGCCACGGCATCAATACCTTCGGCAGTGGCCTTGGCCTTGAGCAAGATGGCTTCAGCCTCACCATCTGCCTCGTTGATGCGCTCGGCACGCATAGCTTCGGAAGCGAGGATGACACTCTGCTTCTTACCCTCGGCGATGTTGATGGCACTCTGTCGCTGACCTTCGGACTCGAGAATCTCAGCACGCTTGGAGCGCTCAGCGGTGACTTGGCGGTGCATGGCTTCCACGACAGCTCCTGGAGCATGGATATCCCGAATCTCATATCGAAGGCAAGTTACTCCCCAAGCTTGGGCGGCTTCATTGATTGCGGCGGTAATGTTGGTGTTGAGAGCAGCACGCTCTTTGAGGACGTGATCGAGAGTCAGTTGGCCGATTTCGGATCGCATCGTGGTCTGGGCGAGTTGGGAGATGGCATATTCGGCATCTTCAACGCCGTAGCTGGAAACACATTCCTCGTTAGTATGGATCTTGCACCTAGTAGTTCAGCTGTAAAGGAGTATGCAACTCACCTAGCTTTGTACGCATCAAACACTCTTGTAAACAAAACACCATCTAGCTCCAATGTCACATTGTCCGCCGTAATGGCACTCTGACTAGGAATCTCAATTGCCACCTCCTTCAAGCTCTTGACGTATGCAATCCGGTCAATGACGGGCGCCAGGATTGCCAATCCGGGCTCTAGAATGCGGCTAAACTTGCCCATTCGCTCGACAATCCATGCTGTCTGCTGCGGCACAAAGCGCACAATGGTGTTGGCGGGCAGCCGAGGCTTCTGGAAATATGAAGGCAGAGGACCACCAAAGCTGCCACTGGTGCCCGAGAAGCTGGCGGGGAGGAGAGTGCGAGAAGTCGTAGAGAAGGAAAGACGAGATTGTGGCCGCAGGAGGAGAGCCGTGGGTTTCCTGCCCGCTCGGAGGGCGGCTCTGGGTGGCAATGAGGGCATCGTGGAAAATGTGTGGCTGCGTGTATGCGAGTGCCTGCTTGGGCTAGCCGGTGGCCGAGAGTTGCGGATTGCTCCCTGGTTTGCTTTGGAGCTGCAGCTTGTGCTTGTGTGTCAGCGTATCTGGTATGTCGAATTGAGCTGCAGCAAAGCAGGGAGGACAGCAGATGGCCAAGAGAAGAGAAAACAAAAGGAAAAACTTGTGCTGTCGTACGAGGAACCAAGTGGTGTAGATGGCTATGATTTGTCGTTTCGGGAAATGCTTGCAGGTTGCAGCTTTCGGAGAGCTTCGGTGCTCCCGGCATTTACCCATTCAGCTGTAAATCCCATGGAGAGCACTAACAATCCGCTGAGCCGCAGACAGGACAGGGTACCTCCGACCAGGTACCCCCGAACCATTCCGTCATATCACTCACTGTCCTGATTCTTGTTCTCCATAATAGTGATTCGGCATACAAAAACTGCCCCGCGCCAGGAATAGCTGCACAGCGGTGATCCCATACTAAACAAAACCTGCGATAATACGAGTACACTGCGATATTTCGACATCGAATCTTCTATTTGCGTCTAGATCCGCTCGATCGAAAAAAAAAAAAAAAACAGAAATAAACGCATAGAGACGAGAGAGTCACCGGGTGGTTACTGCGCCACGCAACGACGAGCAGCAAAGCATCACACACGCAACTCATCGAGGCGATAAGGAGAGAAAAAAAAAGGAAAGGGAACATAAAACAGGAACCATGTCTGCCAAGGTCCCGCGCAACTTCCGCCTGCTGGAGGAGCTCGAAAAGGGCGAAAAAGGTCTCGGAGCTGAAGCCTGCAGCTATGGCTTGGAGGACGGAGAGGACTTGCTCATGTCCAACTGGAACGGAACCATCCTGGGACCTCCTCATGTAAGGCTGACTCACTGCATCTGCTTTCGTTTTCCACACACGCTTTTTGTCGTCCTCTTATACACTTCTGGGCCTGCAGAGCTCAGGAGTCGTGTAAGACGAGAGATGAATAGCCTGCTTTCACCCCCTTGGCGTTGATGTCCGGCAGAGCAATACGCTCTCCATCAGTTCAACATGTAAATCAGAAAAGCTAACCTCCAATACACCTGCAGTCTGCCCACGAGAACCGCATCTACAGCCTCAAAATGCACTGCGGCGAGAAATACCCCGACGAGCCCCCGTCCATCCAATTCGTCAGCCAGGTCAACCTCCCCTGCGTCAACCCCCAGAATGGCGTCGTCGATCCCAGGCAGCTGCCCTGCCTGGCCCAGTGGAAGCGCGAAAACACCATGGAGATGGTCTTGATTGAGCTGCGAAGGTGGGTTTACATGTCCCCTTTTCTTTCCTCATTTGCCCATATTCGCCGTCTTGTTGCGGCTGGCACTTGAGCTATTTTGCACTCTCCTTGACCGCCATAACTGACTTGATATGACAGATATATGGCCGCTCCCGCCAACAAGAAGATCCCCCAGCCTCCCGAAGGTTCTACATACTCATAATCACCAAAGGTAATACCGGGGAGCAGATAAGATGAGGAGAAGAGGGGCGTTCGTAGATGGGAAAGGAAACAGGGCAAGCAGACACACGTGGAACCTCTCTTTCAGCCAACAATACATGGTTCCACAAAGACCACACACCGTCACTCACGAAGAATTACGTAGCACGTCTTCTTTTAAAGCGCAAAATCTCATCCACAATTTTGTTCAAGAGTTTTGGAAGCACGAAAATTCACATTTCTCATTCCAATCGTCAACTTTCTTCCTCGAATAGTTAAAATTGTTGCACATGAGCAGACCATAAGTTTGACGTTATATGAGCGAGCACCATGAAATCCCGTACTCCCCCCACAAGACACCCATTCATTCCATGCCGTTTCTCTCATCCTTCCTTCCCGCTTGCTCCAACCATTAATCCAACCGATGTTTCTTTTGTTTCGCTCCATTCTATCCCCTGTCATGCATAGATAAATAAGAAGAGTGGAAAATGAATAAACGATAAAGAAAGAGAAAAAAGGGGAAAAGCCAAAAGAAGATTCCCTCCAATGACGCAGTTTGCTCCGGGTATCAGCTTGCTTGTGTTTGCCGGCAAGTTTGTGACAACCAACCCAATATATAGCAATGTTCGACATAAAAAGAAAAGTAGTAATTAAAAGGTAGTAGTAGACGTAAAAATTGTGTGGTGTAGTAATGAACTAGAAGATACTTTGTTGTAGTTTGCGGTAATGCAAAACAGTTCGTAATTTCGAGAAGCAGAAAGCATAGGCGTGCATATGAGAGTAATAGCGAGGTTGCGAGTAGTTCGTTTAATCGTCATCTCCCCACCACCCCATCTCAGGATCTCTTCGCACGAATCCCACGGCACTGAGACGTGCTGTGTTGAGCACAGCGCGACGTTGCTGTCGTGGCTGGAACGTATCATTAGATATCGGACTGTCTGGTCGGGGCACATCTTCGCTTCCGTCTTCGGAGAGCCTAGTAAGCTTAGAAGGAGACATGACCTCGGCTTGCATTTGCTGCCGGGCTGATGCTCTACCCTTGAGCTTGGATGTGCGCTTATCCTCTGGATAATCCCACGACGAAACGGCGTGAAAGCCCGACGACACAGCCGCCTCGTCAAGAGCCTGGCCTTCGCCTCCAGACTGACTCCATTGGCCACTAGCGTGCTTGCTTTGGTCAAGATACACAAGGACATCCTGCTGTTCGCCAAATTCGTCTGGGCCACGAATGGAAGAGACGAAAGACGCCCTTTCGGATCCAGTGTCCGCAGTCAAACGAGAAGGTGCTCGGTAGGGCTCGTCCTCGCCAAATTGATGCTCCGTAATGGGTGCACTTAGCATCGAACTCGCTCCCGATTGTCGTTGTTTCGAACCATGGGATGGTGGCGCGGGAAAGTCGAAGTCGAGCATCGAGTCCGTCACCATTACTTGAGATGGACTTGAGACGTGTCTTCTGCCTTGACGGCCATCCGACTGGGGTTTGCCAGCGGAACCAAGCTGTGACTTCTCACGCATTGCCTGGGTCTTCTTGCGAAGTGCTGATATCAACATCTCCTCTTGACGAGTAAGTGCCATAATGCGGCCTTGACCATTCGAGTCGTCGATGGATGACCGAGCGGATCGTAAATAAAAGTTGACAGAGGATGGACTCAGTGGTGGCGTTGGTTCGTGATCGGGCTGGTCTGATGACGTTGCCGCAGATTCCCGGCGCAACGAGGGCCCCGTTAGCGCTGCCAATGCCTTTTGACGATCCAATTCCGCCTGAGATGGGCGACGAGCTGGCAGAACTGTCGTAGGAACAGAGTCTTCTGCGCCGTAGCCGATCTGACCCGTCATGCCTGACCGTGTCGAGTTCGTAGATCCAACTGAGGGTTTGGGCGAAGAAGCGCGGGAGCCATCTCTGAAGGGCGGGTTCAGACGAGAAGGAGATGGCGACAGTCGCTTTCGCTCGGCGCTAGGAATAGCGATGTAGGTGTTAGATGGCGCGAAGCTTGCCTTCTTGTTCTGCATCCCACCTGACTCATGTCCCGAAACCTGTCGTGATCGCGACGATCTCGGCTGGCTGTGACTTGGTGGTTCCGGTAATGGTCGTGTGGGAAGAGGGACGTGGTCTCTAGTCGAGGACTTTTCATCATCCTCGTCCTCTTCCGAGTCTGATGACAAAAGCAACACGCTTTTATCATGAAAGTCAGCTTCCTGGATGAGCCCGCTGTCGGTCTGCCTGGAAGCCCTAGAAGTTCGAGTATGTCTGCTCGAAACACTTCTAGCACCATCGCCTGGAGACGACGAGTATTCTGAATGAGACATTCTTTTCGACTCGTGTGATTCATTGAGGGGCTTGTGAAGCCAATCGAGATTCTGTCGTACTTGCGGTTCCCGCCATTCAGATTCACCCTGGCCGCGACCGTCTGTTTGGTCCTTCTTGTAGACAGGGCTACCCATGACATCAGAGTCATCATCCATAGCGTTTCGGAAGGTCATCTGCTCATAGTGGTCATATAACGTGGAGAGCCCGTTGTCTGAAAGTTGTGTAGTCATTCGGCGGGCTTCTCCAGCGTTTGATGGTGAGGCATCAGGCACCAAAGACCTGAAGCTGTCCTTTGTCCGTCGTTTGAACATGCCGCGTAGGTCGCTCTGCCGATGGGACACAGTAGAATAGGGAGATGACACCGTCGGGGTTTTTATCGAATTGCTAGATGCACTGGGATTGAAATTGTCCGGCTCTTTTCTTGATAACCGGGGAGACGGTCCTATTGCAGTAAAGTCGAGTTTGGGGGGCTTCTTTCTTAACTTGGAAGACTCGTCGGTATCGGGGAAAGCATGCGGGTTTGATGAAAAGGCAGTATTCATGAGTGGAATCGAGGCTTGCCGTGAAAGAGAACGAGAATGTTTTGATTTGTCGTGCCAAGATTTAATGGTAGAAGACGACTGGGCTTTCTTGAGAGTACCGGACGAATTCTTTCCCCCAAAGTTCATGCTATCGGTAAGGGCACTCAGCCTCAGGTTCGAAGGGGACGGTCCGCGCTCTTTTCTCCGATCATCATCAGTTCTTGTCATCCTTGTTTGGCGCAGATTCAAATCCAGATCGCTTAGGGTCTTGTCTTCGTACATACCAACACTCACGGTTGGCGGCGGGGCGTCATGAATTGAAGAAGGGTCGATACTGAGCGGCGTTGAACCCAAGATTTTATGAGCTTTGCTCATAGGCATCACGGGCATTGGCTGCTGCTGCTGCTGGGGCTCCTGCGGCTTCTTACGTGCCGGCCGGGAAAAGTTGAACTTCCTCATCCTGTAAGATTTCCCCCAAGGCGCCTGGATTAGAAAAAAAAGGAAGAAAAAAAAAGGTTCCGTCCCAACCCTGGTAATCGAAACACTACCACTCCGTCATCTGACAAAATGTTTTAAATAACGTATGTAAGGACGGAATTAAGTCTGTGCAGCTGTATTCTAAACTCCAGGGATTCCAAGAATTCGATTGAAACGTCGAGAGTGTGAGGTGGTTACGTCGGCGAGTTCGCAATCGCAGAAAAAGGAAATCTGGTAGTGATTTTGTCGTTCGCGAATTCCGGTTGCCAGTGGGACCCTGGTCGAATCGCGGATTTTCGCCTCGCTTTGGCCGTGATAGAAACCGCAAAGCGAAGAAGCAAACACGACGACGCGCAGCAGAGCACACGATTCCTCTGGCTGGGAGGCGCGTGGTAATGGCGGGGAAAGATGCAAGTTTGTAAAAGAGACAGGCAAGATCGGGAATGGGGGCTCTCGTGTAAATGAACAAAAGCTGCGGGTACCGCCTGGGATGTGGTGAAGCGAGGTCTAGTGTTCTGCCATGCTGAATTAGACCACTGCAGAATCCGCAGCCAGTCTCCACAGTCTAATTACCTGGAGCAATATAGCCAATGCGACCAGCCGATCAGAATGACCAGGGAGAGCTAGATGCGAGGATAAGGCCGTGGGCAATTGTCAAGCCAGCCTGGCCGTGCGTGCGTGCTTGTCGTTCTGTACTTGTAGGTACGTGCTCCGTACAGTATCATGGAACAAAGAGAAGCGGTTCAGGAAACGATGCGATTGCGGGCAAAGGTCGAAGCGAGCCTGTCCCTTTTCCTCCTCTTGCCGGTTCCCTTGGTCGCAATGGGAAGAACAAGCGAGAGAAGCAGGCCTGGCTGAATCACGAGGGGAGGGAAATGGCGCTGCCGTCAACAACAAGATGGGAGTCTCAGACGATGTCGACAACCTTGCAGGGCCTGGCGCCGGATCACCGACTTGGATGCAACACCATCGTCTCCTCAAAGGCAAGGGTTTGTCGAGCTACCGCTTCCCGCTGCAGGCTCGAAGGCAATTGACCGGCAGTAATGGTGATACCACCTGCACCAACATGCAAGTACTTTGTATCACAACCACATCCGCGGTGCTGGACTCCGTACTACTGGAGTAGCGTGTGCTTGTCGGGTCGGTGCTAAGGGCGCGTTGCTGTACTTGTAAGAACTTCTGGGACAAGGCCATTTAGCCTACCGGCGCACACCTGAATCCCACTCGTCGGGAGCAACAGCTCCTCTCCTTAGGCCTTAGGGCAGCACACGGGCTTGTGCATTCCATCAATGCTTCGCGTCGGTACTCGTACTTGGCACCTCTCGAATCACTCGAATCATCTCGGACTGAGGCCTTGTTGGGGTGACGCTAGCCACGATCTCCACGGTAGACCCATGCAGTCTCTGTCTCCCTGTCACCACCTGGTCCGGGCACGATAGGCTTGCATGCTTGCAGACTTTCCTGTACAAGTACGCGATTTGGAGCGAGAAGCAATCAAAGCAAGCACGCAATGGCTTCAAGGCGTGAAATCGGCTCGTTCCACCACACTGTGTGTCTGGGCTTGTTTGGCCCATCCGTATGCGTCTTGCCCTCGGCCCGTGACTGTGCGCACGATGGCATCCAAGCCGATTTGAGTCGGTGTCGCCTGCTGACCAGGCATTGGCTGTCTAATTTCCGCGGGGGGCCCGTCTTTGGGGGCTTCTCAGCCTTTCTGCAGTGCGATGCAACACATGGCCAGTAATGTGATGACTCTCGGTTGGTGGCAACGAGCGAGCAGCGCAGAAATGGGAAATGAGGAGTGAAGTCAAGACCAGCAGCAAGCAGGGGTTCCCCTTCTTAGGCCCATCCTGGGTGCCTGAGGTCGGCGGACATCCCCTGCACGGGCCGTTATAGTCAGGTAGGGGCTGCTTTCAGGGCCTTGGCGCACCGGGAAGCCCAGACGAACCACTGAAGCCACTGGAGGATGCTCAAAGTGATCAATCAGCAAATTCCACCAGAGTCAAATGACCTGTGCTTGAATCTCAAATCGCATCCATGCATTGAAACTTCACCGCTGCAAATTCTCACCATGATTGCCCGACTTCATCTACATCGTATACCCGCAGTACTGTATCTGCTACACAAGATGCAAGAGGAGGGATACCGCTCCTAGATCAGCTGTTGCGGAGCTTGCCGACATCGACTCGGCTCCTCCGCCCTTTTACATGCATTTCCAATTTGATGTACTTGTAGACTCCAGCAGTGATTACGCCATTTGATTCACACGAGAACAACAACAGCTGAGACATCTCACAGCAAGCGTCCTTCATCCTCCACCTCCTTCTGCAGGGAAATCGAAATCCTACAGGCTTGTCCCTCGCACGCTTACTTTGAGTCTGGGGCGCCCACGTGTCTCTCCCCATCTGCGTTAGCCATCCCGCTGGCAGTGGGAATGGAGCATCAGCTCGTGCCTCAGCGTCCCATTGGGTCCGTCTGTGTCTTTAATGCCCGTCCGTCAATTGCCGTATCGGCAGTTCCATCAAATTTCACCAACAGAAAAGTTGGTGTGCTGTCGCGGCTGTGATATGTTCATATCATGTCTAACGGTCTCATTGTCCGAGCCACGCAAGTTCCCCTACTCGGGAAGTTGATATACCAATTTCGCCCGATGAGATTAACGACGGCCGCCGGGATGTGTCGAACTAATAATTTGCCATCTTTTGTCTGTTGGCGAGATATGACATCCTCCTTGCCAATACGAGGCAGAAATGCCTGCGTATGAGTAACCTACCCAGGGTTCAATACAGGGAGCATTCGATAAGTGTGTGTTATATGCAGGGAAAACACAGCCTGATCCTCACAGGGCAAGGGAAGACGGCAGATCGCCAGTCCTCTTGCAGACGATGTCCCCGGCCAAATAAATGACCAAGTGCATCAACTAGGTGCCAAGCTGCCTAAGAGATGACATCGTCAGCGCTTGCTAGCAGTCATGATAAGCTTTGCTGATGGCAAATATCGCATCATCAGTTGTTGAGGCTGTATGTTTGCACTCTCAGCCTGAATGTTGTTTCATCGCGCAAATCTCAGCTCGCTACGATCCGTTTGTCCGCTGTTAACCCCGTTTCCTTTGCCGTTTGATTGAAACTAGAAACATTCATTGTTTTGTACTAGCATTCTACAGCTCGAGCCCTCCAATTTAAAATCCGGTGACATATGCCCTCAAGGGAAGAGCGTGTGGTGTGGTTCACTCCACCTCACAGAAGTCACGTCAATCCTTTGTGTCAACTTGAATATCAGTCGTCGCCAAGAGGGCAGCAACAAAGTTAAGACAATCTGATTGTCAATTAGCCATGCAGAATATTCCTTACCAACGCTACTGTGCCGTCCATCTTCAACGTCATTTTCTTTTTCCTTGTCCGTTCGTGCGCGTGATTCGTCCCCTTATCCATGTCCATATAATTACGGCTCAATGCGGAGCCCGCTGACTTGCCGGAATGGGATCGATCTATTGCTGCACGTACCTTTGACTGGTCCGTTCACCACATATACAGCTTTGTTTGTTTTTTTCCCTTTTCTTCCTTCGGGCTCGCCTTGTTTCTCTTTTTGACTCGTTACTTGTACGAATCTGGAGGTGGGCGCTGAGCTTAGACGATCCTTGGACAACTCTTGGCCGTGCCATGTGTCCAAAGTGATCAGTGTGGCCTCAGGTCTCAGTCAGCCACAGCCTAGCCCCTCGAGCTCATTTCAATTTCTAGTAGCCTGACGTCTCAAGGGAAACCAGAATACGGAGTGCAGGGCTATTTATTATGTGAATGACTCGATCCCAGGGTGGAGGCCGCTACGGTGGGAATTGATCCATTCATTGTGTCTTCGCCACAAGCCGAGGTGCCTCGACTCATTAGTTCTGCATTTGACAGCTGCTCCATGCCGGGAGATGTGGAAAGATGGGAAATAAAAAAACGTTTATTGACAACGGCACTATAATATTTGTAATTTCAAGCTCTGCTGGGTATACTAAGCTTCATTGCTATTAACAGTGTACATAATTGTATGAGTGTCTCAGGACTCTTTCCCTGCTGCGCATGACATCAACAAAGCTCCAAGAATCGGGCTCGATATTACCTTGTCCTAACGTTACCTCTACCGTCTTCAGATTTCAATTTGCTGAGAAACTAAGAAGCCCACCGTTGTAGTTTATATACGATATCGTGTTAGTCGTGACGCATCATAATGCTAGATAAGAAGGCCACCAGTCCTGGTCTTTCCCAATACTTAGTCTATAACGAAACCACCATTCTTGAGACTTGGGAGCAGATTCAACAGCCTCTTGGATTCTTCGCGTTCGAAATTTGACCTTGACTCCTCGCCCATTCATGCCGTCGAGCATACCCCGGGCAAACTGCCGCCACCACTCGAGGACTTCCACGTGCTGGCGAGCTGTAGCGATGTATATGACTTCCTCGGCATCAAATAAGACGTTGTCATCACCTTGCAGCTTTCGCCAGGTCTCCAAGACATGGACATGTCCCCACCGGCTAGCTGTAAAGGCCACACCACCGCTGTACCCCATTTCAATGCCAGAAGCATGCCACCATCGTAGCACATCTGCTTGGCCATTCGTGGCGGCCCATAAGAGCGACCTGCCAGTCTTCAACACGATATTGTGGTCTAGGGCAGCAGCGTCGCGCCACCACTCAAGGACCGAGATGAGGCCGTTACTGCTCGCCTGTTCCAAAGAGACCTTTGTGTATAACAACGGTAACCCCGATTGCTTCCACCACTGCAAAATATGCACGTGGCCATTCTTACACGCGCCATCTATCGCTTCAGTATCGTAGACATGGCGATTCTGGAAGTGAGGACTGTTTTTCCAGTAATCCAAGACTTTGACCTGGGGATAATATGCGGACGCTTTGATGGGAAGAAAGGCCCCATCAAATGCCTTGAACAGCTGGGGATGGTTGTTTTCCAGATAAGTGAGCACCTTAACTAAAGCGAATCGGGTGATGAGCTTCACGACCAGCACTGGTAAAATCTGGAAATCGTCTGGTGCTTGTGATAACTTCCGACAAATGGCAGCCGTGTTGCATGTGAGGACCGTCCGCTCGAGTTCATGTGAGTATATGAGCAAAGGATCACTCATATCTTCGACACGTACGTTCCATTCTGTTGGCACGGGCAGACTGGTGTTGATACCAAGCGCAGCGGCCAGCTCCCAATCACCTGTGAAACTCAACACTTTGCTCCATAACTCGAAAGGTAGCCCTGGCAAAGTAGTTGCATGAAGTTCCGACATGGCAACGGCTCTTCCTGTTGCTTCCCCATCGCGGCCGAGATTTAATAGATCAGCCTGGTTTTGGATAAGATCAAGCAAGTCTCTGAATCCATGCCAGTTCGTTGCTTGTTGTGGATGTGCTGCATCTTCATAGTGCCACAGTATGGGCTGCATCACACGGATACATGGCCATTCTCTCTGAACTTCACCCAGTTGCTGTTGGACTAGAGGACTCAGCCATGCGCTGTCGTCCATTCCAGGCACCATGATACACCCTTTCTGAGCCTCGTTCCAGCTTCTCAGGAGGTCATCAAGAAAAGTGTCGCCTCCGCCCACCAATAGGGTTTCAATTTTTCTGATATCTAGCGGCACACAAACCAAAAGGTCAGCCCATTCAACTAGGTCGTGTATATTTAGCCCAGTATGTTTAGAAGATATGTCTTCCGGACCAATTGGTTCTTGAGCAATGGGCGTGTTTTGGATGGTAATAATGAGCTGATTCAGCCTTGGTGATGGATCATCAACCACCGCCCTCATCTCTATACGACGATCCTTGGAAAGCCGCACCACGAGTGGTTGAGCCCAAGACGAATGCCGCGTGCCCGTGGCAGTGATCAGCAGCCGCAAGGGGCGGCTTTTCAGTGAGTCTTCGCGCAGAGAAAAGCAAGCCATCATGTCGGTTGCAGTGGGCCGCGGAGACTGGTGAGATTGAGACTGCATGGTGAAAGAAGCAGTTATGACGACACACTACGCTCTGTATGACGGAGAAGCGCATATAGATATCATGTATACTCTTGTGTAGTCCTTTAGATGGCAATTAATGTTTCAATTGTCAAATCCAAAGCTAGCTTCGATGAATTGGCCTATCATCGGACTATTGATGGATTTAGTTCGGTGTCGTCATGGAGCCTCTGCCGAATATCTCACGGCATGCTCTGAAGCGCAGCTGTCATCTTATGTATCTCATCGAGTTGCTGTCGTCTACAGAGTCGAGGTTTATAGGATGAGAAAAATCTTATATATAAAATAGAAAATAGAAAAAACATCAATTGTTACATCGCCCGGCCTCCGTAGCCCCGGCGAGAATGTTCCCGATTCTCGCGGTTCAAGGGAAGCTGCTTCTTATCGTTGATGTAACTGTACGGTTCATGTATGTGATAGGCCGAAGCTCCGCATTCAAGCTCGATAGTGGTGCTCGGCAATTCATACAGTGTACAAGAGGCGTAACCGGCTGTCACATGACCGCCCCAGCGTCAAGACTCATGCTTAACTCATGTACTTGGTACGTGCAAACTTCCATCGAAAAAAAGTCAATCTAGCAAGAGTCATGCCGATTTCAGCTTCAAACAACTTATAACTGCGCGTTCTGCAATCGCCAGCGAACAACTTTAGCTTCCTCTTTTAATTCCTTCAAATCGAGATCAACACTTGCGTCTTTGCTTCCTCTGCACACCACCCAATCCTACTCGCCCCCACTCTTTTTTTTTCTCTTCTTACTTTTTTTCTCTCTCCGGCAGAAGGGATTTCTGCTACCCTCATTAACGATGTTGGACCAAATGGCAAACGAGATCAAGTTAATCTCTGGGAGCTCCCACCCGGAGCTGAGTGCTCTGGTGGCCAGTCGGTATGTCTCGCAAGATGGTCGTTGAACGAGATATGAGACAAATAGCGCCAGACGTCACTTGACTGATGACTGATTCTGCGGCAGACTTGGCATCAATATCGCCAACACCATGAGCCTCAACTACTCCAACCAAGAGACTAGTGTTTCCATTGGAGAGTCCGTGAGAGACGAGGACGTCTTCATCCTTCAGTCGACAGCGCCGGGTGACGTCAACGATGGCCTCATGGAGCTGCTCATCATGATCCACGCTTGCCGCACTGCGTCTGCTAGACGCATCACGGCCGTCATTCCTAATTACCCCTACGCTCGCCAGGACAAGAAGGACAAGTCCCGTGCGCCCATTAGTGCCAGACTGATTGCAAACATGCTGCAGGTGTCCGGCTGCGTGCGTTGAGCCAACCTCTTTTTGATTCTGATCAAGAAGCTAACATGCGGTAGAACCATATCATTACTATGGACCTGCATGCCTCACAGATCCAGGGATTTTTCAACGTGCCTGTAGATAACCTGTATGCTGAGCCATCCGTCCTGCGGTGGATCAGTGAGAACCTAGACGTTGAGAACTGCGTCATCGTCTCTCCCGATGCTGGCGGTGCGAAGCGCGCTACCTCGCTTGCTGACCGTCTCAACACCGGATTTGCTCTGATTCACAAGGAGCGCCCGCGACCTAATGTTGTCGGCCGCATGGTGCTTGTGGGTGATGTTCAAGACAAGGTAGCTATCCTTGTGGATGACATGGCCGACACCTGTGGAACTGTAAGTGATTATACCTATTTCCTGATTTCGTAATCATGCAATTAATGGCCTTCAATAGCTGGCCAAGGCGGCGGAAACCCTCAACAGCCACGGCGCTCGCCAAGTCTTTGCTATTGTCACTCATGGCATTCTCAGCGGCACCGCCATTGACACCATTAACAACTCCCATCTATCTGGCCTTGTCGTCACCAACAGTAAGTGACTTCCGAAAAAGCACCCTGTTCTGATATCACATTACTAACATGTAACTAGCCGTTCCTCGTAGGTTTCATCAAATTCCCCCATGCAAGCATCCAGAGTCTAACCATGTGTGATGTTAGTTGGCGATAAAACTGAGCGGTGCCCTAAGCTCAAGGTCATCGATGTGTCTGGCACGCTTGCTGAGGTAGGCTCATCTCTGCTGGATACTCTTTTATTCCAGACACTGACTTCTCTTAGGCTATTCGACGAACCCACAACGGTGAATCGGTGTCATACCTTTTCACCAATGTTCCCGTCTAAACGACTTGATGGGTTGTTATTTTGTTTGGTTAAACTCTTTAGTATGTGAATACATATTTTCTAATTCCAGGGGCTCTGCTAATGCTTTCCGAAGCTGTTTGTCTTGGTTGGCGACGATTAGATACTCGACCAACCAATGCTTGGGATAATTAGGTGCACCGAATTCCTTTTTTGAGAGAAAGTTTCTTCAAAGTGTCAAGGATGGTTAGATTGATCTCCATATGGGTATTGGAAAACACAATCCTAGCTATTTAGGGTACTGCCAGAAGCTTCATCATTACTTAAACTGCTGGTACTATTCGCAGAGCCGGTTCTGCCTCCTTTGCCGGAGAAAGTATTTTATACCAGGCCAGCTCATGCAAAAAATGCTGCAACTACTAGATGCTGCTATGGGATTTGATTGAGAGAACAGAGAGGGAGACGATTGGATGATTTTTATGGTTACAGAAAACGAAATGCATTGGGCGTAAGGGGTATGAAAATTTTAGCAGAGACAAAAAGATTGAGAGCAATACACATGAGCCAATTTTTTAGCGGGCGACTCACGGCTGCTCTCTCCGTGTAAGTATGTATATAAGTTAGCTAGCTATACTTCCAAGTTGCCACCGTTCAAAATAAAAAGACAAAATAAGATGACATTTGAGTATTTTCTCTTATTTTATTAGATTGAAACGAAATAGAAATTCACTGGATGATTAGGTAGTTCGCATACTCCAATGAATGAAGCTGCAATATCTCGACAGCCCAACAGAGTACGCTAGTCCCCATGCAACTAGCACTAAACAGGCAAAAAGCGGAAAGGCGGTGAGCTGGTTCTGCCGGCTTGATGCTGCACCAAGCATAACACCTTACACACTACCGATGCGCTGTCCTTGAACATGAATGAGACCTGATTGGAGCGAGGAGCATGAAACCGCGGTATTCCACCATTATTCCGACGCTGAAGCTGCATGAAAGCGATATAAACGTCGCCCGTACGTTGAATGCCCATGGGCAGACTATTCGGCCGGACCCAAGATGACGACGCAGCTTCTGGCCACGGAGCTAGCTAATCTCATTCAGGAGAGCAAGAGGAAGCACAATGACCTTCGACAAGTACGCACTTCCTCTTCAACTGGAGCTTCATTGCTCATCGGCTCACCTTGTTCTTTTCTTATAGGCAGCCGAAAGATCTTTAGAAGAGCTGAAGAGCCTTGGCAATGTCCCCGAAACGGCAGCTCCTGAGTGTATGCGCCAGTGGATCCTTCTAAGCCCAAGTGACATCTCGTTGACATTGAACCCCCAGTGCTCTCGCAAAAGCCCAGCTTTGTGAATCCCTTCATCATCGCGTGTGGCACCAAGAATGCAAAGTTTACCGGCATTGCAATCGTCTGTCTGCAGAGGCTTATTGTTGCGAAGGCGCTGCCCAGATCGAAGCTCAACCAGGTCCTGGAGGCGCTGATGCAAGCGTCCTCGGCCGGGCTTGACGTTCAGTTAAAGATTTTGCAGGCGTTGCCTTCGTTGTTGCAAAACTACTCCTCAGATTTGAATGGCAATCTTCTTGTGACTGCTCTGAATATCTGTTTCATCCTGCAAAGTAGCAAGAATGCCATTGTGAATAATACCTCAGCTGCCACTCTCCAGCAGCTTGTCGTTTCGGTATTTGACAAAGTAGTCGCTGAAGATAGTGAGTTCATTTACATTACCATCGACTTACATTTTCTGACGTTGGTGTAGAGAATGGCGGCGATGCCCCTATTGCAGTCGAGGCGCCATCAGCCGACGGCAAAGTAGAACTCCGCGCAGCCGCATTAGATGCGTACCGTGTTAGTGATCTATATATCCAGACATGCATCAGGCTTTGAAACTAACAGTTTTTAGATATTCAACGACTTGTGTCTCTTGACAGAAAACCAGCGGTCCGAATTCCTGCGTTTCTCTGGATTACAGCAAACATTTGGATTAGAGCTTATTGAGTCGGTTATCACAAATCATGCGAGCGTCTTCCTCAGCCATCCCGAACAAGCTCACATTCTTCGCGACCGCGTGATGCCTCTTCTGATGAGTGCACTCAAAGGCAAGCCCTCATTCGCCACAACTGTGAGGCTCGTCCGCATCCTCTATACCTTGTTGCGCCGCCATATCAGCATCTTGCCTTCAGAGTGCGGCGATGCACTGTCACTTCTTACAACTCTCCTGGATCAAGACACCACCATCTGGAAGCGGGCGCTATGCATGGAGGTATTCCGTGGCATATTTGCCGAACATGCTCTCGTGCGTCGCATATTCACCATGTACGACGCAAAAGAGGGCGAGAAGGACATCATTAAAACACTTATTGCGACTTTTGTACGGCTTAGCACCGAGAAGCCGGCAGTCATCGGCTTAGGCCATCAGTCTTCAATACCAGTCGCTGATCCATCTGGTGGCTCTGGCTTGTCTACGGATCAGGCATTGATCGAAGCTACTAGTGTTACTGGAATCATCAGCGGCTCTATTGGGTCAGAGACCTCCAATATAGGCATCAGCGTAACATGGAGCTCTGTTCGAGTTCCCTGTATAGATCAACTGGATAAAGCCGAGGCGCCAACGATTCCTGAGTCGTACATTTACAGTTTGATATTGGCATGCCTCTCGTCTCTATCAGATGGGCTTGCCAAGTTTATTCTGCCGCTCACAGTTCCTAATGAGAATCGAGCTCGGAAAAAGACCTCAAAACAGGATATGGGGCGTAGCTCGCCTGCTCCGTCCCAGCTGGAAGCTGAAGGTCCATCTCACGGAGGAGCGCGAGAACGGTCAGCTTCATTTAAGAAGAACCCAGTACCAATCAATCCATTGGAGCTGGAAGACCATCCTGCCTATTCCGAAGTCAAGGTCTGCTCTGACATCGTCAACGAGTGTTGGCCTGCTATATTAGCTACTTGCTCAACCTTTTTATATGCCGCCCTGGATTCGGAGTATTATCACGGCTTGGTTCGTGCATTTCAGAGATTTGCCCATGTGGCAGGCTTATTGCAGCTCCCAACGCCACGAGATGCCTTTTTATCTACGCTTGGAAAAGCTGCAGTACCTCCAAATGTTTTAAGTGCGTGTGTCAATGCTGGTCAGTCACGATCTACAGTCACTACTCCGACGGAAACACCAAGCAGCGTTTTCAGCAATGCTCGAGGCCTCTTGAGCGTCGAAAATCTGTCCCAAGTGTCCAGCCCTACGGAAAGACAGCGTCAAGGTCCTATTGATGCGTCTATAACTCTAAACACACGGAACCTCCTCTGTTTGCGAGCACTGCTTAATCTCGGCATTGCTCTTGGTCCAACGCTTGGGCCTGCCTGGGGTATCATACTTGAGACCTTACAACAGGCTGACTTTGTGCTCTATGTTACTGGGAAGGCCCCCGGGAGAACTCAATCTCTGGGTCGCGGCGGACAGGACTATCAAAATGAATCAGACGCAAACTCACTCATGGCCAATTTTGGCAGCGAAGTCCGATCTGTTGAAACAGCCGCGTCCAGACTAATTGAAAGCAGTGTTGACTTCCCCAATGAGTCATTCGTCGAAGTCGTTCAAGCTATATGCGGCTTGCTACCAGATGAAGGCGAGGTAAAGTCTAACGCCGACGACAAAGAGCCATCGCGGCAGAGCCAGCATGCGAGAAGCTCGTCTGGCCAGCATCGGCGAGTACTCAGCTTCTCTGGCCAGTCGACAGCATCCAATCAAGAACTCCAGTTTGCGCTAGCAAAAATGGGGGAGATTGCCATGATTAATCTTGAACGACTGTTGGCATATGATCCGACAGAATCAGGCTGGGACCTATTGGTGCACAAGCTGATTCAGATGTTAGACTCAAGTGTTATTAGTCCATCAGTCAGGACAAGAGCCTCTGAGATACTTGCTAAGCTGGTGCTCGAAGCAGCTAATGCTGCAGGTACCCTCCCTCCCGACATTCGCGGAGCGATTCAACTCCGGCTATTCGGTGCCCTTCGAGACTCGTTGAAACCTTTACAGAAGGGTGGCCGGGACATTTCTGTTTCAAACGCAACGACTGATATTGAGATTCATAGAATCATTCTTGATGGTTTGCGAGGCGTTATTGAGGACTGCGGGCAAACTCTCGTCAGCGGTTGGGACGTCACGTTTGACATTATTGGAAGCGTCTTCACAGCAAGAGAAACTGATTCGGGAGATCACGAATCAACAATCAGTGCTCGAAACCTCGGTACACGATCGTCAAAGCTTGTGCGATCTTCTTTCAGCTCACTTCAACTAATCTGCTCGGATTTTCTACCTTCATTGCCTAACTCCTGCTTCCTAATTTTGGTGGATACGCTCTACAAATTCTGCTCTCAAGACGACGATCTCAATATTGCACTGACGGTAAGGCTTGGTATCTTTGAGAAAATAATTCATTTTTCTAATGAGAACGTATTCCTAGACTGTGACCTTTTTCTGGGCTCTTTCCGACTTTCTATCCGGCAAGGATAAGTCGCTTGATATTACGATTGACTTATTCCAAGACGCCGATGTCGACGCGCTAGAGCGCCTAGCAGCAGATTTCGGTGGCCGAGGATCCGACGCAGCGTTGTGGATGCTATTGCTGTTGAGGCTCACAGCTGTCGCTTCTGATGACAGAGTTGAACTTCGTAACACGGCTATTCAAACACTTCTTCGTATCTTTGATGCTTATGGGGAAAGGCTCAGCCCTGAAGCATGGTCAATATGCATCAAATCCGTTGTTTTCAAACTATTGGCTTCACTTGAAGGAGAGTTGAGGACCACCCAGGACGAAGAAGTAGACGAAGCCGATAGGGTAGAGTGGCACGATACTGCAGTCGTTGTGCTGAATGGCATATCAACTTTGCTCGGAAACAACCTTGAAGTACTTACCGCACACTCATCTTTCAACGAGCTCTGGAATAAGCTGCTTGAGCATCTGGCTACGTTACTCGATTTCAAGGTTCTTGATATTAATACCGCAACTTTCAAAGCATTAAGTCATGTGCTTTCTCAGTCAGGAAGTGAAGAGAAGCCCGTTTTCAACGAGACAACTGTCAAGTTCGCCTGGGACTTGTGGTCCCGAGGTATCCCCATCACAAAAGCTCCCAGTGGGAAAGCTCAGGACAACCAAAACTGTCTAACCGCCTACGTGGCCGCTCTTCGTGAGGTTTACAGGCTGATCAAGTCTGATCTAACGGTGGAGAGAGTCCAGCGAATCCTTAGTTTATTGCGCCTTACTGTTGAGGAAGCTTCTGTGGGAAGTTATGCTACAGATATTGACAATCTGACGCAGCTTCAGGCACAGGTATTGGATGCCGTGAAAATGATTCGAACCGACGTTAGCGGCGTTCCATCGGCCTTGATCAAGCAGGTTTCCGAGTTTGTAACTTTGGCCTACGACCAAGATTATGAAGCTCAGCCTCCGTCAAAAAGGACATACGTTGCAATGTCGAAAACCAGTATGCAAATGCTGGAGGGCCTCGTGGTGAGCCACTCAACCGACACTGATATATACACGAGCGGATCAGTCAGCGCAGCTCTATCCGCTCTCCTCAGACCTATCACTCTCAAATATCAGTTCCCTATTACTACAAGGTCGGTCCAGCCTTGGAAGCTGGCGACATCGACAGTCTTGACAATCGCCGAAGCGACTCTGTCAAAGCTTGATGATCTAGACATACCCACAGACACCATTCAAGGCATTTGGCAGCTCATTGCCGAGATTGCGGATGGTATTCTGAGTGCAGATTGCGATAATCCACCACCTGGCACAAGCGTTGCAGAAGATGAAGCGGCAGATATTGCATGGTTTCACAAGTTGGTAGAACTGGTCATCCCGTCAATGGGGTCAGAAAAGGTGAAGGAGGAGACTCGAAGCGCATATACTAGAAGTCTGTTCAAGACATCAATCATTCATGACCCTCCATCGACGGACAAGGTCATCATTCAGGACGGAGGAGCCAGCCTGCCAAAGTTGTACCAGCCACGAACCGGACTCACAAATTCCGTCCCACCGACGCAGCGTACGAAGATGGCCTACGTCGCATTCGAAGAGCTCTTCTTGCTTATTTCAATAGACGAGCCGGCTGCCCATAAGCCGTCTGCTGCCAAGGCCATGGATGATCATTCTGCTTCAAGAACCCGCATTGCGTGTACCGCAGCCCCATTCTTAATTCTCCGATGTGCGTTGACTCTTCGCGCATATGTATCTGACCAGCCGCTCCGAGGCAAAATGCCGCAGCCACTCAGCCAGAGGAAGGAATTGTTCTGGACGCTGCAAAAGCTGGTTGATTTGCAGAGCCAGAGCGAGGCGATACCTCCTCTTGAAAAGGCACAGAGCGATGTCAGAAAGCACTTGCTGAGGTTGTACCCCTTGATTGTGAAGGCACTGAGAGTACAAGGCGATGAAAAGGTCCTGTCTCTTCTGAGGGAGGCTTTAGATGTGATTGGTGTCGAGTTTGGAGTTGTTTAGAAGATAAATATGGCTTCTTTATAGTGTTTGAGGGTAATACGCTGCAACAGACGCAAGAATTCTACGATTAATACAAGCTTTATAATATGATCGCCTTGTTTAGAATGTAGCGAAGATAGAGTGTGCATACAGCATTGCTTCAACGCTTTAGCACTAGATAGAATGTTGAAAATAATACATATATAATATCCATTTTCCTTCAAGTATCTAGCTGACAGTTTATAAATTTATTGCCTTCTATGAGGATGCTGATGGAATTCTCTTCTCCTGATGCAGGGTAAATAATCCAACGCTCACATGTCAAAATGAGATCCACCCCCACCATGCCACAAAGGTACATGCGCTGCAGCAGAGCCACCAAAAAGTGACATCGCGGGGCAGAAAAAAAAGTTGCACATCCAATATTTCGTCTACATAGAAGTCATCTAACAGCATCCCGTATTCTCCTCAGCTGCAAAAAGATAAGGGGAAATACAACATCTATCTGTAATGGGTAAATCCTCCAAAGACAAACGTGACGCCTACTACCGGCTCGCCAAAGAGCAAGGATGGCGCGCAAGAAGTGCATTCAAGCTTCTCCAGCTTGACGAAGGTACTGCCCCTCCGATCCCTCCACCTTTAAGAGTGTGAGATGCCCAATTGTCTATGCCTTGTCCGCTAAATCAAGTGTCTTGTGACAGAATTCGACCTCTTCTCCAACGTCTACCGCGTCGTCGATCTTTGCGCCGCCCCGGGCTCCTGGTCCCAAGTCCTTTCGCGCGTGCTCATCAAAGGCGAGAAGTTTGGCCGCTCGGCATGGCAAGATCGCGACGCCAAGGTCCGGCAGCAGATGCTCGGCGTCTTCCCCGAGGCCTTCACACCCGAACAGAAGGCGGCTATAGAAAAAGAGACGAGCTTGTCCGCGGCGCAAACCGGAGCCGAAGCGACGACAGCGGCCAACCCAGATGTTAAGATCGTGTCCATCGATCTCCAGCCTATTTCTCCCCTCGCGGGCATCACAACTCTTAGAGCGGACATTACGCATCCTGCAACAGTTCCTCTACTACTCTCTGCCCTCGATCCATCCTACGATTCCGCAACAGCAGCGGGAACACAGGCCCAGCACCCCGTCGACCTCGTTCTCAGCGATGGCGCCCCCGACGTCACGGGCCTGCACGACCTCGACATCTACGTCCAATCGCAACTCCTCTTTGCGGCGCTTAACCTTGCCCTTTGCGTTCTAAAACCAGGCGGCAAGTTCGTCGCCAAGATCTTCCGGGGCAGAAACGTGGACATTCTATACGCGCAGCTCAAGATATTCTTCGAAAAGGTCATTGTGGCGAAGCCAAGGAGTAGCAGAGCGAGCAGTGTCGAGGCGTTCATCGTGTGCCTGAATTTCCGGCCGCCGGCGGGTTTCCATGCAAGCCTCGAGGAGCCCCTCGGGGTAGGACAGCGACTGGATAGGCTGGTGAAAGAGCGGGATATGCAGCTACCCATTGTCGCTGAAGCAACCATGCAGTCAAGCAAGGGGACATGGGATTACAGCGTCAAATCAACGCCAACGACATCACGCGAGGGCGGAATCACAGAGGTGGAAGTTTACGACGAGACGGAGGGCAACGACAAGGTCAATGGGTCAAGATGGATTGCACCTTTTATCGCTTGTGGCGATCTATCAGCTTTTGACTCCGACGCTTCCTACCAGCTGCCTGAAGACTATGTCTCGCTGGACCCCGTGCAGCCTCCTATTGCTCCGCCTTACAAGAGGGCTCTCGAGATGCGGGCTGCCATATCTAAAACTACCAGGTAGAGACATAAATGGTAGGTATAAAAGAGAAAAAAAAAAAAGAAAAACATCAATAATATCCAAGAAACCCAAGAAACCCAAGATGCAAAAAAGCTAACCGTGCCTCGTCGATGAGCGTCGAACGAGACTTATGCAATGCTGAAAACATGCGACAATAAAGAAAAAAGGGGAGGCAAAACAAAAGTAAGCGGCGCGCCAGTCTCATTTGTGATCCTCCGGGATATCCTTGACCCCCCCGCCCGGCATCTCCAACAACACCAAGCCAGCGGACGGACCTTGGTCCCAGTCGAGGGCTTTCAGCTCGCGCTGGTACATTTTCGCGGCGGACTGGTCGTGCGTCATGAGGACGAGGCCGCGCAGGTTGGGCCACTCGTCGACGATTTCCTTGAGCCCTTGCATCATCCAGCTGGCGAGGCCGCGGCGCTGGAACTCCTCGATGATGAAGACGTCGGTGAGGTAGGCGAACGTGACGTAGTCGGTTACGACACGGGCGAGGCCGACGAGTTTTACGTTGGAGCCGTATGGTCTCCGCGGAGCTCCGTTGTCTGAAGATGATGTTAGCTGGAATATTCTACACTAGAATGGTGGAAAGATGGTCCTGGGCGTGGTTCGAGCACAAGCAAGGATTTCGTCTGGATGGAATATCACAGGCAATGGGGGGGCGACTAACTCTGCATCTGCTTCTCCGACTCGGGTACGTGGTATATGCTCATTGTCATGCAATTGGACAGCATCTTGCGCATCTGTGACTCCGGCAGCGGATCGTTCCACCACATGAGGTCTGATTCAAAGACGGCGTTGACGGCCTGGGGCTCGAGATATTTCTTGTCGTTTGTGAGGAAGAAGTTGTCGCGGAACCAGTACCGGGGCTCGCCCTCGGGGTTGGTGGCCTTTGAGCTCTTTGAGGATTTGGAACCCATTGTGGAAACGAGAGAGCCCATGGTTGCTGTCTCGTGTATGTCTTTTTTGCTTTCTTGAATATAATGTGCTGGGTGTTCTTTTATGTATAGATACTTGTTCTTTTTTTCGTCTCTTTTCTTCTACAAAAGAGTACAAATGGTTTGGGTGTCGAAGTGGAGGAGAGAAGGGAGGAGTAGTACGATATATGTTTACTTTGGCGGACGAGAGTTTGACCCCCGGCTCATCCTTGCTTCTTCTCAATAGTCCCCCCCTAGCGCTTAGTTCCCCATCTTCCCGCCTTCCGCCCTGCTTCTTTTATTCTCCCCTACCCCAGCACAGCAACCTAGGTAGATAGATGGCCAAGATTAGAAACACGGGGGAGAAAGTCCATGGCCCATACGACTACGTGCTACCTCCATCATGGGCCAATCCTGTGGCGTTTACTAGCACGGTTAGCTACGGCTCTTAGAGCGACGGACTGGGGTGTCATTCTGGGAACTTTACGTTATCCATTGAAAGTTGTTGTCTCTTTTGCGGAGTGTTATATTGAATGGGAACGCCCAGCGAACAGGGTCAGGTGCACCAGCGCAGCGGCCGGAGCTTGTTCGCGGCGCACGCAACGCACGCAGGCACTTACTCTTATTACTTCGCGCCGGCGGCTCTGGGCCTATTGGATGCGTTCGTTTGGCGTGGGCCTGGCCCTACTTGGCTGGCGATCGCCTTTTGATGCTCAGGACAATATGCAAATCCAGTCAAACGGCGGAGAAGCGGGTCGCACGGGGTCGGATGAGGAAGGTCGCGGCGGTTCCGGATTCTTATGCCAGTGATGCTATTGTTGCTCCGGCCGATGGGGAAAGATAACATATCATGCAGTAATGCTACGATTTAACAACCCTTCTCGTCTTCCTTTCGTCTTCTATTCTCCGATTTAGCTTGCTACCCAGCACATGGACACCGCCTCTCCCCTCGGATGGAAAGGCAAGCAAACATGAGCCAAAGGACCATCTATTGGTAAAGCCCGGCACTTGCTGGCTTCGCGAAAACCCAGGGCGTGACAAGATCGCGCGCCATCATATCCAATCGCCGCCAGCATGACCGCCATGATTTCCTGACAAGGTAACTGTTAGGCAATCATTACATACTCGTGGTGTGTCGTTGGCAGCACAAGCTCCAAGCAAATCGTTGGACTTTTGGGGTGCAAGTGGCGGATGACGCCGGCTGGAGTGTGGGGTTTCACCGCGTTACCGAACCGGTCTGACGGCATGGGTGGACACCACTGAATAGATACCGGAAGGGGCGATTAACGGTAGAAAATGAGAGGCTAAGGATGCATCTGGCTGTTGCAAGGGAACCTATCGCGTCGATAAGATGTCGCAGAAACGGGCTGCATGTTTGCATGTTTGCATGTTTGCTCGAGAAGCCTCGGAGTTGAAAAGATGGCCCGCGCGGGTCTTTGAATATCGTATCATCCAGGTACCCCATCGCTCTTTCATCCCTTTCGTCCTGCATCTTTCTCAATCACTTGTCCTGGCAGGTCCTTGCTCCGTCAGGGCTGAGATGGTCGGTGAGAGAGCTGAGGCTGCGCGGTGCCTGGACTCGTTACCCGTGCACTGCATGCTGTGGCTGTTATTTCGTACGACATAGCGATAACAACAACGGGCGTTTCTCTCCCCCCTTTAATGGGAATATGCGCCTCTCCTTTCCGACTGCATGTATGACGGCATGGCTTTCCGCAGCGCCTAACAATCACCGCCTCGGATGGTTTGCACGACAAGCGCCTCTTTGGGGTTTAGCAGATGAAGCAGCGACGGAGATTCAAAGGGAGATCTCATCTGGCTGGGTGTGATGGGTCTAGCCGTATTAGGAACATATGATGGATGTCTTACATAATGTCTCGGCTTGGCCATAATTCCGGATTCCTTGTTACTGGACTATCACGAGGGTAACTTGCGTCACACAGCGGAATCAAACATCACCCCTTGCATGACGCTGTATTTATTCACAGGCATACGATTACATGGATACGCATATTTACGTCGATACATCACTTGTGCACATTCACATTGGCTTCACTTTCAAACGGCAAGGCAGATATTGTCAAAAAGTCCCCAAAGGGTTTCCTTGAATATTGAATCCCATCTCTACCTCTTTTTCCTCCTCTTTCTCTACATGAATTGGCACTCATGATAGGATTTCCTTCACAATTTGTCAACGTACATCACCTCTTTACAGCATACCAACACAGGCCGCAACACCAGCAATCAGGCATGAGCCGAGGATGGCAACAGCAGTGGGAGCAGCGCCGTTGGTCGTGAAGGTGCTGGTGGGGTGAGTGCCGGTGGAAGTGCCGTTACGTCCAGGCAGTCCCTGAGAAGCGGTCACTGCGGATGAGCTTGCGCTCGACTTGACGGGAGGGACAACAGCCGTGGTTGAGGGGGCCGCAGTGGTCTGGGCGGCCGAGTCGGTCTCGGAGGCCGTCTTGGACACGGAAGTCTCCAAGGTCGTGGACGGAGCGATGGTAGCCTTGGTCGTAACCTGAGACTCGCCGGTGGTTGTGGCACCAGATGAGCCAGTGGCTGTGGCCTCACCCTCACTACCAGCAGCAGCCTTGGTCTGGAGGTTGAGGTAGCTGGGCGAGTAGGTCTCGGTGCCGGAGTACAGAGGGCAGCCGGGGACATTCGTCTTGGGGGGAGCTCGGCCGCCACCGCAGTCCAGGAAGTCGCAGAGCTCGCCGGTGCCGGGAACGTACCAGATGCGGCTGGCATAGGCATCGTAGGCGGGACGGTCAGTGGGCATGACGACGACGTCGGTGTAAGTGCAACCGGCAAGGTCAGTCTTGGCCAAGGCCGAAGAGGCCAAAAGGAGAGTCGCGACGAGAGATCGAACAGCCATAGTGGGACTTTGAAGATTGAATTTCAAGTGAAATGGATCTGGTTGACAATGGATTCAATGGCCTAGCTTTTAGCGGCAAACGAAAGAATGGACGATCACTGGAGCGATCTTGACGATTGAGCGAGCGACTGGCAACGAGGAGTTGTCTGGTGAAAATCAAGAAGCGCGATTCCCAAACGGCGACGGCGCCCTTTTTTAACCAAACCCCAAAGGCCTGGGCTATGTCCCGTTTAGCGGCGTCTCATCTTGGACCGGAGGCGACGGACAAACTGGAGCCACCAAGTCGAACCCGTTCAGGCAATCGCCGAGCCACGGTGCCCTGAAATCAGTGGACGTTTGTGCTTAGGGACCTCGAAAATGGCCTCCCTTCTGCCTGGTTCGGTATTGTCCTCTCCTGGATGACTTGACATTACCTGTTTTGCAAACACCTACAGTACAGTATCATGACTTTGTCCCCCTTTTCTGGGCTGGACGTGTCACGGCGCTATTGCTTGACATGACGCGGTCCGATCATTGTCGCGTCTTGCTGCCTGCCTCCTCGCCTACTGACACTGCGATTCAAGGATTACCATGAACGCGTATTAACCTCAATGCTCCAGGAACTGTTATGCCATAATAGGCATTATACGAGAAGAGAAGTGAAATGAAAAACTTGTAGAATCGTGAGTGGAGTAGCGATGAGACCGAAACCCGAAGCTAGCACAACTCACGCCGCTAAGCGCCCGTCCAAAAGTAAACTGCTCATATCCAAGAACCTGGCGGGACATTGATACGCCGAGGAGTAAAAACAAGGTTATTTGAATGCAGTGCTATGCTTAAACGTGTAATTCACCTGTAAAATCAACCATGTTGGCTGTGTTCAAGGAAAGCCTGCAGCCCGTAATTACACCATGCAACTTCGGGATTTTTTCTGGCCTGTTAGTGGCGAGTCATTGAGGGTCTGTCTAATTGCTCCAAACGCTAGGCGTATCATGCATGTCAGCCCCTTGTTTGGGGGCCTCGGCAGACGCCGGGCGTGATGTTGGTTCGCATGGCTACATGTATTCTCATGAGAATATAGCAGAGTAAAGGCAGACCAACAACGGCGAGTGTCCAACCCGATGATGGGGATATTTATCCGGTGGGATCTGTAGCTTGGTCATTTCAACTTGAGGAACGCAAGTATGATGGCTACTAAGGACGTCAAACCGTATCCCGCATATAAGACTATTCAGCTCCCCAAGTTTGCTATTCAGCATTCTGAGTCTCAAGTTCAAAGCCAGATGCGTAATAGCAGATGGTAGAATAAAGTATCGTTAGTATCAGATATATAAAGAGTTGGGTATATACCTAGATACTACCTATTGGACAAGTAAGTAAGTTAGCAGCCTTCCGCCTCCTCTTCAAAGAAGCACAACAGCTCAGTTGTAATGGCCAGGTGCAGGCCCAAAGAACGCTCCCTCGGGGAGCTTCTTGAGAGGACAGGCAGTGCCTTCGCATCCCATGTTGACCACGTTGTTACCCCACCAGTCCAAGGTGATGCCCCGATATGTGAGAGCAAAAAATTGGATAATGGCCGAGATGGCGATGCCGGCGGAGAAGGCGGCAGACAGAACAAAATTGTACTTCAAAAAGAGGTGGATTGTTAGCAAGCTGGATAATGCACCAAAGTGAGTATGTAGTGTCTTGCATACCTTGGACCACAGAGTCAAGAATCGCTTCTTGATATAAATCCAGGACAGAAACGCGACAGGCACAGCGGGCCAGATATAGCAAAGATTATACGGCGCCCAGTACATGCCCCCATTCAACAGAGCAACGGGATGTGTTGCGCGAAGCACGCGGTTCTTGGGAAAATACTTGCCGAGGACCCAGAATATCACCACAACGGCGATGCCAAGGGGGAATCCGACAAGAGTTGCTGCGTATTGGCCGCCCACGCCCCAGAGCCTTTTGGGTCCTACGGTGCCCCAGAGAGTGACACCAGTGAAGAATGAGGTTTGGCTAGGGCATGTGAATTTGAACGGAGCGTTCTCAGTACAAATATCTTTGAGGTGGACTTGGTACGAGACGATGCCGACGCTGACAAACGTCGAGACCAGAGTCGGCACCATCTGCGCAAAGAAGGTGAACCGAGGCGAGATCTTGACGTAATGGGCTATCTTGAGGTCGATGCTAAACGATAAAGCGTGAGAACAAGTGACGAAGCCGTATGTCTTGAAGAAACACAGGGCGAGTGCGTTGCCTTGCACAAACGATCCACCGATCAACTCGGCCAGGATATCCAACATCGTCTCAATGCCAGTCATGGCGTAAATAATCCCAGTAGGGACCATGAAGACTAAACAGAGACCGATGCCATAAAATACAACACCGGGGCTCGTGTATGTTGGCCAGTGAGCAATTGCCGCACAACCGAGCGCAACCGAGAGAACAAGAACAATCATGTACCACCACTCTGGAACTTCCCGATACTTTCTCATCAGGCGGTTGTGAACATCAAGGACCTGTCCCTTTTCAATTTCGGCCTTTTTAGAAGGGCGGAAGCTGTTGACAAGGTCTCTGAATCCCATCATGATCTCCAATCGATGGTAGAGAAACCCATATGCCAAAGCGGCGCTATAAGTGCTAAAGCTGAACATGTAGTATGTGACATACCCAGCCGAGAGGTATGGCTGTGAGTATGTTTGATACTTTTCATTGTCGATGATTCCACGGCTGTCGAGGATGGAAGTGACATTGTAGCGTTTGCCATAGTGATCGTATGGCTCATTGGAGTTGATTGGTAGATACGCAGTCTCATACGTGTTTGTGTAATATATCGCGATGATGATAAACATGGACAAGAACATGCCGATGAACAGGTTGAAAGTACTAAAGAATGGCGCCATGAGGGGGTCTATGGCAAATGTGAAGATGTTCCAGTCAAAGGTAGACAGGGGGTTGAAGCCAAGGCCGTTGACCGCGCCGGTGATGTGATTCAACCTAGCATTATTCGGAGCGATCCAAGTCATCCAGCTGAAAAGCCCAAGAGCTCCGAAGATGTAGTTGGGAAACCAAAAGTATATAAACATAAACACGAAAGCATAGAGGAAGAATCTGAATCTCGACATGCGCCAAGTTATGCCGAATGGACCCAAGGCCAGGATATTCCCTTCGGTGTGGAACGCGCTGTTCAAAGCAATAGTAACAAGAGCCTGCGGCCATACGCAATACGATGGGTAGACCAAAAACCTCCGGCAAATCCCGGCAAGACTGTAGCCGATGAAGTTGCTCGATAAAGCAATCAGAAGCTGGTAGCCAAAATTTAACGCCCAGGGCTGGTTGAAGTACTGCGGGAGAACTTGGGCCAAGATGACGTTGTTCGTGTACGGTGTACTCTTTGCAATACTCGCCATCAACGTGATGAGCATGTGCTCTTTCTTATTGAAAGGGCCAGGGTTTAAGCTATGTCGGACTCCAAACAGCGTGATTCCCACGTCAGGCAGAAGCCATTCCAACAGCTTCCCCAGGGGATACGCCAACAGTTGAGGGACGTTAGACGTGACGTAAATCGCAGGCTGACGAATGCCAAAGAAGCTGTTTATGAAAGCGATGCTACCGGAAAACAGAATTCCCAAGACCCAGGCTCGGATTGTCGAGCATGGCATGGTAGGGTCATCGTGGGGGGAGACAACGCTTCTGACTTCGGCGTAGGGGCTGTTGGTGATGATGAGAGCTGCTTGAATCTTCATTTCGGAGATTTGCTGCTCATGTTTTTCTGGGTGCGCAAGAATGTCATCATTATCTAGACGCCACGAGTTAGAAGATGATATGAGATTTCGAATATAAGTCTTCGAGAGGGAGTAATAATAACTTACGGAGAAAAGCTTCGATTTTCTCAATGACATCCAAGGGGAAGTTGGGATCTCTCTTGTGAAGCCGATAAAATGTGCTGAGGAGCTAATCAAGCAGAGTAGAATTAATCTCAATCTCTCGTTGAATGGATTGGTATATGTAAGGGGTTACATACATCTCGCACTTCCTCGAGAGTGTATGTTGTCGCAAGTTCCCTGGCTTCGAGGAAGTCATCCTCGGTCACGTGTAGATCACGCTCCGCTACTTGATCCTCGACCATGAGATGTGGTGGCTCATCTGAATCTTTGTGGCCCTGATAGAATGTTATTCAATCTTCTCAAGGTATTCTCTATAAGATAGTTGGGTAATAAAAAAAGAAGGGCAAGACTGGCGATGATGTCAAATAAAATAGAAGTATATAAGCATAAGGAATCACATACACTGCTACTCTTCTCACCAAGAGCACCGCCAATGTGCTCCTGCTCTTGGACGACAGGCTTCTCGATTTCCTCAGGCATATCGCGGCCCTTGATCCAATAGTTCTCTCTCTCGAATAACCTCGGATGGCTCGACAATAGGCGAGTAGGTCCGTCAAAGATTCGATCAAGGCGGGCCAGGGTCAGTTATTTATCCCTGTTCCCATAGACAACCTTTCAGCGACTTATTCCGAACCAAAGGTCATCTATGGGTTGTACGGAGACACATATATGTGCAGTGTAACCGAGGGAAGCCAGATTCCGACATTGACAGGGGGACTACATGCAAGATAAACACAAGCGCAACATGAATGATAGAGAAAGGCCCCAAGAAGCCGAGGGGCGGCAACTTTTACCCCCTTATTCGGGTGGTTTCCTCCAAGGCAGTGTCGCACAATTCGGCCTCCACTTTGCTGATCCAAGACATGTCTTAGAACCCGCGATAGCACCGTAAGTTTAGGCTGACACAGTAATATCGTATCCATATAGTAGTAATATTAGGTAGCAAACGGGTATCCCAAATTACAGATGCATACATTAAGCGCGTTCATACCATGGATGAAAAGCTGAGTCCATATGTGATCCCTACCGGTTGGTTTCAATATTCGAAGTCCCAAACCGATGAATCACCAGGCCTCAAAGAGTTGCTTGACGAGTTCTTATAACCTCATGTTATGGCATTTTATTTCAAGCCAGCAGCTTGAAGTTAGTAGGGACAAGTCTCGCTGGTAGAAAATGACAAACCGCGGAGGCATATCGCTATGGATGAGTACGTAAACTGACTTTAGAAACAAACTGTGGCCGTGCTCTCACTACTATCAGTCATGACGTTCTAATAAGCTCGTTGAGATACCCCACAGACTCTTAGTTAGAATGAGTAACCATTCAGCATCTCAAGTTGGCTACATATATCCGGCATCCTAGCGACTACTTGGAATTCAAGGTATCGGAACAGGAACCGAGGGAAATCCCTTTATTTACTACTACACGGACTTGACTAGGTAGCATCCATCTCTTATTGGTGGATGCCCAGAACCCAGTTCCTTGTGTATCCGCTACTATCATTATGTACTCTCTGCTACCATCGCTATATTCCTCTAGTATCCGCAACTAGAAATATATTCTCCTAGTATCTGCTACTTTAGCTATCTGCCTCTACTCTCTGGTACTACTATTGAACGTTAGCCAAAGGATGCTTAATAGCAGAATTGGAGCGCTTAATAGCCATTCCCTAGGTAGAACATGTCAGGATATCCATGGAATCAGAGCTCTACCCCTCCAGGAAGAACCTAAAGTCGACGCCTCCCTTTACAATACTTCGCGTCTATGGGGGATTAACTTTTTCTTAAGCTTCCAAGCAAATCATTTCGAGTATATATAGAGCAGAGTATGTCATCTGAAAAAAAAAAAAAAAAAAAAAAAAAAAGTTAAATACAGCAACAATCATTGCAACTCTCCCACCCCAATATACGATGCCCAACTTCAATCCTTCCATCTACCCAAATCTTTCCCCATCCGCTACGCCTAGCAGCAGCATGAACATGGAGGAAGATCGAGTTGAAGTTTTTTTAAGACTCCTTTTCAACATCCTAGGCTGCATCGCCATGCCTGGCTTCTGGATTGAGACCTTCATCTTCAGGATACTCGGCCTCAACACATCGTCGAGCTTCCGCATGTTCCCTCCGGCAGACATTGTCCCCGGCCACGAATATCCTACAAGCGTGGCCTACAGCTTTGTCTTAATTACTATCTTATTTATACCCAGATTTATTGCTTCGGATCGATATTTTGATGGCGCAAACACCCTTGGGACGGAGCTTCGTCCTTTGACAAGAAGGGCCAGCCCACTCGTGGAATACGTCGTCATGTTTGCCCGTGTTTGGCTGGCAGCGGCTTGGGTAAATATGGCATCGGCTCAATTTATGATGGACTGGGACCTTGTGAGGTTTTCTGTGAAGCTTGGGAGCGTGTACTTCATCTTGTGACCTAGTCAGGCTCAGAAATGTGATGCCTAGGATGTCATCTACAAGGCAGGCATATACGGGGTGTTACGGAGACATCTCGATAGGCTACTTGCATTATGGAAAATTGAACTTGTTATTACAAATTCATGGAGGAGAGTTTTCTAATACGAGCAGTGTAACGATTCTTTTGTACACAGAAAAGATCTTGAGACTGCCGCTCTTGAGGCATGGGTCGAATATCGAGCCTAGAGATACACTCATAGACAAGTTCAGCAGGAAGCTCTTTCTAGAATAATTAAGGAAACATGTATTCAACGAGTGAACTTGAGCAATGTGATCTTTAACAGATAATTCTATTATTCACTTCACTCTATATGGTCTAAGTGGGCTACAAATGAAAGGTGTCGATTGCGATATCACGACTCCATGTTCAAGTGTATAGATGTAAACCAACGAGACATAACATACATCAAATCTTAGTCATGCAGGAACCCTCTCCAAAAACATGCGATACATACACAGTGTGGTAACAATTGGATTGGTTGCTGCTGGTTGATATCATACGCAGCAACGTACGCATGTACGCTTAACACATGGCTGCCAGAATAGAAACCATGCTGGCGTCACAGGTATGAATAATATACGAGGTCACATTAATGCGATAGGAACATCAAGGTCAAATGAAATAGTAACATTTACACTCTGAAAAAGAAATGAACTACTTTAGTAGTATCAGATGCGCAACATTGCGAATAGTAAATACAATCTTCCCTCGGAACCGTTTTTAGTCAAACATTAATAGCGAAAAAGGAAAGTGAAACAACTTCCGTCTTGATTACTTCTTCACTCCGACAATGCTCCAGATTGCGACAGTGCAATCCTCTTCCAGTGATCACGCTCTGCCTCCAGCTTCGCAATACGCTCTTCCAGCTCTTCAAATCGCTGAGCCTTTCGCTCACGCGACTTTCGAGCAGCCAAGGTATTGCGAGCTCGCTTCATGGCAACGGTGTCATTGGCGTCCTCCACAATGATAGGGGGTAGGGGCTTGTCTCGTCGGCGAGAGTTAACACCGGAGACGGAAGAGTGTCGCGTAGAACCCGTGGGGGATCCAGACGACTTCTTCCTGCCGCTACCGCTACCACTGCCACTGCCAGAAGATGATGATCGATACATGGGCTCTGATTCCAAAGGCTTCTGAGCAGGCGACTCGCTTGCGTTGGCAAGCTCTTGGCTGCCTGCATCAGAAGGAAACAGTGAGTACCAGGCGTCGCTAGGACCGTTCTCAAATTCGGCATTGCCAAAGTTGGGAGAAACATCATATGAATCAAACTCAGGGCTGCCATTGTACAGCGAAGGAGAGGTCAAGGCAGTCAGCGCCGCTGAGTTCGGCGCTGACATGAAGGGCTCCTGAATCAGGAGGTCTTGGGGAGACACAGTGCCAAGATTAGAAGCAGCGCTGGAAGCGCCACTGCTGAAGTCAAAGTTGGAAGCGACTGCCGGAGAAGAGAAGGCCGTGGAGGCACCTCCTTCAAAAAAGGTGAAGTCGTCCAAATCGACGTCTGTTGGAGAGTGTGAGCGAAAGTGATCAAGCTGAAGCAAATTAGAAGGGTTGCACAAACCTGCAGCGTTCATCATCTTGGCGGTTTGATTTTGGTTACCAGCGTTTTGATTAAACAAGGGTACTGGTGGCCGTGCAGTGCGAGAAGACCGATTCAAAGAAACCGTTGAAGATGGAGCAGAGGATGCGTAAAACTGATTCGATAAACGATTGCCGTATGCAGAAGACAGTGATGGGTGCCCAATAGCCTGGAGTATCTGGGCCACTCGTTGATTTTGGACTGCGTGTGAAGCGTGCTTCTCGCGACGGGTGTGACAAGAGTGACGACGTTGGCTAGGTAAAGGAATACTCCTATTATGTTGACGAGGCTGAGGGTTGTCGAACAAGACAAAGTCCTGCTGGGGATTCTCGACGGGGTTCAGGGAGAGGTGCTCGGATGGTGCCGGCAGGGCGGAAGCTGAGTTGGGAAGCCATGTTGACTGGGAATCCGTGGTGAAGACTGGGAAGTCTTGAGCTGAAATGTTGGCGGTGAGGAAGGAACTCGTGCTGATGCTATTCAAAGCAGTGCTGAAGTTCAGATCGACCGAATGGTGAACTGAACGAGAAGGTTGAGTGGGGAGAATGTTGTTTATGTCCTGGGACTGAATTTTGACGGAAGGGGGAGAAACGCTCGGGGAGAGGTTTGTTTAGATCATCTTGAAGGCAGCCTGAGGCTTCTAACGCTTGTGTATTGTATGTGATGTGAATGCTTGGGGGTGGAGGAGAAAGGAAAAGAAAAAAAAGACCAGAAAAAAATGTGGCCGTGGCGGTTATGTATTTCTCAGGCAGCAACTCTCGTAGCGGGCACACCAGCGGGTACGTACCCGGGCGGCACGGGCTGTGGTACAAGGCGAGGGCATTGGGGGCTTGTGCAGCCCTAACATGCACGGCGCCAGGCTGCCTGCCAGGCTGTTAGGCACCCGCTGAGCGGACCACTGGCAGCCAAGTACAGGCACGTCGCAGGCGCTGTCTCAATTGGCAGGCGCCCTTGCCAGAAGGCGTGGCCCCGCCGGTGACTCACACTTTTGACACCAGGCCGCTTCTGGACTGGCCGGAACAGCGCCAGCCCCAGTTGGTGGCACCGCGCCTTTTGAGTCTTCCCCAGCCGATCCAAGTTGATTGCAGCGAGAGCCTCACAGTGAGGGGCCGTACTGTGCGATTCAACGCCTCATCCTTCACGATGCAGCTGCCGGCATTTGCTGGGACTGAACTGCGTACTCAAAGTCATTGGAGTCATATTAATTGATTCAGATTGGTTTCAATTGTAAGCGTCAATTCCACATGCGACACTTGATATTGACTATCTTGATGAAGAAAGCGGGCAAAGTAAAGAAGCAAAGAAAACAAGAAAAAAGTGGTCTTTGTTCGTCAAGTGTCTGTGCTAAAATCGTTTCTTTGGTGTTTTGGGTGGATTAGCAATCTTTCATGCCGTCTCTCGCTAGTCTCTAGTTCTAAAGCCAAGCGCGAATCCTACTCGAATTTCCCCATACAGGACGAGGCCTTGCCGGGTACACGGTGCTGCGATGCCAGCTCAGTGAGATATATACTGTCCATATGCTTAACAATGCCTGCGCCAGACAGACGGATCTCAGCGGGATTCGCTTCCCGTGATAACACGTAAACCACAATAGTTTCAGCTTCAACGCGCGTAACCCGTCTCGTATTACTATTAGATCTATGTATTCTTATTCTGCATATTACGAATTCTGCTATTAATACCAAGATTGGATAGCACTGAGCTGCAATTTTACAGCGACATGGGGAAAGCCCGTCTGAATGCCCAGCGCTGAGGCGCAGACTCATGTCTCATCTTACTCTTTGGATCTGGACAAGCACAGTAAGATTAACTTACCCGCTTGAGGAGGTCTCAAAAAGTAAGCAGAATACCAAAAAACCACGCTCGCCTACCATTCGGGGGAAACGCAACGCAGCACGAGGCACAGTGAAAACCTGCTTTGGCGGTGCAACCCCCGGACGAGGAAGAGGAAATCCGCTGGTGCCAAATGCAGCTCTTCGGAGGCCGAGAGCCACATGCCCTGCAGCCTCGCGCATTGAATGGCCCAGAGCGCACGCAATCTGTGACGACGACACATTGCGACGTCCATCAAAGGGGAGACGAGCGCCGTCACATGGAGGAGAACTGCCCGCAAAAGGCCTCGTTTGAAATTACTCCGTATGGATTGTCTCGTCCGCCAACTGTGTGGCCGGAATGCTCTTCGTTCCTGGTTGTCTTGTTATACGACACAAATACGACCAGACGCCTCACATTCCCTAGCGCTTCCTCCCTGCTTTGGACTAGAATAGACTTGCATGCTACACGTAGTTTTCAAGTCCTTGGTTTTCTGCCCTTCTTGTTTCTCGTCGTCGCCGGCACCATGAAGGCCTTCCATTGGCTCTCTTTTGCAGTCCGGACTCCCATCCAACTCCGCCCCGGCCAATCAGCGAGTTGAGCTCCATGGCTAAACGGGACGAGGGAAATATTCAAAACCAGAAAGAACAAGAAGAAAAGATGGAAGAGAAAAAAAGCCTCCTTGCCGCTACCAGCCCGCGATGGAGTCTGACCCGTGTGGCTGAAGCGATGGCGCGCTGCTTTCAACACTATCGTCTCGGGCTACGAGTTTCTGGTTGGCGGTGCCTGGGCTGGCGCTGGGCAAGCGGTTGGCCTTTTGGGCACACCAAGTCCATGTGTGGCGCCGCTCAATCAAATCACAATACAGAGCACGCTTCGACTTGTAATAACAAGTGCCCCGGATCAGATGCAACCAGGTGTTAGTCCTACTACTAGTACTGCATAGCACTGCTACCATTGAAACCAGGTGTCCTCTGTCCTTGGTCACGTAGGACCGACTTCCTCCCGTCTCTTACAGCCCGTCCAGGAAGCTGTCGGCCTGCCGCTTCGCCCGCCTCTCCCCCATATCCTTACGGCGCTGTTCGATTTCGCGCCGTCGTGCAGCCCGCTGTTCCTCGCGCTGCTTACGCTGCTCCTCGGTCTTGAGCCTCTCCTCCTCCAGCGACTGCATCTCCTTCGTCCGCGTCTCCTCGCCCTTGCTGAACTTGAAAAAGCCAACGCCCTTTGTGCGGATCTCGTTGTCGGCATCGTAGTGCTTCATCTCGGGCGGCGTAGCGCTCCTATCCCGCCTGCTTGCCAGCTCCGCCATCTTGTCCGGATCATCCGGCGCAAACGCCATTGCTTGAATCGCGTCGCCGTAGATGAGGTTGCTGGGAGCACTAGGCCGGGCTGACATGCGCTCCAGTTCCTCGGCGCCCAGCAGCCCTCGCCGTATGCGACGTTCCATCTTTTCCTTGTCGGCTCGCGTGCCTCGCCGTGTACGACCAAACTCGTCCTCATACTCCACCATCTCGTCGCCGCCGCTGCCATTTGCATCCTCCTCATCTGAGCTGGTCTCGTAGTCGTCGTGGCCTTCCACTGTTTCAGCCCACTTGCGGTCAAAGTCCACCAGCGGCGCCGCCTCGTTCTCCTTGGGCACGTAGTCTCCGCGCTTCATGGCGGCATAGAGCCGTGCCTTGCTCTCCATCTTTCGCTTTGCGCGCTCGAGTTCCTGAGCCTCCTCCTCTGTCCCAGCCACTTCTTTAAGTACCAGCTTTTCTGATTTGGCATCTCCCTCTTTGCTGCTGGATGTTGTCTTTTTTGATTTGCTGGAACCACGGAAGATGTCGTCCTTTGACTGTTTCGGCCTTGCGCGTCCAGGCCCCGTTGATGTTGATCCTTGAGGGGTGGCATTTGATATAAGTGATGTGAGCTGGGCAGTAAAATCTAATGATGACGATAACGCCTCTCGTTTTGTTCGCTTTTGCGGCCTTTGGCCGTAGAGATTCGGATCCTGAGGCATTGTGTGATCTCCCTGGCGTAGATGCGATTTTCTTTGTCCGCGGCTATTGTATGTGCACTAACGGAGGCTGTATTTACTCCCTGGAAATGAAGGATCCTTCTTCAGAGTAGAGCGCCAGATAGGGTGGCTTATACCGTAGAGGCCACAATGGATGGTTTGGTTTCTAGATATTGATCAATGAAGCCCAGAAATCGATCTTATCGCCGCCGCGCTACCGGGAAGCTGGACGTCACTGATTAAAGTTGACGGGTCCTGGTGACTAAGCGTCTTTGTTGATGACCCTTCTGGTTGCTCGCACAAACGAAACCATAGCATACATCACATCCATCTTAGACTCTCGATATTTTTCAGCGGCGTTTTTGTTCAGATGGTCCAAATTCCATATCTAGGTCGGCCTAACTTCTTGAAACTCCTTGAACGAATTGGCATTTCGCCAAATTCAAGATTCGGGGAATTGGTGTAGGGGTATCACGTTTGCTTTGCATTTGTTCAGTCTGAGTGCGAGTCTGTAAAAGGTCAGGGGTTCAAATCCCTTATTTTCCAGTCTTTTTGCTCCTCTCGATGCAAGGCATCATTCATATCTATTCCATTTCCTCTCGCATAGTATAGAGAAATGATTATTCGGACGTTTCTCACTAAGAAAGAGGATCTCGAGACATATCTATGGCACCAGCATATCATCATTGATGATTTAGTAACGCCAACCTTAGCAGAAGAGATAGTGTAGTGGCATACCGTGATGGGAAAGTAAACACGAAAAGAGACTATGAATAACCCAGACACATTATATAGATTTTTTTTTTTACTTCATATCGCACAGGAAACCTCATTTATCAAACAATGGTACAGGTTAAGCCGACTCAAGTTTTAGAGCTGTTAGCTGCAACCCCATCCCACTAATTCCATCACCCCGCTATCGGAACGAAACCCATCATCTTCCATCCAAGCTACCTGTATTTTCGCAGCATCCGTTCACCCACAAGACAAAATGGCTGCAGTCAATCAGGTTTACATCGCCATCATTGGTACATACTCCCGGGAGAGTTGATTCATACAGCGTGCCAGTCGTCAATGGATTAAACTAACTCATGATTATACATTAGGCGCCGGTGGTGTCGGCAAATGCTTCCTCTCCCAGCTGCAAGCGCTCGCCGCTCGCAGGCCGTCTCCCAAGCTGAGCCTCTGCTACATCTCGACAAGTCGCAAGGCCCTATACAACGTCGATTACTCCCCCGTGAGCCTTGATGGCGTCACCGAAAGCCTCGCTGCGTCCACACAGGCCCCTCCTCCTCTGTCGCAAGTGATTGACTACCTGGCTTCCGCCCCCGCCAAGGTGATCCTGGTCGACAACACGAGCTCTCAGGATGTCGCCGATGCTTACCCACTGGCCCTGAGTCGGGGTCTTAGTATCGTGACACCTAACAAGAAGGCCTTTTCCGGCTCATACAAGCTCTGGCAGGATATTTTCACGGCATCCGCAACCTCTGGTGCCAAGATCTACCACGAGTCATCGGTCGGCGCTGGTCTGCCAGTCATCTCCACGCTCAAGGATCTGGTCGATACAGGAGACAAGGTGACCAAAATCGAGGGTGTCTTCAGCGGCACCATGTCGTTTCTCTTCAATTCGTTTGCACCGACCGAGGGTCAGGGCGGCAAGTGGTCTGAGGAGGTGAAGAAAGCAAAGGCACTTGGCTACACTGAGCCGGATCCCAGAGATGATCTCAATGGCCTTGATGTCGCTCGCAAGTTGACTATTTTGGCCCGCTTGGCAGGTCTGCCTGTCGAATCGCCCACATCTTTCCCTGTCCAGAGCCTTATTCCCAAGGAATTGGAGGCTTGTTCGACCGGAGATGAATTTCTTGAGAAGCTGCCTGCCTTTGATCAGCAGATGGAAGACACCAAAGCTGCCGCCGAGAAGGCTGGAAAAGTTGTTCGATTTGTTGGCAGTATTGACGTGGCCACCCAGCAGGTCAAGGTCGGACTGGAGCAATTTGATCGCTCACACCCCATTGCTTCCCTCAAGGGCAGTGACAACATCATCAGCTTCTATACTGAGAGATATGGCAGCAATCCTTTGATTATCCAGGGCGCGGGTGCCGGCGGAGACGTGACGGCCATGGGTGTGACAGGAGATCTCATCAAGGTGCTTTCGCAAATCGCTTAGAACCGTATCCAAGATATCTATGTGACATATATGTATCTGATAATAAAAAAAGACCAATTGTTATAAGTCATGATCGCTTATCGTCGTCTCGCTCGCTGATCGCCATGTTCGGAACCGATTGTTGTTGTTGTTGCTGCTGTTGCCGCGACTATTGCTGCTGCCGAACCGGCTGCGGCGGGGGCCCGTCCATCTGGGGCTTGGGTAAACGTTCTCCAGATCCATAACAGAATATCAAAAACGACGGCAAGGAGAGAAGGAACAATAAAAAACAAGCCCAGGGCCAACTATGCATGGAAGTCAGCGACGAGAGACGAGAAAAAGGAGGCATCTAGGAGAGCACTCACGCTAATCCATGATATGGCATTGACGAGAAAAGATGAGCCGGGGAACGATAGAAATGCCAGCGCACCAGAGACATCCCAGAGTAGCACAGCCATGGCGCAGAACTATGGAAGAAGTTGTCGCGATGATGGAACAGAAAGGGAAGTATGCATTGCCCAGCGAGCACAATGAAGAAGCAAAGAGATGCCCAGGAGCTGTCTCAGCTAAGGTATTTTTTAGGCTGGCGCTCGCAACAGTCCAGTCGCGATGTCCAGGGGTCGAGCCGTTATTTTGCGACGCTGTAAGTACTCGGTACTTTATGGGTTGCTTTCCAGGAGCTCCGGTCTCACCACCCAGATCTCGCCACTTCAGACCGCTTTACCTTAGAGTTCCATACCAGTGAGCTGACATTGATGGGTAGCCGGCTGAGCATTGATATTTGGCTGACATGTGAAGTTGTATGTTCTCTTGGATGATCCAAGTGCTATACGCTGTAGTCACCGGTACCTGGCTGGGCTGAAGCTGTCAAGGTGGGCCAAGTGCGGCTAAACCCAATGTAGCTTTGTGCCGTAAAATGCATGCACTCACTGTGCCAGACCGCTTTCCTATTTCGCCTCCACCAAACTTTCCTTGGTTGCCAGCCAAAGTCAGATATTGAATCTCATCAATAAAATTTCCGTCTGCTGTCCCTCAAAGCTCAACACACGAATTGCTACCAAAAATTCTGGACTAGCACAATGGGCAATCAGACAAACAAGAAAGAAAGGCGAGATAGGTTTAGAGAAAGAAGAGGCCAAGATGGCGTCGTATTGCTACCCCGAAAAAAGCTTTATCGCCAGAGAGCTCACGCAAACCCTTTCTCAGACCACATGTTAGAGTAGTAAGTATGCCTCTATGTGATTTTCTGTATCTTGTATTAACTTGTTTGCAGCCCAATCTCACCTGAGTATATGGATTGGTCATCCTATTATCCTTCTTATGTGGACGAAGAAGCGCCGCGGGATGAGTCTAAGCCTCCGCGAATGAAGCAGGATGTTGAGATTGTCGACATCGGATGTGGTTTTGGAGGTCTCCTTGTTGGTCTCGCTCCTATTTTCCCAGACAAGCTCATTCTTGGTGAGTGCTTCCTCATCTCTCCTTCGTTCGGCCAAGAGGATTTATAATTAACATGTTTCTAGGTCTGGAGATTCGTACTACAGTAACGCAATTTGTGCAGGAAAAGATATGGGCACTGCGCGCACAAAGCTCTGAAAAACTCTATCAGAATGCTGCCTGCATCCGCGCAAACACCATGAAGTTCTTGCCCAACTTCTTCAAGAAGAGCCAGCTGAGCAAAATATTCATATGCTTCCCTGATCCACATTTCAAAACGAAAAAGCACAAGGCCCGAATTGTTTCAACAACACTCAATTCCGAATACGCTTACGCCCTACGGCCTGGCGGCATTGTCTATACCATCACGGATGTCGAGGCATTGCACGAGTGGATGGTGGAGCATCTCGACGCTCATCCGTCCTTTGAGCGGGTGAGCAAAGAGGAGGAGGAAAACGATGAGTGCGTCAAGATTATGTTGAACGAGACGGAGGAGGGTAAAAAGGTGGAACGAAACAAGGGACATAAATTTGTAGCTCTATTCCGCCGTATGGAAGATCCCCCGTGGTAATTGCACGAAGTTGAAGCATGATAGATGAACGAATGAAATACCCTTTTAAGCCCGTCTATCGGCGTAGAGGATAGGATATGCAAGATCGGAAATGACAGTCGTGAATATTGTTAGTAGAAGCAATCGCTTGTATGGTGCATCTCTGCTAGATTGTACCCCATATCATGGCGCCTGCAGTGTTATAGGTAATGTACAAAGGCTATCCCATTGACGAATCGGATGAAAATGACACATCAGGTGAAAGTCGGCTCATGTGCAGCAGCATCATGCGCTCATATCCATCCTTTCCACGGCCTGTAAGCTGTGCAGAGAGAGATGCTGTACAATGGCTGCGAATGGAGTGCTTGCAGGCCGCTACGTAATGGTGGACCTGCCGCTAATCGATAACGGTGGGCTTGCAACCACACCTGTTTATAGCGTCGCAATCGCGAAGCTCCCACCCCATATATGCCACTACGATACCCTCGCTCACCGTGTCTTTCAACAATGATGCTTAGGAGGCGACGATGGCCCTGAAGCGTAGAGATGTAGCCCTTGCTGGAGTGGCCTACTTCATTGCGTGGGGCTATGCCGTGAGCTGGTTCTCTGCGCTGCGCTGGGTCGGATATGCCTTCGTGGGCGGTATCGTCATCAGCTTCCTCTCGCTTATCGCGGCTCTTGTTTTAACCACACAGCATCCTCGCGGCGATCGACCGGCACGGCCGGCCAGGGTCTCGTTTCTGAGCTCCCAGAGATGGCGCGCCGAAGCGGAAGCGTTACGGCAACGGCAGACTTACCACAAGGAGCCCTTCGATCCTAGCTTCCCCCAGGCATCTGAAGCTCTCGATGAGGTCCTAGACCTGATCTTCCGCGACTTTGTACGCTCGTGGTATTCCCACATCAGTCAGAACCCAACATTCGAACATGAGGTAGATAAGGCTATTCGACAGGCACTGTTCAGCCTCGTGGGCTCGCTCCGCAACAAAGACCTTGCTGATCTCGTCACGAGCCGTTTTGTGCCCATCTTGACGGCTCACTTCCATGACTTTTACGAAGCCGAGAAATCAGTGCGAGGGAGGAAACTAAACCGATCTGTGACAGAGTCTGAAGAGCTTGATCTTGCCATTGCGTCCAAGTTTCGAGATGGCCGGCTACACCCAGCTGCTTCGCTGTCCTTTCCCGACACCAAAATGGTTCAGCAAGATTACTTACGGTCATTGGTAGAGCGGCTCCTGTCCAAGATCCTTCCCAAGAAGATGCTTTCCAGCCGGGCCGTCTCCATCATAGTGCGGGAGATTGTGGGCTGTGCTGTCTTATTTCCCGTCGTTCAGCTGCTGAGTGACCCTGACATGTGGAATCAGTTGATCGAGAACCTTGGTCGCTCAATGCTTCAAGATAGATCTACTGTTCGCAAGCTCAGGGCAGCACTGGACCAGCACGCTTCTCCTACGCCAAGATCCAACAAGCTAGCCATGGCTCCGCGGTTGGCGCCTGGGGATAACGAGCGCAAGTTTGAAAAGTTCATTCGAGCCATCCGCAGGGTCAATAACCTCTCTGACGCACGTCGATTCCGCAGCGAAGTTGCCAGTCAGCTCAAGCGCGATTCTCTGCAGGAGAATCAAGATCCAGTCTACCTTCGTCGACTGGAAATGGGAAAGCGGCTACTCGATGAGAGAGTACATAACTTGGCCGCAGGTGGAAATCGCCATTCGCCTATGCCAGCTTCTTCGGCGCCGCCCGTTTCCACTTCGAAGCTTGAAAACGCCTCCCTCGTAGAGCTGTTGCGAGATCCGGCAGGTTTATCATACTTTATGGAATACATGGACCGCCAGCGTTTGATGCCCATGGTTCAGTTTTGGCTGGTCGTTGATGGCTTCCGTAACCCCCTGGAAGAAGATGGCCAAGACGACGAGCTCCCCTCTACATTGCCCATGTGGACAGACTCGGATCGTCTAGACTTGCTTCAGATTCACCAGGCATATTTGTCCAAGCCGGAGCTTAACGTGCCGGAAGTTGCTAAGAAGGCTGTCAAGGAGTTTCTCCAAGCTGGTGTATCTGCTACACCAGCTGAATACTACAAGGCTAGGAGAGCTATTCTGAGAGCTCAAAGTGGTGTTCTGGAAACAATGCGCTCTCAATATTTTGAAGGATTCAAAAAATCAGACTTGTACTACAAATGCCTCGCATCGCAGGAGATGTCGCGCGCTACCATGTCACCGCCGCCCCCTACGCATCAGGCTCCTTCAGTATCAAGCAGGACTCAATCATATCAGTCCAAGCCTAAGCCCGCGCCACGGTTTGCTCCATTGGCCGCCGGACCGTCTAGACGACTCTCTGGATCAATTTCGGATCTAAGATCAGTGAATTCTAATGGCAATGGCTCGGATCCGCTGACTTCCTCACGGAGGTCTCTTGATGACGATCGATCTGCGAATCCTCTTTTCGACGACGATGATGTGGATAATTATGGGATGATGGATTCGGTGCAGAGCTTGGACCAAGCTCTGTCGAGGCAGCAGACACCTGACAAACAAGTTGTCCAAGCCGTGGAGCAAGCACTAACAAATATCCTGGAAGATGACAGGCCACAAACCGCCGAGGATCTACGAGCCTCTCTGTTCGATAATGAAGACAACGTGTCGAGCTTGTTTGGTAATGATAACGAGTCCAATCGAGGTTCGTTTGACGCCGGCAAACCTCTGATACCGGCAAAAGAGGCTGGTAAGCCCACTCTGTCGTCGTTGGGGCTTGTCAGCGCCGCCTCTCGAATCGGTGTGTTCGTGGACGACGACCTTTTTGGGGACGAGGACAAGTATCTCCCAGGCGAAAGGGACGACATAGATGAAGAGGCGCAGTCCGATGAGGAGGATGAAATTCACGAAGCCGCTCCAGGTGATCTTGGATTGGCAGAAGCCATCACGGCACTGACAAACGACATTGATCGCTTGGTGGCACAGGACGCGGTTATAGAATCGCTAACAAAGAAGGCCGAGCTTACAAACAATGCAGCAGAGCTGCGAATTCTGAAAAAGTCAAGGACGAGTCTTCAGAGAGAGATTAGGCGCAAGGAGTTACAACGGCAGCAATACGTGATACAAGAGAGCGACAACAGCCTCTATGGAAGATCGGAAATCAGGATCAAATCCATTCAGGTGGGGCGAGAAGATGACGGCCGAGAGTTTGCCTTGTATGTCATTGAAGTCCAGAGGAATGCGGGCGAGCAGATGCCAGCGTCATCCTGGGCGGTGATGAGAAGATATAGCGAGTTCCACGAGCTGCACCAGAAACTCCGCTCGATGTATCCTTCAGTACGGAATCTCGATTTCCCTCGGCGCCGCGTGGTGATGAAGTTCCAAAGCGATTTCCTTCGCAAAAGACGTACAGCGCTAGAGAAGTACCTGCGTGAGCTCTTGCTCCTACCCGAGGTGTGCCGCAGCCGTGAACTGCGAGCGTTTCTATCGCAGAGCACCATAG